TAGTTATAATATCATGAATATTTATTGTTAGAGAAATTTTATAATAGATTATGGAAAGTAATAAATGAGTTTATTTAAATTGTAAAGTATTTATATAGTTAGAGAAATATAAGGAAAGACTAAAAATGTTAGTCTAATGGGTCCAAACAACTTTTTTAAGTAGATTTATTTAGACTCCTTCTCTTTTAATAGTATAGATGGCGTCAGATTCCTGCGGTTATTTTCTTTTCTAATCTTCATCGTTTTTGTTTATATTCTTGATCATTTTAATTATTATACACTGATTAATATGTAACGAAATAATTCACTAAGCTTGGCTCTTAAAGCCGGGCACCCATCTACCATAGACCAAAGTTAGCTCATGAAGCTAATTGGTTAAAACGAACACGTTGGATGTGTTAATCAGTCCATTATATTGTCTGAACTGAAGAAAAAAAAACCGGGTGGGGATATGAAATGGCAGAAGATTACGCAGGTTTGGAATGTATAATAAACCAATGCAAATAACATTCTTATGTAGTTCATAGTTAAGCACAAAGTTTTGACAATCCTTTCTTCACTACATTAGTTCCACTATCGTGATGATCGGTGCTAGCATATAGAGGCTTTCCATCTTTTATTCAAGACCTCATTATCACTACACTGATCATTTAATCATCATATAATATTTTATAATCTATGGTTTCTAAGTAACGTTAAATATTTTTCTATGATGAATGAGCATTTGATGTTTACGTCACTTAATGATTTTCTTTTGGATCAAACATTCAAAATAGTCAACTTGATCCCGAAGTTATCCATGACATTCAAAATAGTCAGCTTGAGCCCGAAGCTATCCATGACCGACCTCAAAGGCCCAAACACAAAAAGAGTCGAGTATTATCGGCGGAACAAGGGCAATATTGTAATTTGACATATGATATTAAGTTAAAACCCTACCTTTCTTTCGAGTCATCTCTATGTATATAAAGACGTATCCACTCTTGGATCATCCACTCACTCGATATTTCTCCAACCTAGCCGCTACACTGAGGTAAACGCTTTCGTCCCTCATCTACGATCTGTTTAGTTATTCTTCTTCCGATCATAGCTGTAACGGTTTCGAACCTCAAGCTTGACGTTTCTGTACATATACCTGATTGATTGATCCTTAGATTCTACGAAAATGATTATTGATTGATGGATTCAACGTTGTAACTGCTCTATTAGTCATCGGATCGATCTTGTTTCGATTTCTTGGACGAATGATTGTTAGTTGATCTATTTTTGAGAAGCTAGTTAATATATGTGATTGTGAATGTGTGATCCATGAGCCGCATAACAATCCGGTGTTTACCTTCTTCTTGTGTTGAAGTCGTTTAAACTCTCGGATTGTTTGCCATAGATCTCGTGAATTTCATGACTTATATAGCTCGCTTAGCTCAGTGGATAGAGCACCACGACCTTTCTGTGGTAGAAATCGGTTCGATTCCGATAGCAGCTTTGTTTTTAACAGATTCGTTTTGATAAAAATTAGTTTGATTTTGTTTCATGTCATTTATGTGATGATTTTTTAGAGCTTCGTTTTCATAAAGAGTGTCTAATGCTTTGAGAAGTTTTTTAAATTACTAATTTATTTATGTGATGATTTTTTTAGAGCTTCGTTTTCATAAAAGAGTGTCTAAAGCGTTGATAAGTTTTTTAACTTACTAATTTATTTATGTGATGATTTTTTAGAGCTTCGTTTTGATAAAGTGTGTCTAAAGATTTGTATAATATTATATGTTACTAATTTGTTTATTGTTATATATGCAGATTCATTTGACAAGTAGCTATGGGTAAAGAGAAGTTTCACATCAACATTGTGGTCATTGGCCATGTCGACTCTGGGAAATCGACCACCACTGGTCACTTGATCTACAAGCTTGGAGGTATTGACAAGCGTGTCATCGAGAGGTTCGAGAAGGAAGCTGCTGAGATGAACAAGAGGTCTTTCAAGTACGCATGGGTGTTGGACAAACTTAAGGCTGAGCGTGAGCGTGGTATCACCATTGACATTGCTCTATGGAAGTTCGAGACCACCAAGTACTACTGCACAGTCATTGATGCTCCTGGACATCGTGATTTCATTAAGAACATGATTACTGGTACCTCCCAGGCTGATTGTGCTGTCCTCATCATTGACTCCACCACTGGTGGTTTTGAAGCTGGTATCTCCAAGGATGGTCAGACCCGTGAGCATGCTCTTCTTGCTTTCACCCTTGGTGTCAAGCAAATGATTTGCTGCTGTAACAAGGTGATATAGCTATTCCATTTTTCAATTCATTTGTCTTATTGTACTGTTTTGTTTGCTGATAACAAATGTGTTTTGTGCATTTGTTTCGTCTTTGTTACAGATGGATGCCACTACCCCTAAGTACTCCAAGGCTAGGTACGATGAAATCATCAAGGAGGTGTCTTCCTACCTGAAGAAGGTTGGGTACAACCCGGACAAAATCCCATTCGTCCCCATCTCTGGGTTCGAGGGTGACAACATGATTGAGAGGTCCACCAACCTTGACTGGTACAAGGGACCAACCCTCCTTGAGGCTCTCGACCAGATCAACGAGCCAAAGAGGCCATCAGACAAGCCCCTCCGTCTTCCACTTCAGGATGTCTACAAGATTGGTGGTATTGGAACGGTGCCAGTGGGTCGTGTTGAGACCGGTATGCTCAAGCCTGGTATGGTGGTGACCTTTGCTCCTTCAGGGTTGACCACTGAGGTTAAGTCCGTCGAGATGCACCACGAGTCTCTTGTTGAGGCTCTTCCAGGTGACAACGTGGGATTCAATGTTAAGAATGTTGCCGTCAAGGATCTCAAGCGTGGGTATGTTGCATCCAACTCCAAGGATGACCCAGCTAAGGGCGCTGCCAACTTCACTTCCCAGGTCATCATCATGAATCATCCTGGTCAGATTGGTAACGGTTACGCTCCAGTTCTTGATTGCCATACCTCCCACATTGCGGTCAAGTTCTCTGAGATCCTCACCAAGATTGACAGGCGTTCTGGTAAAGAGATTGAGAAGGAGCCCAAGTTCTTGAAGAATGGTGACGCTGGTATGGTGAAGATGACTCCAACCAAGCCCATGGTTGTTGAGACCTTCTCTGAGTACCCACCTCTTGGACGTTTCGCCGTGAGGGACATGAGGCAGACTGTTGCCGTCGGTGTCATCAAGAGCGTTGACAAGAAGGACCCAACCGGAGCCAAGGTGACCAAGGCTGCCGTCAAGAAGGGTGCCAAGTGAAATATTACCTTGAAGAAAACTCTATCATCCGCAGTTGAATGGAAAGAATATTTTAGTTTTGTTACATTAGTTTGGTCTTTGGTCGCTTGTTTGTGTTACAGCTTCGTTACCTCTCCGTCAGAGCTTTGTTCTCGTAACTGGGTTCTTGATCGGAGGTGGCGAAGCTATTCATTACTCTAGAGCTACCTGTTTTTTTTTACTTTGTTTTGCTTTCGGATTTGAACTATTTTGTTATAATGAATATGGTGTTCCTGCGGTTACTATTTTGTCTAGTTGTCCTCATTTCGTTTTTTTTATTAGTGGTCATTGTTCATGATTCACTTTGATTAGCTTGGTTCTTAAAACCTGTGCACCATTGTTATAATGTAAAGCTCAAAGAGGTAACTGATGAAGACGAACATGTATAGATTGCGTAAAAAACGTAAATGGTTTCGAAACAAACGTTACCTTGATTTTCATGTTCGGTTGTTTTGCAAATAATTTATACTCTGATTTGTAAAGTTAATTGTAGGCACAGATTATTCTACGAAAGTAAAATATTTTGTAACTTTGGTTTACAAATTTAAATACATTCTAGAAGTGAAATATTTGCAATCTCATTATGAGGTTATTAAGAAAGGTAAAGAGTAGGGAGATGGAACCAATAAACCAGGACAGAACACGCGGTACAAGTCGGTTCCAATCGGTTTAGTTTTCAGCATGCATCTGTCATGCTTCTTTCCCATTCCTCCAACGCGACCTCTGCTTCTAGTTTCTCAGGAACACAATCTGCAAATACAATAATTTAAATTAAATTTCAGTAGCAGTGAGGAATTAGAGAAACGAATACTTGAGAGGATACATGAAGTAGTACCCGCAAGGAACTCGTATCTGTCGTCGTTACTCACTACAGATGCTGCCAATGAGAAGAAACATAAGAAACGGTGACACAGATTTCAAAACATCATAGATTGTAATAATAGTATTTGATTGTTTTGTAACCAATCTTGCAAGTGATGATAATTAGCACATCAACAATAATCTTTCAACATGTGTCAAACATGGGAATTAGCATTGAGGTAAACCTCTGGCACTAGCTTAGATCAGGCAATAGGTAGATAGGGAAGAGAAAATAGAGAGCTTACAAAGATGTTTGTAGTGGATGAATTTCTTTTTGTCCTGGACAGAACTTTCATAAGCTTCTCCAGAAAACCGCTCAATGAACAATTCCTTCAAATTACAAACACTAATCAATGTACTGTAAACGCCATAAAACTCTGGTTTCAAATAACAAATGATGATAACGAGATCGAAAAATAACACTTGATTTCAGTTTTCTATCACTCTTTAAAAAAAAAAAAACTTCTCAATAATATTTGAAGTTTTGATTACTATATGCTAGACATTCAACAAACAGTGGAATTTGAAGTTTTGATCTTACTATACGCAAAGTTAACCCTTCAACTGAGAGATATTATTAGGACTTGCTTATGTATGTTGGGACAAAAATCTACAAAAACTAAGAGCTAAACATGTGACACTCAAGCAGTAAGTATGGTTTCATCTGCACTATCTCAAAGGCAAACCACATAGATGAACCGTTAACGTTTACTTCCTATTTAAACAAGTATGCACTGCCATCATACAGCACTCACTTAGCACACACACAAAAAAAAACTAATCACCATGACAATTTACGAGACTCTGATGCCTAATTCACACTCATTAGCCAATAATATTCTGAAACTGAGTATCTCCACCTAGAAAAAATCTAGATATCGAGACTCGAGAAGCAAGTTATATACAGTAAAACTTCTATAAATTAATAATGTTGGGACTACTACACCAAAATTTTATTTTTTTTATTAATTTACAGAGATATTAATTTATAGATATACTAATTGAACCAAAAATTCAGTTTGAGACTATAAAATTATATTAATTTATAGAGATATTTAGTGTATATTAATTTATCGAATATTAATTTATAGAAGTTCTACTGTATGTCAATGGTGTATTGATTACCGTGGCTTTGTTGACAAGAAACACAGCGTCCTGCATAATCTGAGGAGCAGAGTTATCACTTCTCATTATCCTCCGGATCCTATTCATCGGAAACCTAATCATCTTAGCGTCTTCCACTCCTCCGCCATTACTCTTCATCGGCTCATCACGTCTCGCTTCTTCCACAGAGTCGCTGCTCGAAGATTCCGAGATCTCCTGAACCTCAGGCTCCTTCTTCACAGTGGTTTGCACATTGATCTCCTTGTTCTTGGTTCTGGAACCGGAGCTGCGTGCACTACGAGCACCAGTTGTGTTGACGCCATCGCTCCTCGGCTTCTTCTTCTCCTGGTTCGGTTCCTTCGACGACACCATTGTTTAGTATTAGAACTGTGTGTTTGTTTCACTACTTTCACCTTTTTTTGCCTGAATGAAACCGATGGATTCTTATATGGGCTTATATATTTGAGCCGAGTAGGCCCATAGGCCCAGATATGATGTTTGACTTGTTTGACCAGGCTGTTTGATTTGAGATGGATAGCAGATCATTACCAGATTTAGAATGTTTTCATCTAAATCAATTGTAAATTACTATTTCGAGGTTGTGTAAATGTAATATACTAAAAATATGTAAATATTAACGGACATGGAAAGCAACAAGTGGAATATGAAACTATTTTGTTGTAAACAATCGAAAGTTTAATTAAATATTTGAAAAATTGTTAAGTCATAGACAAAAAAGAGCCTCCTAGTCAAACAGCAACTTAATTTAGTAACATGTGGATATAAAACTAATGTTTTGATGATTTAGATTCTGTATTATAATGAAAATGAATGAAAATATTTGAAAAACAGAAAATTGTTTGTATTTTTTATGTTATCTATTTGATTAGATGAGGAAAATGTCGTAATGAGACAGAAGAGGTGTCTATAAACTAAGTCCAGCACGTACGTGTGATCAACTACACGCGTCAGAACTTAACTACACTCCCTCTGTGATATTAAACGTGTCGTTAGTTCTTGTCTTCAATCACCAAGAAGACGAGTTTGGCTTTTCATAGAGCGTCTTGTACTCTTTAACAGAACAACGGTGTGTCGTCTCGTTGTTATCATCAATATGGCTATAGTGGAAGAACCCATCTTTTCAAGATTGGACCGTATTGATTTCATGGTGAGGAAGCTAGAGGTAATAAAAGGAAGTTCGAGTCCATCGACTCCATCGAGTGGCAGGACTCAACCATCTTCACTAGATATGTTTTCACCGAGGAGAAGCATAGGGAAACTACAGAGCCGTTCGATGGAGCAAGTGATGGAGGAGACTGAGCGTAAGGGAACGTTGCTAGAGAGACTAAACAATGTGGAGGAGCAAGTTATTAAGCTTTGTGCACACTATGAGGAAGAGATTAAGGAGGATAAGTTGATGGAGAAGGAGAAGAAGACAAAGAAGAAGAAAGGGTTGAGGAAACTGGTTGATAAAGTTGTTGGACCCTCTTCTCCAATTAATAAACATTCCAAGGGCTTTCATTGCTGAGCTATTTTACTCTTATTACATATCCATCATCGATGTTTGTTTCAAACCATGTGTGAAAGCTTTTCTTATTTTTCTTTGCCTTCCACATAGTTTTTTCTATTTCAAAATTCAACTAATGCAAATCATGTTTAATAAGAAAAAAAAGTAGGAAAAGATGAAGGTAATGAAACTAATGAACAAAAGAATAAATGTTATTTCAAAGAGCTAAACCAAAATGAAAAAATGCAAAACAATGGCTTTCCTCTGACCCACAAATGTCAGCCAAATACATTCTTATGCAAACATAATAAAACAATACTATGTAATAGAGACCTAAACTTCAACTAAACTTCTCCTAAAGACTCTCTTCATTAGATATTATAATAGTCTCTAACACCTACTTTTTTTTTTATACCATCTCTTTCCTGCAGTGAGTTCATAAGTTTTCAAACTTCCAAAGCCCAAACTCAAAACTGCCTCAGCACTCTTTGTCTTTTAAGCTCTGGAGTGAATCATGCTGGTGTCAAACTCATCACCTTCCTTCCTCCTCATCTCTATGATCTTCCTGTGTGAGTTTGAATGCAGAGATGGGACAAAGGTTGGGCTTGAGGCTGGCCTATACTCTGGAACTAGACGGCCAGACCTGAACCGAACCCCACAAGCGTTGCAGAGTGTCTTTGGTCCATTGGGCCCTTCCCTCCACTGTGGAGTCTGTGTAGTCTCACAATGAGTGCATTTCCTCACTATCCCATCATAGCTACTCGCCTCTGACACTGTGTGGCTGGACTTGTGTTTCTTCTTGGCATGTTGCTCAGAGGAGAAGTAAGTCTTGTGCTTACTTAGTTCAAAAGGGTAAAGGTATCTTAACTTCAGTGTTGTGGGGCGTTTGCGCTTGCTTCTCATGCCTTTCACAGGGAAAGCTAAACTCTGAGATATTAAGTTCTGTGGAGAGAAAGAAGCGTCACTGCTCTCAAGTACTGACACTGGACTTGAAGACTGGAATAGCTTTGAGACTTTAACATCAGGAGGTGATGAAGATTGGTGTTTCTGCACACATGAATGAATATTATACCTTATACTCTTCGTTATTGATTGCATTATTATATAATGTATCAACTTAGATGAAATGCATATAGGTGGAGGTTGTGAGTAATCTATAACAAGTGGTATGCTGTAACAAATATTGAACCTAAGAGAATAAAAATGTAATTATTGATGTAAACAAGTGTGATGTTATGGCAAGGAAGAACCTTACCAACGAAGGTACACAGGGAACCTCCTTGCTAATGCCATGAGATGAGGTGAACTCAGAGGGGAAAGTAGTGAACAAATCCATGGGAGGAGGCTCGAGGTGTTGAAACTTAGCGTCCCAATCTTCTCCCTCACCATTGATGTCTTGTAGTGGAAACTCAATGTGGTTGATGAGATCATCAAAGAAATCATCAGTCAGACCATTGATTTCCTCTTCAGGTAACCAATTCATACTGCTTCCTAATATTAGGAAGAAAAAATGTGAACACTTTTTCTTTTATGAGGCAAAACAATAATAATATGCACCAAATGATTTTTATTTTATTTTTAAAAGCAGCCAAGTGATCAACAATCACCTTTAAATGTTCAATTCCTTAATATTTTAGGAGCACTCAAAAATACAGTGAACCTTACTAGAGAAATTTCACAAAAAAAACTTATATATCTCCTTGTGCATCATAACATTGGAGAGCATGGCTTGACAAATTGAACCTAAATGACAATATTTTTTTTCTAACGATTTTTTTTATTTATTTAGACGCCTGTCTAGTCAGTAATCCCATACAAAACACCTAATTATCGACCAGCAAGTTCTTGAAAAGTGTCGGTCGCATTAACCTAAACCAAACCAAAGCAACAATTTTCTTTAAAAATAAATAAATTATTTGTAACATTCTCCGCAACACATAACAAAAGTAGAACACATGAAATATATAACATACGAATCCTATAACATAAACAGAAAATGTATACACACGTTAAGGGGAAGATAAAGAGAGACGTACGAACCTTTTCAATATACTTTGGACTACAGAGAGAGATTTAGGGATTTGCAGGTTCAACTTTGGGAGAAAAACAGAGAGAGAAGAGAAGGGGGGAAGAAGATAAAAAGGTAGATAGATAGATGGGAGTTTTCAATGTCTCCTCGGTTTCTTCTTCTTTTTTCAGAGATTTTTTTATACTAATAAATATAACGAAAAAGAGGTATATGGAAACTGCTTTTCAATTTCAAAACATTTCTTAGCTTTAAAGAAAAATCTGTAATCGATTTTTAGAGGAAAGTAAATAATGTATTAACGCGTCCTTTTACTTAAAAGACAACATTTTAGTAACCTCAATATTTTCATTACTTTAAAAAAATGTTAATACGGACATTTTTTTTAACTTTTAAATTGTACGGACATTTATGAATATAAATAAGGTAACAGATCAGTCAAATATCGATCTATTTGAATGGCATTCTATTTTCCGCTAGAATATATGTCCGTGTAAGAAAATAATAGAAAGCTTACCATGTTTTAATTAACGCGGTAAGAATAAGATATTAAGATAAGTATGTTTTTTTTTTGTGTTAGCAAAGATGGTAATACAGTCAAATGAATTAAATAATACAAAAGAAAAAAAAAACAAAAGGGCATAGCACATGCAAAGTCAATCAGGTGACACAAAAATACACCTTAAAGAAGGATGGTTCGTTTCTAGATCCCATCTATTATTATTTTTATCGAGTAATGATATGTTATGATTTATTTAGCAAACAAATAAGTTAGAGGAAGGGTTTATTATAAGTAATGCTAATAGTAATTTGGATTAATAATGAAAATAACCTGTCAAAAGTGAAATGGAGAGATCACCGACGACGATTATGAGACGAGAACCGAATTTTTTCAATAATGATTATGGCGTTACCTCATGGGAAAGTGGGTCCCTTGCCTAACTCTTTTGCTTCCCATCTCCCACATGATCTGTTCTTCCTATCAATTATTATTTTTTATCCTATGGTATCATGATCATATGATATTTTGATAAATTATAATTCATGTCAATATTCACATAAAAATATCACGATATTTGTTTTCCTTTTCTTAACATCCATATTTTATTCTCTTTAAAATCTTGAATTTTTTTGACCAAAAAAAAATCTTGAATTTCTCATAGTGTAACCCACTAACCCTGCATATCATGTGGGGTATTGTTCTCTGCATTTTTTAATACGATATTTATTTAGTTGTACGTAGGCAATAGTAGAGTTTGTCCGTGAACAACAGTACAGTCAATTCAAACTAGTTACCAGTACTTTGCAAAATGTGAAATCTAATGAAAACTTTAGTATAAGATATAGTGGGTTCTTTATTATAATAAACGGCGCAAGTTTTGTGTAGCCTTTTTCAAAAAGAGAAGTAAGAAGACAGGCTTTTCCATCTGTAAGGCAACACCCAAAACTTTTTCTTTTCCACGAGAATATCACATTTGGACCCATAAGCCTCGTTATATTTTATCATTGCTGATTTTTTGGGCCGAAAGACAGTGAGAATTATCAAATCTTAACCTTTGGACCCATAAGCCTCGTGACATTGCTTCTAAGTTTGATTGCTTCTTTCATACTCACTTTATCACGGGAAAAAAAAGTTTCATTTACAGACAGTGTAAGAAGAAGCTTTGATGATGGCCTCCTTAACAACTAACTTTTCAGTATTATAGGGAACTTACTTTTTTTTTTATACATATTAGGTTTATGCAACTCTAAACCAACTAAACATCAGAAGATTAGATCACTCGTCATCAGAGAGACAGACCACATCATTGCTCCTCTGCAATCCATTCCCCAAGTTCTGTTGTTGTTCTTGCTGTTGCAATAACGCATTTGAATATGTTAAAGTGTTGGAGATGAGAGGCTGTCTTGGCTGAGGCATTGTGCAGTACGTGGAACTCATACGAAGGTCTGATAGGCGAGAAACCGAAGGAGCTGAAGCAGTATGATTCCTCACTTGTACTGCTCTCTGTACTAGCTGCTGGATTCTACCTGGAGAAGAAGAAAAACGAAGCTGTTATTATGACTTCATAATCTTAAAAGCAATTATTCTCTATTATTTTGAACACTTGCCCATTGGAGCTGCTGAGGAATGAGAGGAGAGTCTGCTCGTACATTTAGATAAGAACGCACTGGACAACAGCTTGTTCATTATCACAAGATTCTTGCGCGTCTGTAACTTCGTCTTTTTGGCTGCATGTTCTACTTGTACCTCATGAAACTTTCTTTGATACGCTTCTTGTAACCCAGCTATCTTTCTCTCGAATTTAGCTTTCGCGACTAATTTCTGCTCACAAAAGAGTTGGTGAACATTGAGAAAAAAGAACCAAAAGTAGAGATAAGTGACAACAACTAACCTTTTCTTCACAGGTTTTCTTTATGATCTCTGATTGTCTTCGAAGCTTCTCCAGTTCATGCTGAAACGGGTCACGGAACACAGGGAAAGGTATTTGGGGAACATGTTGAATGGGACTCTGTCCCATAGCCCTAACATTGTTAAGAAGTGAAGGAATTGGAGCTGTTACACCTGCTGAAGACTCCACAACACCTTCATGGACAATGGGTGCAACGTTATCTGAGCAAAGGGCATTATCAAATTGTTAGCTGTTTGGCAAACTTATAGTGAAATGCACAAGGTGTAGTTACCGACCAGTTTCTACTGCTTCTGATACTGTTGTAATATTTTGTCCCTCAGTGTTTGTTGCTATATCAGCCTGAGTTTCAACCGATGGAGATGGCAGAGAGCATGCATCCTGAGTTTCCATTATTTCCTGCAAAAAATGCAGAAAGAAACATTACAAAGTTGTAGTACTTTCCGACAACAAAAGAGAAAGTTTAAAGTACCTGTTCTGATACTGCGCCTGGACCAGCTATGTCGTGCTCAACTGATGTGCTGAGATTTTGGCTCTCAATATTTGCGCCTGAATCAGGTTGATTTACAGCCGGCGAAAATGGCAAAGGACATGCAACTTGATCACCCTGTCCAGAGAGTCAAATTTTAAAACATATATGAGACCTAATCAATACCCACACTTCCCTGCTCTTTCAATGGGAACTCAGAACGAACATTACTAACAGCTAGATAACAATAAAACTGCAAAAGATAAAGTCTTAAAGAGAGACCTGCTCTGATGCAGCAGAACCACCAGTCTCTAATGTTTCTGATCCAGCTGGCTGAAACTCAACTGCTTCTCCAATATTCTGGCATTGAATTCTTTCTGCTGGGTCAGGTTGTTGTCCAGCCGGTGAAGAAGGCACAGGAGATCCAGCTGGCTGAGGCTCAATTGCTGGTTCAATATTTTTTCCCTGATTGTTTTCTGCTGAATCAGATTGCTGTCCAGCCGGTGAAGAAGGCATAGAAGATTCAGCTGGCTGAGGCTCAATTACTGTTTCAATATTTTTGCCCTGAATGTTTACTGTTGGGTCAGATTGCTGTCCAGCCGGTGAAGAAGGCATAGAAGGCTCAGCTGGCTGAAGCTCAATTGGTTCTTCAATATTTTTTCCCTGAATGTTTGCTGCTGGATCAGGTTGCTTTCCACCCGGTGAAGAAGGCATAGACGGTTCAGCTGGCTGAAGCTCAATTGTTGCTTCAATATTTTTTCCCATGTTTGCTGTTAGGTCAGGTTGCTTTCCACCCAGTGAAGAAGGTATATGAGATCCTGCTGGCTGAGCCTCAATTGTTGATTCAATGTTTTGGTCATGGAAGTTTTCTGTTGGACCAGGTTGATTTCCTCCTGGTGAAGAAGGCATAGAAGATCCCGCTGGCTGGGTCTCAATTGCTGATTCAATGTCTTGGCTCTGGAAGTTTTCTGCTGGATTAGGTTGCTTTCCTCCCGGTGAGGAAGGCCTAGGACATATCTCGTGATCCACCTGTCCAGAAAAGTAAATTTATTAAGTAAAAAGGGAATTTGATCAGCATCAACCATTTGTTTTTTCAGGTAAACAAGAATGAGCATTTTAAAGATAAAATGAACAAACCTGATCAGATTCAGCAGAGCCCCTAGTCTTTACCAAAGACGCAGGGTGTGGCATAGGCAACGCTAACTCTTCAGGAATCTCCTTGTCAAGAGAACAAGCTTCCTCATCCTGCTGGTCCAAAATGTTGTCTGCATTGGAGCCCGCTTGAATTGTTCTATCATTTTCAAATGAAACCAAAGCCTCCTCTCTATTCAAGGAAGAGTCGAGAGAGGTAGACTCTGGCACCATTGAGGGAACATTTTCATCTGGTGTCGTTGATGTCGCTCTGTCACGAATCTGGTATTCTGACAACTGCACGTTCAAGGGTGCAGATTCCTCTTGACAGCCAGCAGGATTCAGAATCTCAGGCGCAGTGATCGAAGAGTGCTCATTGGGTTGGCTCTTTGTAGCCAAATTCTCTGTAGGTTGTTCATGAGACAAGGTAGAGTCGTCCATCGCCTTATCATTTTTTGAAGCCACCATTTCATGAACTTGTTGAGTGCTGCCACCCGACATAGTTCTTAATGTGGTTTCTGCTTCTGGCACTTGATTTCCCTTGGAAACCATGCAATTCGTTTCAGCGTGAGTAGCCTCACCACTGACATCATTGCAAGTTTGTACATCAGGAGCATTTTGGGAAGTGTTTGATGAGCACAATCCCCTAGAATGCTTGTTGTTGCCACTTTGAATAGGAGCACTATTTCTTAATTCAGCTAGTGCCCATTTCTCTATCCGACTAATCCAAAAGGCTTCATCCTCAGCCAACTTCTTCTTTGCAGCCTCGTATATTTTCTCTAAACTTTCAAGGCATTCATCCAACTCTCCTTTGAGACTATCAAACTTTCTTTCAAAAGTATATTCCAGCCGTTGGAGAGCATCATGTAAGCTTTGGAGAGCATCATGTAAGCTCTGCGTACTTATACCTAAAAAGGTGACACGAATAACTGATGCTTCCACCTTTTTACAATTTTGAAGTTCCTGCTTCTTGACAGCATTCATATTCATCAGGGCCATCTTTTCTTCCTCGTGGGTTTGTACAAGCTTAAGCAGGTTCTTACTGCATTTCCTTTTGATGTCGCTAATAGTCTTTTCAACATCCTTTGTTACTGAGCTATAATGGTTACCTCTCTTCTCAGCCATGCATTCTTCACCCTTTTCCTGGAAACCTCGTGTGCGCCCCACGAATAGACTCTTCATGCAGTACAGAAAAGAATACATATAATATACCTCTTCTCTAGAGCAATTGAAACCTAATTCCGATTTTGCGCGAATCAGAGATTCTTCACGGTTAAACTTTTGCTTTACGAACGAGACTGCAATCCAAATCTGAAAGTGCATTATTAAGAACCTATTCAGCATGTGACTATTCATAAATTATGCAAAAATCAAAGGCCTTTCGTTGTGGCCTACAAAGCATGATTTGGAAGTTTTTATCCTATGATTGGAAAGTTAAAGCTTGAAATACATTCCCACAAGAGCAGTGATGCCACAGATGATCTTTTTCAAATTAGGCAGATGATGAAGAAAACAATGCATAAACTATGGAAATGAATGCTGTCATACCAAGGCTATTTGGAAGGCCTGCAATGTTGTAGCTGGCTCTTTGCAGACATGGTGGTTTTCAATAATATATTCAAGAAAATTTTCAACCATGCGTGCCAAATTTTCCTGAAAAACGAAATGATATGTCAACCAATCAGCAGATATACATATTGGTGCAAGTTCAATAGACGGTGCACACAGACAATCACAGAAGCATTCAGTATGGACAGGGATATGAGATATAAGACCTCGAAATAACAGGTACTGTCTACATAGAACTTATAGCGTCAGTCAATATATCAGTTCTATAAACTAGCAAACATATAAACTTTTGATCGACAGGTTTTCTTGATCGTCAGTCAACATAGAACTTAGCTACGAAGGACATGGGAAATATAGCTACCTAATGTTTTGTGCAGAAGTTCCTCCATTTTTAACAGAACATTAGCAAGAAAACCAGATATGACGGAAGCAATATATATGAACACTAACAATTTCCATTTGGCTATAGAATGTGCATACGCAAAAGCTAAAATAAGTTGCGCAGGCGAAAAAGTCACTTACTGAAAGATGCAAAACTTGGCAAAGTTTTGCCATCTGCGGCTTTAAAACAGCATGGAGATTCTTCTGTGATTCGCTCGTAATTTGTCCCCTATCAATGCCGGCTAACATATTCTCTGGGATTTCAGATATATGACCGCCCACAGAATACAAGCCAGTAGCATCTTTTCCATTTAATGAATCGTTAGTACCAGAAGCAGATCCACATGATGACTGGAGTGTTGTGACTTTTGGTGACTCCAAATCCCCTGAAGAATAGATAGTAAGTAAAGTAATTGCAAAATTCAATGAACACTAGAGTTATAGGGGCAGGAAGTGAACTATTTTACCCAAGTGATCCTTCCCAGAGGGTTTTCTTTCATCCGAAGCCTTCTTTTTCTTCTTTGTATTCTTGCCATCGTCAAGTTTGGCAGTCTCTTCAGAGACCTGAAGATGCCGAACTCTTTTTCGACTCCTTGGCGAAGTATCTGAATAGTATTTCCACATAGGGTTCTTTCCACCCAACAGCTTTTCCCAAAATATATTTGGACTAACTTTATCTGACAGCTCGACATATTTTTCCCCAAACAAAGTAGACTCAGTGCTGTAAGTTCCCTGGGCATGCTTGGCTTCTAAGAGTAGACACAGCTTGCCTACATTTCCTTTTCCAACACTGGAAGAGAGTATGGACGAGAATTCACGAATCACGTCTCCCCTAATAGATTGTTCTAATGGAGCTCCTGAATCTGGGGTTTGACTGCCGTGGAAGTGATTCAGCTTATCAAATAAATACGAAGCCCCCCACATGAGCAGTGCATGTGTGAGAGGACGATTTAGGTTGTCCAGAGACTTTTTTTGCTTAGCCAGAATCAGGGCTTTTTCTTCAACTGTACATATTGAGTACAACCGGAAAATTGTAGTTCTTTCAGAATATGACTCAATCTTGATCTTCTCTAAGAGCTTGACATCATGCGATGCATTCAAGCTGCTTCCAAAAAGAATCAAAGCCTCAGCCCGCAAGAGTTTAATGCTTTGACTGCAGGCACGTGTTTCCAAAAGAAGAATAAAACATTCACTCTCCTTGTTGAAATTGTTTACGGCGTTCTTCGTTGAGTGACAAACCCCATGCTCATAAGAAGTTTGACCAAATCTCTGACCCACAAAGTCGTCGAGAATATTAGCCAGCAGAAGCCCCTCAGGGCTTTGTGTTGCCTGTTGAACAAAATATGAAAAGTTATTCAAACAGACATGAGGCACATACATCGATTAAAGAAGAAGAGAAACAATTCAGCTCAGCATTTCTCATAGTGCCTAACTGATTACTGAAGGCTACTTTACAATTCATGATCAAGATACTATATATGTTAGAATTCTATTGTTAAAACTTAAAAGCAAATGTCAGGATACTATATATATATATACATTAAAAATGCAGTAAGCGGCGTATTTATGCTTAACAAAGAAATATTCATAAATAATGGAAACGCACCTGGTAGAAGACAACTGCTTTTAAACCCTTTGTTTTTATTTCAGTAAGCATTGCATCAAGTAGGTGAAGTTTCCCGCTTGCTTTGACTTCTACATTCACGAGTTCATGCAACTCCAGATTCTTGGTAAGCAGTTGTTTCAAAGATGCATCCATAACATATGGATGCTCACAGGTCTGTCAACAAAATTGCAAACACACGAAGAAGGTCGTTAATATCTCCACGCATTAACATACATAAAGAGGCTTTGAGAAAACGTGATGCTGAGAGACAGTAGTCAGATGTCTAACAAACCCTAAACTGTCTTAGTTTGCACTTCAAGTTCTATGTGTTATGGAGCAGAGTAAAACAAATAGACATTTCCTAACAAACATACAAACAGAAAAACATAGCACCTGTGTGACAACATCTTAGGAGCACTGCACACAATACCTTTTTAAACAGCAATGCAGCGAGACTTTATCTATTTCTATATTTTGTTTCTTATCTTATGGCAATCGTTAACTGGGAATTTAAAGCACAAGCGCACTGAAGAATAAACTTACTTTCCTTACAGATGTGAGAGTTTCTTCGAGAGCTCCACCATGATCAATCCTTGACAGCGACGAGAGAGGTATAGATTTGGAGAAGAGAGTCCGACAGTATTGCTCTATCTGTACATCTGATAGCTGCACCGGAACCCAATACTCTGTGTACACTGATGACAATTTGGGGTCATATGATTTAGCTTGTTGCATATTATGCTTGTTCTCCCCATAGTCTCTGTTTGAAGCGGGTCCCTTCATATCATAATCAATTCAGAACAGAATTTGCAGTTTAGAAGTAAAAGGATAAGTAAATTTGACAGGCCAATGTTAAACGGGTGTCCAAAGTAAAGTAAGAAGAAACCAACCTGTGCCATGTGATCAGGTTCTTGAACTGGCTGAGCATTGAAGGAAGAAACACAGAAATTTTCAAAATCATCGATGACCCTTCAAATTTGTTGCAAAACCAAAATTACAATCTAGAACATGGGTTCGGCATTCATCTATAAAAGCATTTGCCAGATCGATTCAAAAAGAGACGAGAGATCAAGAATTCTTACTTTTTCCCTTTTTGCCATGTGCCCCGACTTTCAGGTTGATTATGATTTGTGCAGTCGGATGGAGATGGAATAACCCCATTAGCACTCATAACGCGGTCATCTGCATTTGCGCATGCATCCATCACAATTCCTGCAGTGTCCCTTTTTCTTTTCAGAGGCAAATCTACGCCAGTTTTTAATCTAGTTTCACTGACACGACGCTTCTGCGTTTCTGGATTCTCATATGGTGAACCTATAACACTGTCATTCCCAACCATGGGGGATGAATCAAGCACCATATTTTCAGTATCCCTAGCTAGTTTCACAGAAAGATCAGGGCCCTTGTCTAAACAAGTTTCGCCAACTAGGAGCCCTTTAGATTCTGAACTGTTATCATCTCTAGCATCATCATTTCCCGCAGGAACTCGGCGAGAACAACCAACCACTACTAATTCGTCATCATTTGAACAAGCATTAGCTTCATCCCTGAGAAGCCCCCTAAACAACGCCCTGTAACTCCTCCCTGACATTTTAGGCTGCTGTTTCTTCACCTCCCCTGTCAAATCTTCCACGTTGTCTATCTCTTTCCCCTTACTCTCCACAACATCCGATGATGAAGTGTCAGCATTCCTGCCAGACTTATCAGAAGCACCACTATTTCCCTTTTTAGACCTTCTCAACGAACTCCCTTTGTGTTTCTTCTCCATTTTACCAGACTTTTTCGAAACTGAAACAGGTGAAGGAGCCTGTCTCTCTGACTTGCTAGTAGCCGTAGACGTTGCTCCCCTACTTGACCTCCTCAAACTCAAACCAGAAGTTTCTTTTTCTGTAGAGACAGAAGCCACAGCTAGAGCTCTAGTGCAAACACTCCTTCCCTTTGAACTACTCTTCTCCTCTTTCTTCATCTCATCTGAAAATCACAAAGGATAAATTTCAAATCTTTTCACAAATTGCAGCAACAAAAAAAACTACCTAATCAATGTGTTGCATGTAACATACACATAGAATCTCACCACAAAGACATTGCAAGTCTCTAAAATCCCTAATTAAACACACCTATAGAATCTCTAAAAAAAAAGCCCTAAAATCGTTCGATCGAGACCTTAATTTTAGCGATTAACAACTCAAACCTAAACGAAGCGTTACCTGCACGAGAGAAAGCGAGGAATGAGCTGAATCTACAGCTTGACGCGAGGGGAAAATCGTCGACGAAATCGCTTCTTCCGAGCTCTTATACGCGAATTTTCACACACTCACGCACTCTCTCAGAGGCGCTGTGATTTGTGACAGTAATTACTATGTCATTTTGTTTTGTTACGCCGTAATTAAATGTTCTTAAATGTCCCCTTAAGTATTCATCGTTTTCTTTTCCTTTTTCAACGTTACACACTTAAATGAGAGATGGGGATTTAAATTAAACAAATTTATGTCGTTACGCCGTTATCTAAAACTATTTTTTACTACCGCCAAAATGATTTGGCTTCTCTGGGAAGTATTCTCTTGAGATTTTGGATTTCGAACATTTTTTTAGTACAAAATTATACTTTTATATAGAAACTTCTATAAAAAATTATAAATTTAAGGTTCAAAAGTCATAGTTAAAAATAAGTTAAATAAAATTTCTCCACTGTAAAGAATCCAGCATCATATTTCCAGTGATCTTCTTCCAACAATAAGCTCGCTGTGAAACTGATTGATTCTAAAGTTGTCTCGGTTAACAATGATTTTTCATCTGCTTCTGAAACTACGTGGGCCTTATTCGGCTTTTTTTACGAATACGTTAGCTCATGTTGGGTTTTCTTTTGGGCCCATATCAACAACTCGAAGTATTGATAGCGGTACGTAGACGATTAGGGGTATCATTATTTGTGATCACCACTATTCCCGTTGACTGATAAATAAATACTCATGTGAAGACAGAATGGTGAAAATAGTAACTAGTGAAACCATCATTTTCGTGAAGAAATAAAGATTAGTACAAACTTGTAACGTGTTATTGACTAAAGGGTGAATTAGCGCAATAACGGAACTAATATTAGCGAACGCTTTTGTTATCCACCATATATAAACGTCCACATACACGATAATGATGGTTCGCTAGCTATAGCAGACGCCTAACTCTTAACTCCTAACGTATCTTGAAACATTGGTCATATCTGTAACATTAAACTATAATGTACTTTTCTAATTTATAACGTTAAGTACACTTGGATATGGTTAGATCTAAATACAGTTTAACAGTATATTTGAGAGTCAGCGAGGACGTCTATATCAGAAATGAGAACATGATACGAAAAGTCTAATGGTACGTCATCATTAAATATCTGAATTATTGTGTTGCCAGGATTTGATAAGTCTGCAGACCACGATGCAGGTCAATGAAGCCACTATCACAATATAATACTCCCTCTGTTCCTAAAAGATCCATATTCTAGTTTTTTGACACTTTTTAATAAAACACAATAAATTTGCATTGTTTTTTGTATTTATTTTCTTTCCATAATTTTTAGCCAATAGAAAATCAATTAGTGCAATTAAGTTTTTTGAAGTTTACAATTAGTTAATAAAACATGCATTGAAAATGTAAAAAATGGATCTTTTAGAAATAAAATTTTTTTCTAGAATATGTATCTTTAAGGAACGGAGGGAGTATCAAACAGCAGAAGCGCTAATTAGAAAATGTCTGAGTTAGTTTGTTTGAGTTGTAACGTGTAACTTTATAGTATCTCTGAAGAAAAAAATAATAATACCGATACATGTTACAACTTTACAAATAAAATTAATTTAAGGTGCTGAGCTCATCAATATAGTTGACTTTTTCAGTTATCATTTATTTTTCAGTTATCATTTTTTGCAGTTATCATATTCCGACAATGATTTTCTCTTTGTTTCTCATATCCCAACTTGTTGGACATAGAGACGTCAGCAATATTGATTGATAAGCACTTTAGTACTCATATACATATCAATGCATCGTCTAACATATACTATGACATTTTAAGAGTTTTTTTGTAGTTGTTATTAACTCTTGTATTTTCACACAATTTTCAGATATTCAGATGAACTAGTTGTTTCGAGTCTTACGATAACCTTAAAGAGTGATACACTTCAATCAAAAAGAGCTTTTAATTAAAAAAGGCTCGGTGCAAACATCCTCTATATACTAAAGCGCAAGTCACTTGGCCAATCAAAAGCTGACATGTGGAATTTTTTTAAAAAAAAAATAAAAATAATTGACATGTGGAAAAAGATTTTTAAAATAATAATTAACTTTCACAAATTGTTTTCGTTGCTCAATGATCGTTTTATCAATGATAAGTAAACTGATGTGCAGTTACATACACCCACGAATCACGGCACGACTCATTTTCACCTTTCACGATTTTTATGTATTATTTGTTTGGTTCTTCTTATCATTTAAATTTCCCAATATTCCAGAAATTAGCAAAAAGGTGAGGTTGGAAACGGTGGAACGTGAAGACAGAAGAACTAAATCAAACAATAACTGAAAAAGTGAGTTATTTTGACGTTGTTTCATCTACCAATGATGTTTTTAATGATTCTAGAGTTTTGCTGAGATTCTTTTGTATGGTTGGCATCATATCATTGAATCGTGGGGCAACTAGAAACATGAGGATGGATGATGGTTTCCAGGTTTACACTCATTTTGTAGAGTTGCCAGTCAAAAATCAATATTACATTTGCAAGTTTTCTTGACATTCTATGCAAAAGTAATTTTCAGTGAACATCAAACCAGCATAAAAGCCATATAAAGATTGAAAAAAGAATACTAAAGAAGGCTGGCTGGAAAAGAAAAATAGCATCCAGGCACCCGGATTCATGATCGCAAATGGCGTCTTTTAACAAATCGGTGAGTTGTTGTTTTCTAATCCTATAAGGCTATAACTATTAAATATATGATTTTGGTTGATTTTGCGAAATTTTTATAAAGTATTTATAAATTATCTATGAGGCCATTAACTTTGTTTAAATTTCACTTAACGTTAAAAGTTCATCAAAAAAGATCAAATCAATTAAATAACTGAAATCTGAAAATAAGAAAGACTGTCAGTAAAAGAGTGTTATGTATAACTCTTCTGAACCTTACTGTTTGTTGATTTAAAAGTGAATTTTGTTTTGTTAATTTGTTTGATTACAAAAAAAATAAATAACATCTATGTTTTTTTAAAATGTGTATAATTTATAAAAAAAATATTGATTTTTGACTATTTGATCCTACTTAATAAAATATTTCATACTTTTTATTAATGTATAAATAATTTACACTTAAAAGCATCATAATAATACTTATAATTATATTTTAACAAAGAAAATGCATATCACATACTTTAAATTTTTAATTAACATATTAGATCATAAATATAATGTGCTCCTGCATAGCAGGGGCCATAATACTAGTACAATAATAATTCAAGAAATACAAAACGAAATAAAAGCATATCAAGAAAGAAAGAAATACTTATTTTCCCATTGTTTGTTTCCATTTCACATAAGTAAAATTATTGATTTTTAATCTTGGAATGATCAAGCATTGTTGGGTGTGTTCTAAGCCGGTGTAGCAGAGCGGCTACGTGGCCCAGCCTCAGACTTAGCGTTCTCAGCAAACTTGAGACTTCCTTGATGCAAGTTCTTCTGCTTCTCCTCCTCGTTCCACTCCGAAGCATAATAGTGCTCCTCAGTACCTTTCACTGGATCTCTAGAAGGAGGAAAGAACATGCTTCCCCATTGAGGAAAGTGGCATAAGGTCACAGGCAACGTGCAAGCAACTATCATAACTCCCATCCACGTTAGCCCTTGTTCAGTTGTGAAGCGGTTGGTAGAAAAGAAAATGAGTTGTGTGAGTCCTGAACCAAAGTTTCCTCCAGCCCCGGTTAGACCCGAGATGATACCTAGGGCTCTCCTGGAGACAAAAGGCACGATTGCAAAGGTGGCTCCACAAGCGGCTTGTGCTCCTAATGAGAAGAGGATCATAGCTACAACAGCAGTAACAAGGGTGTTGGCACGGCCGAGCCAGACACAGAAGAGACCACCTGCTGTCTGAATGATCCACAACGCCCACAACCGCCCTCTCATCCCGAAGTACTTGGCTGCAAGGTCAGATGCATAGCCTCCTGCTGGACGAGCAAAGAAGTTGGCCATTCCGAAAGAAGCTGCTATGATTCCAGCTGTGTGAAGCTTCAAGTGAAACCTGAATAAACCATAAAAATATGTTTATTAGTTATTACTAATTAAACTTATATTTTCCTTAATCATTTGGGGGCGAAATGATATATATATATATATATATATATGTATTAGCATTACTATTTTGAGATCATAAGCGAATGTTTCATCTAGCTATGGTTAGAACCGACTCTGACTATTCTCTCTTTTGAATATATGTAATCTTTTCTTTTAGTTTTTCCGAGATCAAAAACAAACCTGTCAAAGAAGTATTCGGCGATAACATTGTCAGTGCTCAACTCAACTCCCATGGAGTATCCATAGAGAAGAACAAAGATCCAAGTCCTGTAGTTTGTAACGGCGTACCACATAATCTACAACATTTTTACAAAAGTCAATTAGTTAATACTTTAATACGTCTAACTCGCTAGGATGACATATTCATGTGTGATATGTGTAGATAGATACCTTTCCGAATTTGTCTTTGGCAACTTCTCCCTTTTTCTCCAAGGCACTTCGGTTACCATCAGGAAGATCTTGACCTAGATTGAGCACCAAGACTCCCATGATGATGTGCAACCAACCAGGGACAAAGAAGGCAAGCCTCCAGGCCGTGAACGCTGTTGCACCACAACGCCTAATGATTTCATACACAATAGGCATGAGCAATTGCGTTATCCCACCGCCCATGTTTCCCCACCCGGCGGCTGTCCCATTCACAAGACCAATGATCTGACTATTGAACATAGTACTCATCCAATATTGACAAGACACAAACGTCGCCAGACAGAACCCAATCATGAACCTCACAGTTATGAACCCTGCCGCTCCACTCACGAAGCTCATTGAGAACACGGTTGGTGCGGAAAGCATCACAAGGAATGCACAGCCGTAACGTGGACCTAGAAGATCACACACTGCTCCCATCACCAGCCTGGAGAAGATACTCCCAGAGACGGACGCAACTCCAGCGTTACCAATGTCTTGTTTCGTGAGGTTGAGATTCTCACGGATGATGGGGACAAGTGGTGCAGCCGCGAATGTTGAGACAAAACACGTGGAGAAAGAGATCCACGAGAGATGGAACGTTCTCATGTGAGGTTTGGCAAAGGAGAAGAGCTTGAAAACCGTTGCCTTATGCTCCGAATCCACCGGCAAGTCGAACTTTGCTGTCTTGTCGGTTGGGACAATCGGTGAAGCCACCGAGAAAGCAAATGTTTGTTCTCTACCGGTCACTCCATGCATGGAGCTTCCCGGCTCGCCAGTAGAATCACCCATTGATCCAAAATGTTATAAGTTCCTTCACAAGAATGTGATATGATTTAAGTTTTGTTGTTTTGATTGATGTCTGGAGATCACACGAGGGCTTATATAGTATTCCTAGAGTTGACTATTTGAAAAAAATGCATTCTTTGGAGATTCTCAATGGTTACTCTAATTATTTTTATTCTTTGACGACATCATTTTTAAGTATTATTTGGAAGAATCTATTGCATCTTCCTAGTCTCTCGCTTATCCCAAAGGTTGCCTAAATTCTCAACTGACAACTCTACCCTTCTCTATTCTCATGGTTCACAGGTATTCTGTGTATTAAAGTTATTAATTATCAAAACGAATTTGACAAATACTAATTATCACAACTTCACAGCCTAATATATGTGATGTAGAAACGTAAAATTCATGAATATAGCTGAGGTCTAAATGATAAGACGTCGATAGACCTAGCTTTGGTCTCTCCATTAGCGCACAAATCTATCAGATAATTTGCATTATTTGTTTGTCTAGCTAGCATGGAGATTTTTTCATGTGATATATTTTCCATTTAATAATAAATATCGTTGTAGAGCTTTATCATTTTTTTTTTGGTAAGGCAATGTTTAGAACTACACCATAGTTTTCTTTTGAAAAGCGATTTATTAATAATAAGTATGCCAATTTTTAATGTTTTTAAATCTATGTAAAAGCTTCTAAAACAACACTTTCTATGAATTGGAGATCGAATATACGTTTTCGATTTTCACAGTTCTTGAATCCTACGCTTTAATACGCATAGTGAATTTGAAGACTTTCTACGCCAGTGGTTCCACACACGTTTTCACCCAAAAAATTATTCACTTGTTTCGTTGACTACTTTGTTTCAGTTTTGCATTTAACCTTAAATTTTCACTCGCATGCAGGCATTCTATGGGAGAAGCTTTACTTATTCATCAATATTTCAAAAGGTTCCAACCTCGCTTTCATGCATCCTGATCAAATAGTAGTTATCTATAAATCAGCTATTCTCTCTTCTTTGCCAATAAACTTTGCCAACTATCCAGCTCGATCATTGGCAACATGTTAACTCATTAGATTAACATGTATAATCATTCGAAAGTGATGTCATTGTAATTCTCTATTATTCAGTTAGACTATAATCTTAATAGGGGCATCAAAGTAATTCGCTACAGCGTATAAGTATCAAGGATACGAATAATTAAAATTTAGTGAATAGACTAATTGCTGTTTTCTCGGACGGTCGAGTTTATTGTGGCCTTAGCTGCATATGTTGTCCCTTAAAATTCCAAACGATCGTTTTGTAACTTCAACAAACTTATTATATATCTTCCACATATAGTAATATAATACTGCAAAATTGGATATGTATGGTATAGTTAAGCACAAGTGCCCAACCATATATACCACCACATAAATGTATGTACTATTTGATTGGCATTACCAGTTTTAGATGTCTACTATGATACCATCAGACTAAAAATAGAATTTTTCACATTAAACAATATGTTAACCAGTTTAAAATTAATGTAATTTTACGAATAATAAGACAAAAACTAATAAATACGTGGCGTAATTTAACTACTATAAGAACCTTCAAAAAACGAAAAAGTCCTAACCAAAAATTTGAATAACATTTACATAAAATAGGTTTCGGATTTCATGTGTAAATGTTGTCAAATTGCCTCTGGCGAATTGATTGGTAGATATGCGTATATAGACGTTGTAATTTTAACTAAAACTTTACTATAAGTACTTCTAGTCTTGTAATGACAAGGAGCTGCATGTATGTATCGTCGAACAAGTTGCCAACTTGCCGTACCATATAGTCGTGGTACTTGTATAAGCCAATCTTGGTGACGTGTCCAATGCTTCCTGTCTCGAGGCGTGTTGAGGTTTGAGAAAAGAGAAAGTTTCGCTTTCCAAATTTGTTAAGTCAACTTATCGATGACGCCATCACTGCTATATTCATATAGTAAGGCGTGTGAGTTACTTTCAATTTGATTATATAATACAAATCACCAGTTAGAAAAATAGAGAGTCAAAAATAACATTTAAAGTCTGGAAACGCCGGGGCCGATTAAGAATCTTGGAGTTATATATATAATTTGGTTATTAGATTGGTTGGTTTAACAGGGTAAGTTATATACATACGTCAAAGTTACCATTTCATTATGATGTTTTATTCATTTAACGTAATGACAGCGTGATGTAAAAAAAAGTAAGGACAAGAAACGTAATCACGTTCATGTGTTTGACTACTTACATATATATAACAAATTCAAACCTATTTTTTACAAAAAAAAAAAGTCCAGAAAACTTTTGCGGCAAGATATGTGGACATGACATCCCTCCATGATTACTTGGAGATACTAGAAGATCCGATTTAAAACGCTTGGCACATTAATATAGTTTCGCATTTGAACACAACTTAAAATGTTGATTGAACAGAACATAGAAACTCGCTCGACCTACTAATAAACTCATCATAGACACAATCAATCACCGTGGATATTTCGGACCATAGCCAACCATGTATGACATTTTTAGTGGGTTTTTCCTAAGTAAATAGTCCACCTGCCATATATAATCATATATATTAGATACATTTTTGTGTTAATAAATAAATAATAACCTTATCTATTTAATTCCAAACGATGTCCTTAAAAATTTTGTGAGGTTTCGGTGTGATTAATTGATTAAAATGTGAAAAATTAAATGCAACTATATACTCTCTCTGTTTCATTATAAGTGTCACTCTACAGCTGTACACACGGATTAAGGAAATAATTAATTTTACATATTTCCTATATAAAAACACAATTACCTATACACCTAACCATATTCTAACCAATAGAAAAACTAAGTACATAATAAAATTAATAAATTTTGCATTGAAAACCGAAAACGACACTTATTTTGTAACACAAAAAATTCTCTACAACGACACTTAATATGAAACGGAGGGAGTAGTAAGGTATTAAGTGTAACACATCAATTTTAAGATGAACCTGATTCTTGGCGATGGAGCGGAGGCCGGCGGGGGTGACAACGGAGCCACCACAGTAAGCGACGGTGCGGGCAGATGTCAAGTATGTGGCTTAGGTCAAGAGAAAGAACGATGTTGCATGTTGTTGCTCTCTCACATCCTGAACAACATCCCACCTATACGTACAAGCAAATACAATACACTCATCAATAAATTTGGTAGAGAGCCAAGTATTAGTAGGCACTAGGCACTATTTGAAAAGAAGATGTTAAGTCACCATATCCCGCTAATTTTTTTTTGTGTAAGATAGAAAAGAACCACGTTCTTTTTGGCGAAGAACAAAACTTTGGCCGTAAACGAAGCAAAACCATGATGAGTCAACAACATGGCAACAACTGTCCTCGTGAATGCACAGGTACTCTTTTCATATATTTCTTGTTTTGGTTTAGAGAATCAGTTACGAGAATGTGTTACTTGTGCAGTTTGTGATGGAACCTTTTTCCCGGAGCTTCAGAAGGAAATGGAAGATGTTGTGGGATGGTTTTAACGAGAATGCTCAGAAGCTTCTTGAGTTACATTTAGCTTCTAGTTTCAAAAAGTGTCTTACTTGGTTCACAGGCAATACTCGCCATCATGGTTTGATCCAAGAGGGCAAAGATTTGGTTAACTACGCCCTCATCAATACCGTTGCCATTAGAAAAAATACGACAAGCTGGTTAATTATCTATAAAAATCTCGAAAGGCTGATGATCTTTAACCCATTCTAATATAATATTTGTGCAAGCGTTTAAAATGAGAATAGAGACCCTCCAATCACCATGGCTCTGCGTTAAAAGTATTTTGCGTTAAATTTTAAAGTATCCATATGTTGTAACTGTTTTAAGGTTTTGTCTTTTGTCTCAAAACTCTTGATGTTTTCTTTTGAATACTTCTCAATAAAATAAACACGTTCCTATATATAATTCTTTCTTTTAACGAATGCAGACGAAACAGTTTTGAATCATCTTCAACCTATTGACGCCATATCTCCTATTTTTAGATTTTTGTCAACGTGAATTTGTTTTTGCATATCCCAAATAAATCAAACCAATTTATTAACATAACACGATGAATTTGGACTCCTCCATCTTTGCAAAAATTATTATCTGGACATGGATTCTATCTCACGCCTAGAACTTTTTGCAGACACTTTTTATTAATGTGTTATTTTGCGTTAAATTTTAATGCTTGCGTTATTTTGCATTAAAGTATTTTGCGTTAAATTTTAAAGAATCCATATGTTTTAACTGTTTTAAGGTTTTGTCTTTTGTCTCAAAACTCTTGATGTTTTCTTTTGAATAGTACTTCTCAATAAAATAAACACGTTCCTATATATAATTCTGCTGATTTTCGTGAAAAAAGGAGTATTATATGGTCCGGACCTGAAAATTAGTTAGACTGGACCTGCTTGTGGCTCACCGACTATTGAAATGCTGATGTCAGCTATGACGTTAATAGCGTTGTGGTCGCTGAGAAAGGAACTCACGGGTTCTCCTCCATTAATGGCCGTGTCTCCAGATTCATCACCGGTTCTCCTCCAGGAAACACCACCAGTTCTAATAGCATGTGTAAGTGGAGCAGTCGAACATGACCCTAAATAAAAAAATAAAAAAATAAGGAAAAGATAAGGAAAAATTAAGAATTTTTAAGAAATATATAGATAAATTATGATATTTTAAAAACAAATTTAGATATATTGCTAAATTAGAACTTATAGTTTTATGGAAACATCAAAATTAAACATTATCATGTAATATATTTATTATATAACATGAATAAACAAACACAAAGCATCATAAGTTGTAAAAAAGACCACTATATATTTGTGTAAGTGATTAACAAAAATGTTTAGAAGTAAGAGATGAGCTTCTTTATCTTTGATTCTTTTTAATTGAGTTAAAAGTTGTTAAAAATGAATATTCATATGATCTTCAATATAAATATCAGATTATTTGAAAAATAATACTCAAAATTTTGATATTAATTGGATAATATTAACGTATATACTTTACTTTACTTCATCGTTCCTCTTCCCCACCTACTTCATTCTATTTCTTGTCATGTATTCGGCTTTAAACGCATCAGCTAAGTTGTTCACTAAAGGCAAGATCCGTTTCTTGGTTGAGGTAGGAGGTTTGGTCTCTGGTCTGGCTGCTCTATATTTTCTGGTTGATTCTATTCACAAGTTGCAGATAACATTTGTGTTTGTCTGCGTTGGTGGTGTGGTCATTGTCTCGCTTTTGGCTCTGAAGATCTGGGATCTTCTCATTGCACCTCAACCCTAATGTTTAGGGGTTTTACTCTATAATTTCTATGTTTATCTTTAATTTTGGAATCTCGGAGTGATAAGGACCTAGACAAGCACTAGAGAAAACCCAGTCGATGGATTTTGAATCATCTGTTGTATTGGGAAATATCGATCACAAAATCGAAATGGAGATTAATATGAAGAACGAAGAAGAGGAGTTAAGGAGTTTCAGAGTTGGTTCTCTTGGCTCATCATCTGTTTCGTAGGTGCTAATGTTATCGTGCTCGTGATTAGGGGTGGGCACAGGCCAAGTACTTACCATTTTTGGCTTACTTGGTACTTGGCTTGGATTATTCAAGTAATGAAATTTTATACTTGTATTTGGTTTATTAAAAACAAATACTTACACTTTCAAGTATTTGCTCAAAAATGATATACTTGCAAGTACTTGTTTACTACTTGTTAGTTTTAAACTATTTGATAAATTATTATTATATAATTATTAAATAATAGTTTATTAATTTTAGTTATTGAACCTTGTATATGAATTACAAAAAATAGTTAGTTATAATTCTAATCTACACAATTTTAATAAAGAATATTTATTTAGTTTTTATATGTTTTAAGTCAATATATGATAAATGTAAAATTAAAAAAACTCTAAAATATTTCTATAATATATCACTTCTAATTCATTTATCGTATAAACAAGTAATTTGGTTATAATTTAGAGATTTTTTGTTCCAAAGTAAAAACGGCTAATAAATCAAGTAATAAATCACGAGTAACAAGCCAATACTACCAAGTAGTTGTTTTCATTTTAGTACTTGATACTTGTCTTGTACTTACAAGTAATTGAAATAAATGACTTGATACTCGACTTGACCAAAACGAGTACTTGACTTTAAGAGCCACAAGTAATTGAAATAAATGACTTGATACTCGACTTGACCAAAACGAGTACTTGACTTTAAGAGCCAAGTACGAATCAAGTAGCGAGTATAAGCCGAGTAACAAGTGCTAATGTGTTCTTAGTTTTTGTATTTTGGGTTGAAACAGTTTTTTTTTTGGTGAGCTTTGATATCTCTCTTATATATGGTTGAGATCGTAGTTATTATAAAAAAACTCGGAGTCTCGGACCATGGACACCAACACATGGCAATGTAAAATTGTTAGTATTAAATAGTTAAATGTGAATTCTTGTTTGTATGTATGGTTATTTAATTTCGGATGCAGTTAGTTTTGGTTACTTGGTCACAGGAACCAAGAAATTGGTGCAAGGATTATTTTAGTTTTTTGATAGTTTTTAACCTTTGTGCTAGAGCAGATCATAAAGATTTCTTTCATTGTCTTCGTAATTTAGATACATTAGATATTTGATAGTGTTTGTGATGTAAATCAAAGAAGAAAAATGAAATAGGTAACGATATCTTACGATAGTCAGGTGTGAGTCCACAAAAATAGATTATATTTGTATACCGAATAGCATAGAGATGAAAGAGAGAAAGACTGTGACTGAACTCGATGCCAAGATCAAGTCTAAACATAGTTTGATTTTTATCATTTCGAAAGAGATGTCGGTTTCATCGGTCTTCAAGCAAGACGTCGGTCTTGAGTAAGACGTCGGTTTCACCGATCTCGAGCAGGACTTCGGCTTCGTCCACCTCATGTGAGACATTGCTTATGAGTGAGAATAATAAGCTAGGGATTTCGGGAGAAATTTAAGAAAATTGTCTACGAAGGTTAATCTAAGAAAAGTTTGTATTAACACAACATACTGAATTAAATCTTTTGGTTGTTTCACTTAGTGAGAGGATAGAGTGAGATATATAGAGAAGTTGATGGTAAAGATGAAGATGAGGCTTGGTGGAAGCTGAGTGTTATAAAGATGTTATAAGAGAATAAAGCTCTAGAGGGAACTGTTTTTGAGAAGGACAAAGGAAAAAACTGCGAAGCTTGTCGGTAGCAGTAACAACAACTTTGAGGCAAAAGTGTGTCCCATCTTCCTGGGACATGTGTATGATTGACGCCCCAGATCAAAATCTTTGAATCTCCACCTCATGTGGTCTCCAACTCTATCTATCTCTCAAAGCCAAAAGTTTAGTCATATCTGCTCAGCTTCTTTACTTCAGTTCTTGTTAATTCAGATCAAACTCTTTCTTTTTGAGTTGTGTGTAGTTTAGATTTGATGAGTTTGCTAATCGTTTTTTTATCATATGATTAAAAAGAAGCAAACACTTTTGTGATTTCTCAACACATGGGCACAACTCAATGAAAATGAGCTTTTAACTAAAAAATGCTCAAGTACAAACAAACAAAAGAAATTCAAAAAAGACAAAGCCAAAACGAAATAAAAGCATATGAAAACAATGTGTGTTAATTTTCCCACAGTTTGTTCCATCACACACAAATGAAATCATTGAATGATCAAACAGTAACGGTTGAACTTGCGCCGCGGCCATCCTCAGACCTGGCGTTCTTGGCAAACGCGACGCTGCTTAGATGCATGTTCCTCTTCTTCTCTTCCTCACTCCACTCAGAAACATAATAATACTCCACCGTACCTTTCACAGGATCTGTAGAAGGAGGAAAGAACATGCTTCCCCATTGAGGAAAGTGGCATAACATCACAGGCAGCGTGCAAGCGACTATCATAACTCCCATCCACGTTAGCCCTTGTTCAGTTGTGAACTGTGACGTTGAGAAAAAGATAAGCTGTGTTAGTCCTGATCCAAAGTTCCCTCCAGCCCCGGTTAGACCCGAGATGATGCCTAGGGATCTCCTGGAGACAAAGGGAACTATTGCAAAGGTGGCCCCGCAAGCGGCTTGTGCTCCTAAAGAGAAAAGGATCATGGCTACAATAGCAGTGACGAGGGTGTTTGCGAGGCCGAGCCACACACAGAAGAGACCACCTGCCGTCTGAATGATCCACAACGCCCACAACCTTCCTCTCATCCCGAAGTACTTGGCTGCAATGTCAGATGCATAGCCTCCTGCTGGACGAGCAAAGAAATTGGCCATTCCGAAAGATGCTGCTATGATTCCAGCTGTGTGAAGCTTCAAGTGGAACCTATACAAACAATTTACTCTCTCAGTTTTCAATATGTAAAATGTTTAATGGATTTTTTTTTGTATAAAAATATGATATTTTCAAATAACTTTAGTTTTATCAAGTTTTGTATAACCAATTGCGTTTTATTATTTTAATTATAATTAAATTATATTTTTTGATATATTTTAGAAAATGTAAAATTTATATGTGCATTGAGGAAAATCATTATGATACAAATGGCATATACAATGAAACCTCTATAAATTAATAATGTTGGGACTACACCAAATTTTTATTTTTTTATTAATTTTGAGAAATATTAATTTATCGATATACTAATTGAACCAAAAACTTAATTTGGGACTATAAAATTATATTAACTTATAGAGATATTTACTGTATATTAATTTATCGAATATTAATTTATATAGGTTCTAGTATATATATATATATATATATATATATATATATGTTACTCTTCTCTCTCTCTTATTGTTATTTTTGACTATACCAAAAGTGTAATTCCATTAATCGATATGGACAACATACCTGTCAAAGAAGTACTCAGCGATAACATTATCAGTGCTCAACTCAACTCCCATCGAGTATCCATATAGAAGAACAAAGATCCAAGTCCTGTAGTTTCTAACGGCGCACCACATAATCTACACAATTATTACAAAAAATCATGAGCTAAAACCCTTCATCCATCTAGCCATAACATATATAAAGCATATATTAAATTTTGTGAGAAAACATATATATTAATATAGATAGAGTTAAACCTTTCCAAATTTGTCTTTGACAACTTCTCCCTTTTTCTCCATAGCCTTTCGGTTCCCACCAGGGAGATCTTGACCTAGCGTGAGCACCAAGATTCCCATAATAATGTGCAACCAACCAGGTACAAAGAACGCGATTCTCCAGGCTGTGAACGCTGTTGCACCACAACGCCTTATGATCTCATAAACAACCGGCATGAGCAACTGCGTTATGCCACCGCCCATGTTTCCCCACCCGGCTGCTGTCCCGTTCACCAGACCAATAATCTTACTAGTGAACATAGTGCTCATCCAATACTGACACGACACAAAAGTCGCTAGACAGAATCCAATCATGAACCTCACCGTTATGAACCCTGCGGCTCCACTCACGAAGCTCATTGAGAACACTGTTGGTGCGGAAAGCATCACAAGAAATGCACATCCGTAACGTGGACCTAGAAGATCACACACTGCTCCCATCACCAACCTAGAGAATATACTCCCCGAGACGGACGCAACTCCAGCGTTACCGATGTCTTGTTTTGTGAGGTTGAGATTCTCTCGGATGATGGGGACAAGTGGTGCAGCCGCGAACGTCGAGACAAAACATGTGGAGAAAGAGATCCACGAGAGATGGAACGTTCTCATGTGAGGTTTGGCGAATGAGAAGAGTTTGAAAACTGTTGCCTTATCCTCCGTGTCCACCGGGAGATCATACTTGCCCGTCTTGTCGGTGGAGACTCCATTAGAATCACCCATTGGTCTTAAAGATATGAAAGTTCTTTTACTTTACTTGTTTGAGACTTGATTCAAGTTTATTGATCACGTTAGGGTTTATATAGAGTTCGGTAGACTTGACAAAGTCAAAAAGAATGCATTCTTTGGAGATTCTAAAACGTTAACTAACGATTTAATAGTATTGTTTGGGGGATTCCATCTTCGCCGCACGCATCTTTCAAGTCTCGGGCTTATTCCAAAGGTTGCCTAAAATGCTATTCGTTCGTCATGTACATGTGGAAGTGGAATACTTCTGCATGTCCAAGTTGCTGCGAAATTTCTTTTATTTAATTTGATGTTCTATTTGGTAACAAAATGATCTTGAATTCATTCAATTTCAATCTGTATGCAAATATTTCCTAAGTTACAATAAAGTTAAATATGATAAACACATAAATCAGATTTTAAAATATGCTAATAAAATTTTCAAGGTTTTATAAAGTTTTATTTAGAACCCAGGTTTTTTCACAATAATCAAAGTGTACGAATAAATATTTTTTCTTGATAATTTAATTTCTTTTGTAAAAAAATTGGATTGCCCGGCCCCCCACATACTATAATACTAATTTAGGATCGACTAAATCTTTGTTTACTCCATTTGGAAGGACATGGGAATCTTCAATACAAGCTCCAGGATACCCGACGTTTAATTATTTTTTCTTTTATATCTTTTCTTTCTTAAACAATTAAACGTTAATATAAATCTCGTGTCTTTTTGAATCGAGTTATTTGTCCAAAATAATATTTCAGCTCCTCTCTTTGAATTTTATTTACTTTTATATATTTTCTTTCTTAAACGCTTAACTGCTTATGTATTTCAATGCTTACTTTTTCTTTGTAATGGATACTTTAGATTTTAATCTGAGTTTTTGGATATAAAATTTTGATGTTAAATAGTAAAAATTGACATGTTATGCTCTTTAAATTATCTGCAAATTTATTATAGAAATGCATGAAACAAATTATATCGACTACAGCAAAATCTTATAAAAATAAACCAAAAATTGGATGGTATCTTATTTGTAGTTTCGTTTGTAACATAAGATTGAATTCTTAAAATGGTTTCGGAGAAAAAGGATTAACAAGACATTAAACAAAATCATAAATATGGGACGTAATATTGAACTATTATAAGGTCTTGTATAGAGTTTTTTTTTTTTTGAATTGAATGTTAAATTTAATTCAAAAAAGAAAGACCTTGCTTACAAGAATAATTGTTCTTCCTACTATGATCTCCTATACAAAGTGAATAAGAAATCAAAAAGAAAAGCCATACTCAAAACTCGCTCAAACCCTCCAAAACTTCAAAAATCTTCTCTTCTCAACAATGTTTAGCTCTCACTCCTACTAAACACCCAGCCCTCACTCCTACTGGTTCAAAGAACTCCCAAACAAGTATATCCAGCTCTCACTCCTACTGGATATCCAGCTCTCACTCCTACTGGTTTAAGACTCAAACATCCCAAATACTCAAAACCAGGCAAACTCAAAGTGAAGAGAAGAATCAATCTCCACGGCTGTAGCTAAACCATTTAGCCAAACCTCCATCATACATTCGATCTCCTTTCCTCTGTATCACAGTGAACTTATTTCTCATCTCCTTGTCCACTCTCTTAATGATCACTCCAGGCGGTGTAGGGCCTTCACCATGCCTTCGTCTATTTCTCTCCATCCATACAGCATGTATCACCGCTTGAAACACATACCTCACAATAAAAAGAGTGATTTTATCCCAGGTAGAGTCATTTGATAACAACCTAATAAGTGTATCCCAATCTGCCGTAAAGAGATTACACATCACATCTTTGATGAGTATTCTCCAAATCTCCATAGAATAAACACACTCAAAGAAGAGGTGCTGCATTGTCTCAAGCGGATGGCCACAAAATCCACACGAAACCACAGCATTAGAATTCCAGTACCTCATTCTTTCACCTGTAGAAAGCTTCCCAAGAATCGCAGTCCACAAAATAAACGAGTAACGGGGAGTCGAGTGTTTAAACCAAACAGCATTATGCCAACTACACTGCAGATACTTCTCACGAATAACAAGCCAAGTTCCCTTTGTTGAGAAGGTTCTCCTAAACTTCCCCTTATCCGTTCTCCACAAAGAAACATCCTCCTCCTGAGTCCAGTTGGTTTTATAATGATCAATCTCCATTTCCACTCTATTCAAAATTGGAACTCGGTGTAGTCTTCTGCGATGGTTTCTACAAGCTGCAACTTTCTCAGTAGCAAGAATACCCAAATCAAAGTGACCTCTGCCCCCAAGAATATCGTGAAGGCATCCCAAAGAGGACCAGTGATCATGCCAAAAGGAAGCTTTCTCACCATTTCTAACCTCCACCTTATAAAAAGTCTTTGCAACATCACGACATTTTAAAATCTTCCTCCACATCCATGTACCCGTCTGAGCATTTTCTTTTAACATCCAAAATGATCCTTTACGGATGAGATAAGACTGAACCCAATTAACCCAAAGAGAGTGAGAAGAAAGGATCCGCCATATCAATTTAATACAACACACAAGATTTACTTCCCGCAAAGGTCTGATTCCTAAGCCACCTTCTGATTTTGGTTTACAAACCTCCCTCCAAGCAATCTTGATCTTTCTGCCATTCAAACTAGGACCAGACCAAAGAAAGGCTGAGCATAACCTTTCAATCTCCACAATACAATTACTTGGAAGCCTAAAAGCCGCCATCCAGAAGTTAGTAAGACTCATGATCACTGATTTCAACAACTGCAAACGCCCAGCATAAGATAGAAATCGGCCAGTCCAGGAACCCATTCTTTTCCTAATTTTCTCAATTAGGGGGAGGTAGTCAGCAATGCTCATACGCTTAGTTAACAAAGGGAGGCCAAGATAACGAACCGGAAGCTTACCAGAGTCAAACTGAAAACTGTTCTGAACGTCCTTTCTCTTCTGAGCAGTACCACCAGCCATGAAAAGAACAGATTTCTCCATGCTAATCTTCAAACCACTCATTTTATCAAAGTTATCAAAGACCTTCAGAATCCCCTCAATAGAATGTTGTGAGCCATCCGCAAACACAATTAAATCATCCGCAAAACAGAGATGAGTGAGATCAAGCTTCCTACATTTGGGATGATAACCAATCTCACCCCTACACGCAGCTTTATCCAACATCCGTGATAAGACATTCATACAGATGACAAAAAGACAAGGAGACAAAGCGCAGCCTTGACGGAGACCTCTCTTACTCTGAAAGTAACCAGCTAATTCACCGTTAACTTGCACAGAGAAAGAAGGCGACGTGATACAAAGAGAGATCCACTTCACAAACTTCTCTGGAAAACCCATAGCCGTCAAAGTATTCAGGAGAAAAAGCCATTGAACAGAGTCAAAAGCCTTTGATATGTCAATCTGAAGAGCACATCGAAGAGAGATATCCTCACTGTGATAATCTTTCACGAGTTCTGAAGCTAAAAGAACATTCTCCATCAAAAGCCTCTCCTTTACAAACGCCGATTGGTTAAGGGCAATACATTTCGGCATAATGCTCTTCAGTCTATTTGCAATGAGCTTTGAGATTACCTTATAAAGCACATTGCAAAGGGAGATTGGTCGATAATCTTTCATCATCCTTGCTTCCTCCTTCTTCGGGATAAGAGCCAAAATTGTGGAGTTAAGGCCTTTAGGGAGGAAACCTTTAACAAAGAAGGATTGAACAGCATTAACCACATCTGATCCAATTACTGGCCAAGCCTCTTTGAAAAATTCTGAAGTAAAACCGTCCGGACCCGGAGATTTACTTGACGGCATCCGAAAGACCACTTCAGTAATCTCCTCCTTAGTCATTTCCCTTTCAAGATTTAGACAATCGATCTCACTACACTGAAAAGTCAGGAGCTCCCTAAGCTCTGCCACAGTAACCCCCTCGTAATCATGAGGAATTCTTTGCATAAATTCTGTAAAAAAACCTTCAGCTTCATCTTTAATTTCCACATCAGACTTTGCAATAGTACCATCAGCTCGTGTAATCTCATGTATGGCATTACGAACTTCCCTAATCTTCGCAGAACTATGGAAGAACCTGTTATTGCCATCACCAACATCAAGCCAATGAACTTTTGCCTTCTGTTTTAAGAATTCTTCCTCTATCTCAGCCAGCCTTATCCATTTCCTGTACGCCTCCGCTTCCTCTTTAAGTGCTGCGCTTGTTTGCTTTACCAGGGTTTCACTCTGTCTATTGCACAAAAGCTGATAAGCCTCTCTGGTCCTTTTAGATAAATCACCCAACTTCTCCTTACTAAGAGTACGTAACGGCTGCTTCAAAGCCTTTAAGCGCTTCGTGAGACAGAACATCGCAGAGGTAGATTGATACAATGCTTCATAATTACTCCAGTGATCCTTAACCAAAGGCAAAAACTCTGGCATTTTACCAATCACATTAGTAAACTTGAAAGGCCTTCTCTTCTTCTTCTCTTCTATATCCAGCTCAACTCTGCATCTCAAGTGATCTGAGCAACCCCCGGCTTCAAAAACACAATAACCAGGATCATTATGCAACCAAACTTCGTTAACCAAAACCCTGTCAAGCTTCTTACATATGAGACCCTCTTCACGCTTGTTACACCAAGTTAGGAGAGGACCTTGAAACCCCAAATCAGTGAGGTGACAATATTCAACCACTTCTTGAAAATCCCTCATGCCAGGAAGGGACCGAGAATTCTGATAACCAGAATGTTCATCACTTCCCAGGATTTCATTATAATCGCCCATCAACATCCACTTCTTGTTCCGGAACATAGGAGCCTCATAGTGGTTCCTCAAGTCATTCCAAAGATCCTTCCTCTCTTCAACCGTGTTGAAAGCATAGATAAAAGAACAGAAGAACTCTTCATCTCTCCCTGGTAACAGAACAGAACACGTGATGATCTGAGCACTCTTATATACAGGAGTCATACGAACAGACGGTCTCCACACAACCCACACTCGCCCTAACCCATTGAACTCATAGTTAGTCATCAAATTCCACCCTTCAAATACCTTATTTACAATCCTATCAACTTTCTTCTCCTTAACCCTCGTTTCAATTAAACATCCAAACTTAAAAGAATCATCTCTACACCATTTCCTCACCACATCATGCTTCGTCCCTTTATTGAAACCTCTCACGTTCCAGAAGAAACCTCCCATGATTAATGGTTTAGACGGGAACCCCTTTTCGAAGCCTCAGTGGCTTGGATTGAGGTCTTAGATGTTAAGACTCTATGGTTCGTTTTTGACATACGTGAAGGCATTAATCTCATACCTCCTTTGCTTCCTTCTGCTTTTTGAAAAGCATCTTCAATTACCTTATTTAGAGTGTTTTCCCGCGATCCAATATATTGCATATCTTCCTTATCATTCACCGTATCGACAACCTCTTCACCCTCTCTCTCAATCTCCTCTGAAATATCCAAAATAGCAAACCTCGAAGGAGTTATGATAGTTTCCTGATCACACTTCAATATTGGTGACTGCCTACTTGCCTTCTCTTCCGAAACACGTTCCCAATCATTAATCTCACCCTCCTCCTTTTCAGACTCAGTTTCCATAACTCGTTTTTCTTCACTACCTTTTTGCGGAGTAACTCCCCCATCCCTCATATCATCATCATCTTTAGAACCAGACTTCATCCCTGCAACATTTATTATATCTTTCTCCTCCTCCTTCTCTTTACCCCTCTCCTTGCAAAACGTATCAAAGTGCCCCCATTTACCACATGTACCGCACTTAGGAGGTAGCCAAGGGTAATGGAACTCAACCACTGTATTCTTCCCCTGAATCAAGTAGTTTATCTTCTTCGGTAATTCCTTAGTGATATCAGCCTTAACAAACACTTTTGCAACTTCAAAATCCTTACACGCCAAAGTGTCTGGATGAAGATGGTCTGGGACCCCCACGGCACTGGTGATGAAGCTTAAACCTTCCCAAGAGTACATACTCAGAGGAACATTCGTTAATTGAACCCAGAGAGGGATCAATTTCGCCTTTGATAGATCTTCTACTGGAGACCACTTTGAAACTACCATAGCAACTCCTGCAATGTTCCACATACCCCTACTAATCACCTTTTCTCTCACCCTAGGATTTTGTATTCGAACCCGCATCATGTTGGTTTCCATTTCATAAACATCCAGCTTCTGATTCTTATCCCCATAGGCCCAGATCTTGTTCAAAATGATGTGCACCTTCGCAATATGTGGAGCATCCTCCAGAAAAGAGATGATGACGAAATCCTCCCACAACGGATTAGATTTCTCTACAACCTCTACTGGTACCTCCACAGATTGATTCCCATCCGAAATCGCCACTTCAAACTCGTATTTCTGCATATTCTGCTTCCTTACTGTTACCTCAGCATAAGACTTCGACACCACCGGAGCCGGCGCCGGTAGAGGCGGAGGATCCTCTTGAACCTCCGGAGAACTCATCGCTGCCCCGGAGAAAGAAGCGATGAAGCGTAGGTCACGAATCGCCAATCAGATCGCCAAATCGCCCTCAGAGCAAAACGCGGTCGTTCACAGAGAGATTCGATCTCCCTGGTTCTTCTTACTACGTTTGGCTTTGTATTGCTCGTCGTCTTGTATAGAGTTAGGGACAACCTTGTAGACTTATAGAACAAAATAATTCATTATAACGTTTTTTTATCAATACAAAACTGAAAATAGGTCTGATTTAAGAATATCAAAATCTACTCCGGCCAATTGATAGGTAGATATACGTATATAGTACTAATTTTAAGTTCTCTACTAAAAATATATGTGCAGATAAATATATACACATATATGTGTAGCTGTATGTCCACCACACTTTCCGAACAATAGTCGTGGTACATGTATGAATCATTCTTGCTGACAAGTCCGATGTTCCCTCTGTTGAGGCCTGTTGGAGTTTGAGAAAGGACAAAAATTCGCTGTTCAATTTGTGAAGTCAACTTATTGATGATATCATCATTATATTCGTTACTGTTATTATATATACATATACAGTAATGTGTTTGAGAGAAACACTTGCAAATCAATTTCACTAAATAAAATATACGACTAAAGAAACAACTTAACGTTTGGAAAGGCTGGGACAGATTTAGAATCTTGGAATGTTGTATATAATCTAGTTATTATTAGACTGATTGTCTAAATAATACAACACGCTAAGTTATAACATGTCAAAGTTACCGTCCACTATTTTTTATTTTATAATGTAATTAACGATATCGTGATTTTAAAAAGAAAACGTCATAATGCCAACGTATATGGGGATTTTTTTTTTTTTTTATCAAGAAAAGATGATGATTTGATTCTGTTCTTGAACATCAGAGTTAGCAGATACGGTTAAAAACTCAAAACACACTTTGTGCGTACATACAAGGAAATATAGCTCCATGACCAGATTACAGTTGCTCAATCATCTTCACCTTTGCCTTCATTGCTTGGATGGTTGTGTTTTTGAGCTTGGTACATATCAGCAATCTAAATAAGAGTAAACTGAAGATTAGAAATAGAAAACGAACTTCAAGACCAGCCTGGTCGTGCCATTCTAGTTAATAGCGTCTGTGTATTAAAAAACTGACTGTGGTTAGGATGAGACTTCACACCTGTTCAGATGATGTTGCGTCCTCTGGCTTCTTGTCTTCCCGTACACGGAGTAGACGAGGAAAACGTAGAGAAATTCCCTTTTCATGAAACCAAAATCGAATAGTCTCAATATCATATCAGATAGATCCAAATCCCAAAAAAAATGAAAAAGAAGAAAATAAGACAGATAATGTTATACCTTATCAGGGTCCACAATTCCATTAGCTGCACGATGTACAGGGCTAATTGTCAAGTCAGCTGCCTTCACTTCCCAAACCTCAGTGGGCTCAAACCAAACATCTGGATTGAGGCTGTCTCCAACTCGGTAGTATTGCTGAATATATTTGAATCATTACAATTAGCAACAACTCAAGCATGATCTTGCAGTTTAAAAAAAAAGGCCAGAGAGAAGAAAGAAGTATCCTACTTTTGGAGTAGCAATCACTCTGGACCGAAGACTGGTAGACCGCTCTTCAAGCACAGCTTCAGAAAATCCAGTACCTAGAAGCCCAAACCGTTAACACAACGTATAAGACACTTGAGAAACTAAAACATACAAAAGGTGCACAAGGCTGACCTATTTTACAAATGCTCTGGAACTCTTCCTTATCAGCATCGTAGCAAGCTAGTAAGAATGCACCGAAGACACCTAGAAGGAAAGCATATAGCTTTGTTAACAACAACCTGAAGGGTGTATACATCACCCAATATACAGTAGTTTGAATAGTTTTTAACCTGTGCGTTTGCCACGTCCATGGAAAGCAGCAATTGGTACAAGATCCACAGAGTCCCCAATGCTGCATAACCCAAGGGGTCAGTAAAGAATATAGATTCAATTTTAAACAATTTTTAAAAAGGAATATTGCCTGTCCATATAGTCTTTCTTCAGTTTTAGCCAATTATTGGATCGCTTTGCAGGCTCATAGGTAGCATCTGAATTCAATGTTTTAATGATTAAACCTTCACATCTGCAAAAAGAACATAAATACATATTATGAAAAGTGTACATACATAGATGACAAACTGGAACAAAAAAAGAGATAATGAGGTAGATATCAATGTCATATGGTGTTACGTAAGTGAATGCATATTCATTACAGGCATGGTCAATTCGCTAAAAGATCACATCCTTGAACAGACAGGAGATATTCTCTCAAACAAAATACCCAATGAAGTTATCTGCCAGAATCTCTTATTCTGCCAACGCAGCTGAAGGCAAAAGACACCTTCAGAGAGGGAGCCATATTACGGCACTTATTCGAGATGCAGAGAAGTTTGAGATATATACCCAATGTCAACAGAAGCGTCAAGAAACTTTTGGATTTCATCAATATCGCTGGATGTTAGAGCAGTTGCAAACTGGAAATATCCAGGATCTTCTTCAAAAGATTCATATAGCTTCTGCAAGAAGCAGAAGTTAAAACAAATGAGTATATAGCAATTACTTAATGAAACCAAAGGAAAAATGATTTACTGACTCACCTCTCGGCGAATATCAAGATTCTCCTGGATAAGTTGCTGGCCATTTAGATATAACATGTCAAACGCAAAGATGCATACGCCAACTTTGATATCATTCACATTCACATTTTTACGGGCTCGAGTGCTCAAAATCTGAAAAGACAAAAAAACAAGAACTATAAGAAACTAGCCAGCAAGCCAAGTATTCACTTATGAGTTACCTGAAATGGAAGAATCTTCTTTTTCTCCCTGTCGAAAGCAACAACCTCACAATCCAGAATAAAAGATTTCACAGAGGGCTTCTTTAATCTGCATAAAGAAGATTTCACTAACTTCAAGATTGGCTCTTCCTAAGTGTATTCAAAAAGTTACATTACACCAGAAGTCTAACCTCGATAACGCAAGAGCAACATCAGGATACTTCCCAGTGTTCCTTTCAGCATTTCGACTATATATCTCGAATGTACCATCCTCCATACAATGTACCTGCACCAAATTGACTGATGATAAGCCAAACCTTAATGAAATATACAAATAACTCCGCTCTAGAAATAGCATTAATCGGATTTTATATAAATCACCTGTGCACGTTCTCCATCATATTTGTATTCGCATGTGAAAACTGTGTCCTGGAATTTATTCAGTATCTCGCCTACACCTTTTGTTGGTTTTGCAAGCATGGGTCCAATAGGAACACCAAGTGTGAAGTTACAAGTTTTAGAAAGATTCCACACGCCACCGGTGAGAAGAGCAGGAATAATAATGTCATACACAGGAAGTACAGTGAATACTTGTTTAACGATCTTCGCAGCCTACAAAGACAAAGCAGAAAGATGCATCCAGGACAAAAAAAAATAGTGTAAATATCACACACATTAAAAGATATTTTAAAATAAAAAACAGAATAGCTTTAGAGGTAAAGCATGAGACCTCTCTAGAAGAATGTACATAGAGAGCCAAAGCCACAAGTAAAAGATAAATAAAGAAACTAAAAGAGGAAGCCAAACCTCTTCTAAAGGAGACTTGGTTTTTGGGGGTGGCTTTGAGTGCTCTTCATTATATACAGCTGCTTGTCCCAACGCAGCTAAGACAGTCTGATTTGAGAACCCTAACCGCAATTTTGCCTAGATTCAGCAGGCCTTAGTAAGGAACCTAGAAGAACGAGTAGGCCAAATTGTAACGGTTGATCTGCATACCTGAAGTAAACGAGTTAAGTAGAGAGGTTCACAGTCTGTTGCTGCCACAAGAAGTGCCTTCATTCGATCCTTCTTCTTCTCTGTACTATCTTTTCCACTTTCCTAATATTATCAACACACGTTAGTCCAACTCATCTCTTATGCATTCAGTCAGGTAAAAAGAAAAGTTTATTGAATCTCATTCAAGTCATCCAGAAAATGGCTTTTAACTACCTTAGCAATTTGTCGAAATGTATTGAAAACCTTGACAACAGTCAATGGTTCTGGCTTGAACATCATAGTCTGAGACGAACGGCTTCCTTTTGCTACAAGCCCCAAGTCTCCTAGTTCCTACCAATAACAATCAATTACAGAACTTCTTAATCTGTGCCTCAGTGTTCTAAAAATTGGTCTAGTGGGCGCCTAGTTCCGATATAAACTAAACCATTTAACAACAAAAAAAAAAAAAAAATCAGTCTAGAGGTTCCTCTTAACAATAATCTTCTAGAAAACACCTAACCAAGGCCTATCCATTTCTTGAACACTGAACATACATACCGTATTGAGCTTCTTAACCTGCGCCTCAGTTCTACCAAAAGCTTCAGAGATAGCCTTAATAATAGACCCTTCACCAATCCCCAACTCCACCCCTTCATGCGCAGGAGCAATCTCATTCGCCGCAAGATAAACAGTAGCCACCAAATCATCAGGAGTAGTAGCAATAACAGTCCTCAACATATTACACAGAATATCAGTAATCACAATCCTCCCACTCTCATCCGAAATCAAATCAAACGCCAACGCAACAAACAGAAACGGAACTCTCTCCCCTCTCTCCCAACACGACACTCTCTCAGGATCGAATTCGCCTGGCTTCCTCTTCAGCAACGCGATCTTGCTCTTAAAGTCGTTGACTTTATCCGTATGAGTCAAAGGTCTAGACTTTTTCGCAATCGAATTGGGTTTCTCGGAATCGGATAAAGGTGGAGCCTTTGGCGAATCGGCGTCTTGGGTTTTCCTTTTGTTCGGCGAATTCGAAGCCTGGGGAGTCTTCTTCTTGGCGGAAGCGCGAGCGTTGGACATGAGAGCGTCGAATGCAGAGGGGCGAGAGGAAGACATGGCTCTGTGGAGGGGAAATGAGGAAGCTTTGTGATTGGAAGGTGTCAGTACGGAGGAGAATCGAGAAATTAGGGTTTTAGTAGAGAGAGGAGAAATGCATCGGAAGTGATTTGAAGATCGAATCGGTAACATCAAAGACTCAGTCAGAGAGAAAGGTAAGAGTTTTTGAGATTAGGGTTTATTTTGAATTTAGAGAGGACACGTGTTGCGACCCCGAAGAAAGATAAATTTGGCGGCAGAGTTTATATTTTCCCTCTACTTTGACGAAGATGATGAGTCTATTATGATTTAAATTTGGGATCTTGACTAATTAACTCTTTATATTAATAATTAGGTAGATTAAGTGAAAATAAGAAATTTTTAAATATTGCAAATAATACATTCAAATATAGAGCTTGATAGAGAGTTTACAGAGCAAGTAGAATAATCATAGATCTTTACGAAGAAAGGAATTACTATTAGTTTACAAGGAAAAAATCATTTTCCTCGTAAAGGTCACGTAAGTCTACTACGAGTTTACGAAGAAACTATTTTCTCGTAAGTATACGAGAACTTTACGAGGAAAAATGGTTTCCTCGTAAACTCGAAGTAAACTCGTAGTATTTTTATGAGGAATTATTTTCTTAATAAAGTTTCCTAGTAAATGCTTAATTTTCTTGTAGTGAGATAGAATTATATATGGTATAGTCGTTTTTGTAGTAATTTTCACAATTTGTAATAAAATAATAAAACAGATTAAAAATAAATAACTTTTTAAAAAGTTTATTTATTTTAAAATTTTAGGGTCTTTTGATAAAATTAAATATCTTGTATCATTCCATATAAGTATATAACTACACCTCTTGGCCACTATACATGTGTATAATCATTTCAACACAAGAAGGAGCAATCTAGTATTGAGAGTCCTATGAATGTAAAATACAAGATCCAATTTACGTTTATTGGTCGTAAATGATCTCAATCTCAACAAAGAAGAAAGCTAATTTAATTTTTATGGAAAAGGCTATTACTTTATAGCTCACTCTTGTTGTTGGATGACCAAGACGGATGCTCTAGAAGGAAAATCTTCAGAGGCAATCAAATCACCAATGACACCAAGCTCATCGAACTCCATCCAATCCCCAAGTCCTTTGGTGACCGCGGTACCAAACCCGCTACATCTTCCTACTAAAAACATGTCATAGTCAAAAGCCACTGAGTGCAGAATCTCGGAAGTCTTATTCCCATCCTCCACCATCCTAACAATGTATGTTATGGAGCTATCTCCAGGCTTCTCTTCAACCTGGCAAGTGTCTACCATTTGACCCTGACTCCACTCGCTGCCCTGCTCAGTTTTATATATAGGAATCAGTGTCAGCACCGTTATACTCACGTTCTTGTTGCCTCGCATGTGGTCTGCTAATGCCAGTGCCTCTTTGTCATCGTCCCCTCCCACGTAAACCAAGCACACCTGCATTACGATAATGTTGAGTAATCAGTGTTGGAACGGCTGAAATTATTACTCAAGCAGACTAGACTTTTACAAATTATAACAATATACTAAATATATTATAATTAATAAATAGTAAAATATGTATTGTTTTTTAATGAAATATGTATAGTTTATAAATTATTAATTAAATAGGATTTATTATTGTAATATTATAATTTTATGACAGTATAGAAAGTAATTACATTGTTTTAGAAGTACCTAGGTCTTACTTTGAATTAGTATTATATATGGATGGAGAAGAGTAACAATAGGATAGTAGAAGGCAAAGTTACGTACCTTGCATGGAGATTCTATAGATTTGGGTTGCCACAATGGTTTACGATAAACAAGGATTCCGACAGAGCAAGGTGCTCGTTTCAGGACGTTACGATTAAGATGTCTCAGTGTTTGATCGTCCGAGGTAACGCCATAACCATTAGCCCCCCAAGTGCGGTGAAAAGAGAGGAGAATAAGATACGAACTTTTATCAAGAGCAAACCAACAAATGTGTTCATCCATCTCTTTAGAGGAAGTTAAAGAGGTGAAGATGTGTATAGATGTGTACTCCCTATTAATCTCTTGAAACATTTGGAAGGAGCTTATGACATTCTCCGAGTAAGATCTGCTTCCAGGCTTTGGTTTCTGAAGCTGGTGGGAGATAAAAGTAGGAGTAGCTTTACCCACAAGCTCAAGTAAGTGAAGAACACAACATGACACTGGAGAGTCTTTAGATGGTGCAGTAGCTTTTAGAAGGTTGATCATTGATGTTATGTTGTCAGGCTTGTTGATGCACACCAACATTTGTAGTTCCGGCTTATGTCTCAAGCTTCTTCTCCCGTAACACGCAAATCTCTTCGCCCGGTCGTACAAGAAATGTATAGCCATCGGTGTTAACAAAGAGTTTACGAGAATGTATATGCCCATGAGCGAGAAAATCTCCAAACTAAGTGCCTGTTTCAAGACAGAAACATTAAAATGAATTAGAGAAATAGTTTTATTTCAAAAATATTACATAATCAGAAAATTCTCAAAATATCATTAACTAAAAGTTCAAAAAAAATTTCATTTATTTTATTTTTAGGTTTGGATTTAATGATTAGAGTATTGTATAAAATTTAGGAGATGGGATTAGGTTAAGAGTATAGGATTTTGAGTAATTTAGTCATGTTACCCTTTAATTAATGCTATTTGAAATATTGTTATTTACTTATTTTTGTGCGTTATTTAAGTGGACGACTATAGTTCTATATAGCAAAAAGATTCTTTACCTTTTTTTCCAAGGCTTGGAGCACGTAAGCCAGCTCGAAACTACTTTTGGTGCCCATAATGATACCTAGAATAACTGAGTCTCTCAAAGGCATCCTTGCAGCTATGGCTGAGAAGAAAGAAATCACAACTTTCGATACGTATAAGACTAAAAGGAATGAAAAACACTCGTAGGTATGTCCATGGAGAAACTTCCCGCTTCCAATCTCTTCTATTAGAAATGACCAATCTAATTTCATCATGGTAAATGATCCAAAGAGTGGTAAGAAAATGCCCTCATTGAAACTGTCGAATTTTGTAATAAATATTGATCCTAATGGTGGCCCGTCTGGGATAGCCAAACCAATAACAAACGCACCCAACGGTCCGAAGAACAAGAAGCGAGTCCAATAAAGGTGAGACAAGTAAGCTATCAAGAGACCAATGTAGAGATAAATGCTTTTCACAGGTGCTCCCTCTGGTGTATGTCTAACCACCCAAAGCATGCCTTGTCGCACAAGGTACAAAAAAATAAAGAAGATCATAAAAGCAACTCCCATCCGCATACCAGTTCTATAATTAGAGCTAACGTTAGCCCATATGCTCATGGAGAAAGCAAGCATATCGATTACCATTGCTGAAGACTGAGCGATTTGGCCGAACTCAGTGTGAACGACTTTGAGGTCTGTAAGAAGCATGTTGATGCAAGTGAAGGGCGCCATGCTCATGGTGAATATAATTATATTATATTCCATTCGCGTCATGGTTAGGTCACTTGCTCTTTCTCTAGATGAATAGATAATTTTTCCAATATACCATGGGATTACCATTGATGTGACTCCAATTGCAGTACTCTTAGTTTTGGACTTTCTTAGCATGCCAACATTTGTAGTCACACCTCTTAGGAACCAATTTAGAGTAAAAGCAAATGTACCAATGGTCTCAGCAACGTTTGGCATATAATCGTCCGGGATAAAAATGTTACGAAACCATGACATCTGCATCGGCTGAAATGACTCACTTAAGACTGCCCCAACCTTTCAAGAACAAAAGAACATTGTTATGTAATCAGAGCCGGCCATGAGCCAAATGAAACATTGATCTTATATACCTAATTTTTTTGAATTAATATATATATAAATATAAGTGAAACATTGGTCTTATATCCCTAATTTTTTTTTGAATGAATATATATATACATAGAACCCTAAATGTCTTTTAAAAGATACTAAATTGTTTAAAGTTCCCAAAATCTCAGGACCGTCTTTTATATTATTAGATCATATCAAAATACTTTAAACCTTTAATTACTTACAAGCATCATGGAGGTGAACCTTGGAATAGGAACACCTAACTTCTTGAACAAGATATCAAAGAAACGCCAGGATATGAACGTGGAGAGAATTATGATCTCTAGTTTAGGAAGAGGGTACTCCCAAAATGGTATTCCTCCAGGTCCAGAAGCCAGTTTTCCCCAGACACCGCGTGAGTTCAACATTATATGTGGAGTTGCATCGCAAATCATATTTTTCCCCATGTCTTCACTTTTCATATGGTCCTCCAACATCCCTTTGTGCCATGTCTCCTCATGCGCATCCATCTAGAACAAATTTTTTCAATGAAAATTCTTTGTTTTTCATTCACAGGAAAAAGAACTAAAAAGACCGGTCAAGGTTTCGTAAATCCCATAAATGTCTCTAAGATAATCCGAAATTGTGGTTAAATATAGTATCCATGTGTTGTCTCCTCTCTTATGGTGTTTGTAAGTTTTGCGTTGCTATAAAATTACCATGATCTCATTAATCAGGACACTCTAAATAAACACTCTAGCCGACGGCTCTAAAACGAGATGGGTATCCATCTAAACCTCAAAATTAACCTGTTTATGGTAAATAAATTAATTTACACGTTTATTTTTCTATTTTGGTACATGTGTTAAAAGAGTCCTGTTATTATAAGATAACTAGGATAATACCCGCGCTTTGCGCGGGACGAAGCTATTATTTTTATTATTTTTTAAAAATGAAACAATAGTTCGGTTTCATTCGGATTAGAGGTGTTCAATCCGGATATCGGGTTTCGGTTCGGCTCGATTTTTTGGTATTTCAATCATTAAAATATAACTACTATTCTAAATCGATATGTACTTCAGTTTGATTTGGTTTATATACCATCGGTTTTCAGTTTATTCAATTTTATACCAAAAACATAATTATTTAGTTTGAGATCATATTATATATTATACAAATATATAATATGATCATATTTAGAGTCATATTGTCACATAGTCATTTCTTAAAAAAATATTATATATTTAAATAAAAAAATAAAAAACAAAAAAAGCTTCTATCATCTAATAAAATGATCAAATATAGAATTAATATCAAAACACTAAATTTTGAAAATAAAAATAAAAAACAAAACAGAAGCATGAAAGAAAAGTTTTTATATTCTTCCATATTTAGTGTTCATCAAACCAATATGTCTTCGATTGAACACAACTATGTTTGTTTAAAGATAAAAAAAAGTTGTAAAGAATTTCAACTAATTGTTGTCCATCAAATTTATAATCTTTACTTCAATTTAGTTACAGTTAAAAAAGAAAAAGATCAAAATAAGAAGTCTTAGTTGTAATAAATTGTTAGCAATTTACAAATTATAATTATAGTTCAACTCATGTAACAAATAGATATTCATGCGTCGTTATAAATATATACATATTTACATGTTTCAGTTTAATCAATTATAAATCAAATCATATCCAAATCCTATGGTTTTTATAAAATCACATCTATTCGGTTTGTATGGTATATACCAAAAATAACCATATTATCGCTTGTTAATATTTTTAAAAATATAAAATTAAAAAAAGAACTAAAATATTTAAATCATTGATAACAAAAAAATTCAATGTGAAAAATTTAATAAGTTTATAATTTATAAATGTTCTTGAAAATTTATTGAAAATTTTGAAATTAAAATATTTATGTAATCTTATATGGTATATAGTTTAATCTGTATATATATATTTGTTTTATTATTGAATGATCTTTTTTACTTATATGGTTTTAAAATTATGTATATCTTTTTATAATAAAATGTTAAACTATTGATCATTAATTTTTAACATGATAATTTTAATAGTTTAGTTATTTATTCTCGTTTCTTAAAATTCAAAATATAACCTATACGAAAAAATCTAAAGTTTAATTTTATAGCTAATTTGATTGTTTAATTTATTTTAATAATATAAAATTAAAGAAAAATGATGGAGGATATATAAACTGTTATCAAATATTTATTATTAGAATTATTAAGTGTCATATATATATATTAGACATTTATGGTAATTCCGTAGGTTTTATTTATGGAAATAAAATAAAATAGTAATTATATCTTAGGGAACAATCATTAAGTGTCATATATATATATATTAGTCATTTATGGTAATTTCGTAGGTTTTATTTATGGAAAGAAAATAGCATATCATATCATTATATCATATAGTTTGACTAACTAATGTATCTAGCAACCTATAAAAATCTAATGTGGACTTACTTATTTTTCAATTGAATCTAATTGACTACCTAATTGAATGACACCTATGCATTGGGGCCTCTTTTAATTAATACAAAATTGAGGTTACATCTTTNTATCATATCATTATATCATATAGTTTGACTAACTAATGTATCTAGCAACCTATAAAAATCTAATGTGGACTTACTTATTTTTCAATTGAATCTAATTGACTACCTAATTGAATGACACCTATGCATTGGGGCCTCTTTTAATTAATACAAAATTGAGGTTACATCTTTTCAAATGTTCCTCAATTAATATATAGGGGATCTATTTCTGAATAGTTATAGCAATGGTAGCTAAGTTGGAAGATGATCGTGCAGGCTCTGCCAAGTCTCCTTATGGTTTTTTTTAAAGGTTAAAAACACTTTTAAAAGGTTTAATTTGTTAATATTATTTATGAGATGGTGCTGATAAGAGACCGTTTTAATTTTTTCCATATGAACTTATTTCTTATTGGTTGTTTTAATATGATTTAATAGAATATATTTCCATATAAAAAGGATATATTATGAAGATGGTTGGCAGCTCTTGGTTTGAATTGAACCGTCTGACACTTCCTCTAAATATGTTAAAAGGAGTTTAATTTTGATAATCTAAGAAGCAATCAAAATCTTGAAGTTTTCATCATATTCAGAAGAAAATCTTGAAGTTGTCATATTCAGAATAAAATCGAATACATAACTTCACACATCTCATAAATCCTAAACTAAGCACAAATAAAAGAGCTGAGCAGTGAACATATCTCACATGCATCACTTAGATAACCCTCTTTTGCTTTTGGCACTATGAATATATTCTTGTTTTTGTACAACCAACACTGACGCTCTAGAAGGAAACTCATGTGATGCTAATAAATCTCCAAGGGGTCCCAATTCATCAAACTCTGCCCACTCAGTAATTCCATTTGTAGCGTCAGTACCTACTCCGCTGCTTTTCCCAACTACGAACAAGTCATGATCATTGCCCATTGCTCGTAAGATTTTTGAGGTATCAGATCCATCGGAAACTGTTCTATCGATATATGTCACATAGTCATCATTTTCTTTGACGTCAAACCCAATGATGTTGGTCACAGTATCCTTCAAGCTAACCATTTCGAATTTCCCTCCCAAATTCTGGTTCTCCATTTCAGAAATTTTTGGAATGAATCTTATGATAGTCAGGCTTATCCGTTTCTCTGTCAGTCTCATTCGGTTAGTTATCGCCAAAGCCTCTCTATCGTCCTTCCCATCGTTAAAAATTAAACATATCTGCATAGGTTAAAAAAAAAAGATATATAAGTTTATACACTAGCTTTTTTCTTTTCATTTTCATGTGCATTGCAAACCGAATTGTACATGCAAACACTAAATAAACTGATTTTAAAAAAAAATATTCCATTTTTTTTTTTCGCATTACACAGCTGCTGAAGTATCTACTCATTAAAATAGAGTCATTCTTTTAATCTACTGATACAAGTTGTCATTTAAATTTGGATTCTTTCAAGCGCGGATCAAAATCTAGTTTCTTTTTAAAACGAAAGTATTTTTTTTTTAAAGAAAGCGAAAAACAAAAGTATCTTGTTTTATAAAATTTTGGATAATCTCAGTACCTTGCTGTGATACTCAGTCAGATGATGTTCCGTGATGGGTTTGCGATAGACAAAGATTCCAACAGAGCACGGGGCTCGTCTCAAGACGTTAATGTTGATCATTCTCAGCTTATCATCGTTGGAGATAATGGTGGAGCGATCAGCAGACCAGGTACGGTGAAAAGGAAGCAGAATCAGATATAGGCTCCTGGATAAAGCTAGCCAACAAATATCCTCATGCATGTGTTTGGACATAGAGACTGAAGTGAAAATATTCAACGATATATATTCAAAGAAATTTTTGTGGAAGTGCCGGAATGAACTTATGACACTGTCGGAACAAGAAATACTTCCGGGCTCTGGTTGTTGCAACTGGTGGGAAATGAACATAGGACTGGCTTGACCCATAAGTTCGATGAGGTGGAGTACATTGCACGCCATTGGAGAATCTTCTGATGGGTTGAAAGCTCCTGAAAGACTGATCATAGAAGTTATGTGATCAGGTTTGTAGATGCACACAAGAGACTGGAGCTCTGCGCCGTCCTTCAAGATTACCATATTCCTTTTTTGGTAGGATCTGAATCTTTTGGTTGGGTCATGGACGAGCTCCAAGGCCATTGGTATGAAGAGAGAGTTTAAGAAGATTATTGTAGCTATGATTGTGAAAACTTCTGGTGTTACTTTCTGTCAAAGATGCTCACTGATTTAATATGTGTGATGTTAACAAAGAGAATTAACCATAGAATCTTCATATATTTATATATATATAGAAAGGATGGTACCTTTATTTCAACAGCATACGTGAAGTAGGAGAGCTCGAAGACCCCTTTATTACTATAAACAAGGGCTAGAGCAAAGGAGTCTCTTAAGGGCATTTTAAAAGCATATGCAGCTATGGTGGAAGCAATAAATTTTGAGACATTCACAAGAAGAACAAGGGAAATGGCCTCATATAGCTGGCCCTCCATCCTTGGAAGGTTTCCACACTCTTTGAATAACCATGGGAGATCTAGTTGCATCATGGTTAATGATCCGAAGAGAGGAAATATAACTCCAAGATTAAAGCTCTCAAACTTTTGGACAAAAGTTGCACCTAGAGGATAACCATGGGGAACAGTCAAGCCAAGAACAAACGATCCTGCAGGTCCAAAAAGACCAATCATCTCAAAATATTTGAAAGAGAAGAAAGCGAGCGCCAAAATCAAGTAGATGTAAATATCTTTGACCGGCCTCCCTTCAGGAGTCTGCTTGATAACCCAGTACATAGCTGGCCTCACCACACATACCATAACGGTGAAAAAGAAGCAGCTAAATACAGTTTGGACCAATCCGTCATATCTTTCATAGTGCATGGCATTCAAAAACGTTGCAATAAAAGCCAACATGTCAGTCACCATGGCACCCGAAAGTGCTATCCTTCCAAACTCTGAGTGTTTGATCTTGAGGTCTCTTAGGAGTGTGTCAATGCTTGTGAACGCGGATATGCTTTGCAAGAACATGAGCAACCTGTATTCCGTCGTCAGCAAGGTTATATTGCCTCTTCGTTTTCTCAATCTAAAGATGATGTTGCCACATACCAAGGGTACGAACATTGTGGTGAACCCAATCACACTAGCTTTTTTCCCCATCCTCAATCCCGTTCCAGCATCCATTGTAACACCTTTTAGGAACCAATATAAAAGGAACCCGAAAGCCGCCAGTGTCTCGGGGATCTTTGGTCGTCTATCATCAGGGAAATATATGTTATGGAGCCAAGAGGTGTTGCTGAAATTAAATGTTTTACCTAAGATCACCCCTGCCTTCAACAACAACAAAAAAAAATTACATTTTAGAAATGCATCGTAATTTGTTTAAATGAAAAACATGGGGGAAAAAAACTCACAATCATCATATGAGTGAATCTAGGTACTCGAAGACCGATTTTGTTGCATGAGAATTCGAAGAGACGCCAAAGAACAAAAGTAGACAATATTATGATCTCGAGATTAGGTAGAGGATATTCCCAGAAGCTCATCCCTCCTGACTTGTAAGTCAATCTCTCCCATATACCGTGCGAGTTTAACGTGAAAGGATGTGTCTCGCAGAATAGAGACGTGTTCTTGTCTTCCTTGTAGCCTCGCCATGCAACGTCCAAGTAATCCATGTGTGCATGTTGTTCCATTATAGGGAGATTAAATGAGAGTTGGCGAAGATTAGCTATAGGATATCAAGATCTTGTGGAATGGTTTAGGGTTTGTAGTTCAATTGGAGAGGAGAAGAAAGTCTAGAAAAAAGTTTTGTAATAAATTTTGACTTTAAGGAAAATGACTAAACTTGAATGACCTGCAAACAATAGGTACGTATCATTTAACAATTCGCCATGTTTATTTTGATTTCTATGCTATTTGTAGCTACATTGTTCTCCATCCCATGTTTCTTTTAATTACATCGTTTATATTTTTATATATAGAAATTTTGCATCCGCTAATAATAAAAGAAAAATATTTTAGGTTCTTAAAAGTTGAAATTTATGTGTTATAGACACTTTCATTGACCAAAAACAAGAAAAATATACTTTTGAAATTATGGAAAATAGTTACTTTTCACTATGTTTCAACACTAGTATTATGGATATTCACCAGCATAATACCCAAAATCTCGTTTACCATTCTAGTATATCAAACTTTTCATATCTTATAAACCACAAAAGAATAGTCTGATTTTCTATTTTTATCGTTTTTAGGATTGCACGTGAAGATTAAGGATGAATTTCACTCTTTGTCATGGAAATTGCTTTGGCACTTGCCACAAGGCAAGGGAGACGAATTGTCACTTAATTTTGCTCTATTTTGGAATTTTTGTGGCTACCAATGAAATGCTTTGAAAAAATATGTATCATGTATATGAGAATTATATTTCTGTTTTGGTATCTTATAAAATTATAATACAATTATTATCTTTCTTTTTTTTTGAAACTCTAATACAATTATTATCTACAAGCTACATTCTGTTGTTGTTGCACCACCAACACGGACCTTCTTTTGGGAAATTCTGACGACACCAACAAATCTCCGATCACACCTAACTCATCAAACTCAGTAAATTCACTCAGTGCTCTCGTTACATCGGTCCCCATTCCGGTGCTCCTACCCACCACAAATAAATCAAAAACACTAGAGATGGAGAGAAGGATTCTTGATGTGTCGGCACCATCATCAACTGTCTCCTCCAAATATTCCACAAAGTTCTGTTCTCCTTCCATATGTGTACTATTGTACCTCAGTGTCTCCTTAAGCTCTGCCGTGTCAAGCATCTGATCCCACCCTGTGGTCATACCGACCAATGTCCCTGGGATTAGCTTCAACACGGTTAGTCTCACTTTCGGGTTCCTCATCATGTGTTTCCCCATTGCCAAGGCTTCTCTGTCGTCTTTCCCGCCCACAAAAATTGCGCATACCTTGTTTTAGACAAATTCAAGATGATTGTGTAAATGTCTTCTTTTTTTTACAAATAAAAATGTTCACTTATTATTTTGTTTTTTTTTTTTTTGGTTGATATCTGCGTTTTTTTATAAGCTGGGAAATAAAGATGGTTTTTTGAGAAAAGAAGATCTTCCAAATAAAAAAATCAAAAGGAGGTAACCCTAAAATTTTGGAAGCAATAAATATTTTAATTTAATTTTAATAAAAAAAAAAATCTTTCTATGATTTAGGGCCTGTATATTAACTCTTTAAATTTTAGAAGTCAAGACTATTGTTTCAACCCTAACAAAAGCAAACACAAAAACAGACGTTTGAAAAGAACAAAAGATTCAATATATGTACCTTAAAATAGGGTTTTCGTTTTTGCGTAGATACCAATTTTTGGCGATGGACTAAAATCCCCACAGAGCAAGGCGCTTGTTTCAAGACATTAATGTTAACCTTCCTACGTATGATGTCGTCTGAGACCACAGTTGTCTGGTCGAGTGACCATATTTTGTGGAAGGGGAGCATAATAAAAGAAGCTTGTTTGTCAAGAGCAAGCGAGTAAATCTCTTGGTGCATGAACTTAGGGATTGAGATGGATGTGAACAATTCCACCGATATTGCTTTCCAGTAATGTTTGAACTTTTCAAAAGCGATGAGAACGTTGGTGGAATATGACTGGTGTCCCGGCTCAGCCTTTTGCATTTGGTGGGAGATGAAGAGTGGATTGTCCAAACCAACAAGCTCGATGAGATTAAGCACGTAGCAAGTAAGCGTGGAATCTTCTAGAGGGAAAAATTGTTCTAGAAAGTTGATCACCCCTGCGATGTGGTCTGATTTGTGAATGCACGTTAGAAACTTCATCTCTGATCCAAGCTTCAAGCTCATTAGATTCCTCTTCTGGAAACATATGAAACGTTTCGACCCATCGTATAGATAATGTATCATCACTGGTAATACCGTCGAGCTGAATAGAATCATTAGAGCCATTGTAGTGAACGACTTCACATGCATAGTCTGTAAATTAAACACACAAAAGAGTAAGAATATTGAGTTTTCTTGCATATAAACAAATTATATTTTTTTGATAAATAATAAAAAAATATATATACTAGTACTCACTTGCTTTTCAACGGCGTACATAAAATAACACATCTCAACGAACCCTTTGTTGCTGAGAATGAGTGACATAACGAAAGAGTCAGTCAAAGGCATTTTAGCTAGCAATGGAGGAATAGTTGAGAAGAAAATCTTGGCGGCCGAGACGACGACAATGATGGTCAAGGCTTCATACATCTGACCATCGTAATGCCTTAGCCTCTGAACCTCTTCAACTAACCAAGGCCCATCGATTTGCAGCATTGGGAAGAACAAGAAAAGTGGCAAAAGGATACCAGTGTTAAAACTTTCAAACTTTTGTATCAAAGCAGACCCTAAAGGAGGACCGTGAGGCACACACAACCCCAAAAGGAAAGGCCCAATAGCCGGAAAAAAATGAAGCATCTTCAAATAATAAAAAGAAAAGAAAGATAAAATGAGGATGCTGTAGATAACACACTCCTTGACCGGTCTCTCTTCAGGTGTACGTCTCACAACCAACAACATCAACGGTCTAAATACCCAAACCAGCACTATAATATATCCAAGAACTCCTACGCCTTGCATGGCGGAGACCCTCCAGTCCGACCAGGCAAATAGGGCAACCACGTTAATACCAACACCAGTTGCATCAGCTACCATGGCGGTCGAGAGCACGATTCTTCCAAACTCTGAATGGTCAATCTCTAGATCCCTTATAAGCCTTGAGATACCCGTGAAGGCCGAGATACTTTGCATGAATATCATTGTTCTGTACTCAACTCCTGTCAAGTTCTTACCACCAGTTTCTCTCAGCGACCCGAACACAATGTTGGCCGTGAAAATAGGGAAAAGAACTGTGACGATTCCGGTTATAACCGCTTTTGAACCTGTCCTCCTTATCATTCCAACGTCCATTTTAACACCTTCTAGGAACCAATAAAGCACAAAGGCAAACGCACCGAGCGTGTCCGGGAGTTTTGGCCTAAGATCATCAGGGAAAAATATGCGTTGGACCAACCAGTCATTAGGCAAAAGACTCGTCTGGCTCAAAGCTGCCCCCGCCTTCAAACAAATCATTAAACATTTCATTAACTTTACCAAACAATTTTATTAGACTAGAATATATATATTTCCTAATAGTTTATATCCTAATAACTTTTTTTTTTAACTAAAAGAAAAGAAAGGCTCTTACAAGCATCATGGAGGTGATTCTTGGAACAGGAAGACGTATCTTCTTTAGCAAGAAATAAAAAAGATTCCATAAGCAGAGTACTATGACGATTACGGCTTCGAGTTGGGGAAGATCATAGTCCCATACAAGCATCCCTAAACCACTTGGTCGTAAGTACTTCTCCCATACGCCAAAAGAGCTCACAAGATGGGGTTGTTGCTCGCAGAACTGGGTTCCATCATCACTAATGCTATATCCATGCGACGCTATCGCGTTCCAAAAGGTAACGTTAAATGAATCCATTTCTTCTTCCTGCGGGGGACGAAGAAATCGAGAGCAAAAGATTTACAGTTTCCAGAAAAGTTGATGTTATCTTTTATAAACAAACGTGTTTTGTTGATACTCTGCTAAACATAGTCGAGCGTGCGGTTAATTATTTTGTTTTGTTTATTTGGTCAATGGTTATGAAATCCACTGCACAAAATAACTAACCATACATATATAGATATTTGTGACCAATTGCCAATAAAGGTTACTTTATGTTTGTTTTATTTCTCTCCTAATTTAAGAGGCTCCATCGAATTGCATCTGTTACTAGCTAGTTCTGCATGCAATCTCAGGTGTTTATTGTTTTTTTTAATAACATTCAGGTGTTTATTGTTTATTTGTTTTATAAAATTGTTAGTGAAGTATAACTAAACTTTTGCAGCTGGAAAAATATATATTTAAAATTGGCTAGAAGGGTTGTTGAATTGTAAGAAATTGCTTAGATATATACATATATAAAACTTAATTTGATACATGCATATATAAAACATTTTTCATATAAAAAGAATAATAATGAAACGATAAAGACAAAACAAAGAAGAAATTCAAAAGAAGCACACACACATACACACAATGACACAATCAATCAAGGACACATAGCATATTAATTCGATACACATATGATGCACACAAATGGAACCAACTCAAGTTGATAAATAATCCAAACTAAAGGCGAGTTTTGCATAAAACTCTCTGGAATCCATCCAAAGAGTTGGCCGTAACGTTGATCATTATCGGCGTGCATACAGCCTTCAACGTACGTCTCCTCGACCTAAAAATCCACGTCTTGTAGCTCACTCTAGCCGTTATATACACTTCCATTTCGATCAGCCCTTTGGTCGTTTCAGCCCTCAAGTCTTTAGCATTAAACTTAGACAATGCCACGTTGTGCGACACAAGCTGTGTCCCAATCCTTGTCTCGTTCTTAGGACGCTGCTTGAAGGCAGAGATCTCCTTGTGAGCCACGGACTGGTTATGGTGAGCTGTGGAGATGCGCATGGAGTGGTATCTCACGGTGACATGTTTCTCCGGGTTGTAGGATTTGACCACATAATTGAATTTGGCGCTAATGTGATCGTCCTTGGCTATGGCAAAATCTTGGACCGAGGCGGCTTCTACCGTATAGACTAGTTTCTTGGGCCTGAGGGTGAGGTATGTGATCAATATAGCAAGACCCACAAGGAGTCCTAAGAGGACGAGGGCGACGATGATGCATAGGACGGGGTTCATACCCTTACGTGGCAGCGGTTGCGGTTGCGGTTGAGTTCGCTGAGCCTGTTGGTTTTGAGGAACCATTGCTAGAGAGGGGTTTTGATGGAGAGGTATATAACTGGTTTCTAGTTAATTGATAGGAAAAGATAGGAGCAAAGATTAATTTGATTGTGTTGCTATTGCTTGATACATTTATATAAGGGGACAAACGCTGATAGTTAGATTCTTTGCCTTTGTGTAAGGATTAGTCCCAAAACTATTAATCTAACATTCTTAGTTCTTTGGGATTGCTTGTGAATAAATCAAGAAATCTTAGAAGCTGGAAGATTCGTACTTTTTGCTTGTTTGTTCTTTAGTCCATTTTTTTTTTAATTCTTTGCTTCTTCTTGTAATGTTGTCACTAGTACTTTGGATGATTATAACAATCAAATAATATATTATTTTTCGTTCCAATTTACCTATAAATTTGGTCGTATTTACATATATATATATGTACTCAACTACTTATTTATAGAAAATCTGACTCAATCAACGATCCAAATCGATCTATACTATTATTTGCGAAGTGATTTTTCGCAATGGAGCTCTCACGTTAAAAGTTAGGGTGGCTAATATCGTTTATACCCTTAATGAATAATTAAAAATTTCAATATATAATTAAAAATAAATAAAAAAGAATTTCAAGGATTTTAGATTTATCTTTATCTAAAACTATTTTATATTGGATTATAAAGTCTTTATTAACCTTGAAAAATAATTATATTTGTTAATATATAATTAATTATAAAGTAAAAACGAATTTCATGAATTTGATAAACAAAAATTATATTATGTTATAAAGTCTTTATCAACCTTGAAAAATAATTATATTTTTTAATGTATAATTAATTCTAAATTAAAAACGAATTTCATGAATTTAATAATTATCCTTATCTAACTTTTTATATTGTGTTATAAAGTCTTTATTAACCTTGAAAACTAATTCTATTTGTTAATACATAGTTAATTATGAAAAATCAATTCGCAAAAAATTATGTTTAGATAATTTATATTGTGTCATCCAAAACATTACTAAAGATAATTTTATTATACATTTTTTGTTATGTCTAAAAATGATATTAATTTATTACTAAATATTTAAAATTTATGAGTATTTTTAAAATTAATTTGTGTAATGAAAATTACTTATTTGATGATGATGAAAAATTTTATATATAGAAAGAATTTGTTTAGTTTATTATTTAATATTTTGAGTTTATGAGCAATAATTTATTATAATTTACTTAAATTGATTATATAGTTATTTATTCATATTAGTAAAATTATTAAGCCCGCAAGTGCGGGCAAAACACCTAGTTTCATAATTATGACACGAAAGAATGAGAATCTGTGTACTTAATTGGTTAGTTTAATCACCAAATTAACATTATAATATATAGATAATTGGCTAAATATTTTAGCAAAAAAAAAAGAAGATAATTGGCTAAATAACCTGAATTGGAGCCATAATATAATGCACATGTAATTATTACACTTTTACTAACAGAACAGGAAAAACAAGATTGAGTTTTAGTAATCACCTCATCAGTGTATCCAAGAACATAGATAAATAAAATATTATATTTGCTTTCTTGATGAGAGATAAAAACTTCCATTCACTTTAGTTAACATCGTTGTGCTTAGTTATTCCCCTTTGCATTGTCGGAAGCCTTTATTCCTTTCCCAAAATGTGTAAAGGAAGGAAAGATGGACATAATTTTTTTTTGAACAAAATAAGAAACAGGATTAATGGATTTGTTTCCGAAATTGTGTTTCTTTCCTTTTTATTAATAGTAAAATATTATATTTACATGTTCTATGCAATTAACCTAACTTTTCCTACGGATAATAGTCGATTAATGAGTGGCAAAACCATCTTCTGAAAGAAGAAAATCAAAAATCAAAGAGTAAGAAAATAGGAAAAACTGATATATGGATTCACTTCCAAAAGCATTTGCATAGAACATAAACATGATAACATGCATGCTTTATAATATCTTTATGTATAGTATCGCTAGATCAAATACCTAAGCCCTAAGTACTGATTAAAAAATCTGGCCATTCTTGCCATTTAAGGCGTTTACAGTGAATAGGAGAAAGCCACAATGATTTTGGTAGATAATGGAAGTGGATCCACAGCCTTGATCCACATGTGGAATTATGTATCGACTCGAATAAATCAATGGGCCACAAGCTCCTGGTTCATGAGGCGTGTTTACCTAACGGCCACCACTAATAATTAAGTGTGTCAAATTAATAAGATCCATCAGAGTAAAATATTTGTAGCACCACGTACGATCTTTTGTGCGTTTATAGAAACAGAGGTATTGAACTATTGATAAATGATGCAGAAAAAGAAGAAAAAGATAATGGGAAAGGAAAAGTATAAAGTAAAAGTAGTCATTGCATGCTGAGCATGTTGGTCGCCGCATATCCCTTGGAAGATCCTTTCTTTTTCACTTTCTCCACCAGGAACTATGCCTCCATTGACACATCTATGTGCATGCAAGCAAAACTGTAGATGTATGTTTGAGTTTGTGTATACAATTAAGTATCTATCTACGTTTGTGTCTCTTTGTGTGTTTGTATATAGATTTATATACCATATAAACACAAACAAATCCGAGAGAATGCATACATGCAGAATGTGTAGACATAACAGAACGGTCATGTAATATAAGAGCACCCTCATTGAAGGTTCAATAGAGGGTTTCACACAAAAACCAAGAAAATATATATATATATATATATATATAATAAAAGTTATGAACCTTGCTCGTTGGGTATCACTGGGGTGAACCCAGTTCAACACTATTTCGCGGACCCCATGCTACGTGGCGGTCCGCGATTGGTCCATTATTATTTATTTTTTTAATAAAAAAAAGCAAACGAAAAAAAAGAAAAAAATTAATTTTTTTTTATGAACCTCCCCCATCGGTTCACTGATGGGGATGCTCTAACTGACCTAACTATAGGCAACACCAAAGGAATATTCCATTAATTATTCGATTTGTTGAAATATTTTGCAGAGTTTTTAAATAACGTCAATAGATCTCACATGAGTTGATTATACTTGTTAAGAATGCATATTTTTTACTATAAAAATCATGTAAAAAGGAGTCACCACTTTGCAATAACTCATTTTCAAGTTTCACTTACTACGTGTCACCTGAATTCTCTATATAATCTTCTTCCTATACCTTTCACAATCGTCATCTCTCATCTCCGAAAGCGTGCATGACTAACAACAAGATCAAACACAAGCCAATATCTCAAGACAAAGATCTTCAGGTTTGTGGTATAATGATGATTATGATTATGGCTTCTTCTAATCTTGTCTTGGAGCATTACAAGGGATCGCCGACAGCTACTACAGTGCATAACAATAAGTATACCTGATGAATACTCGGACGAGAGGAGAGATCGAGATGTTGACCAACTTGAAAACGTAGATCTTGAGAACCACACTGGTCCATTGTATATTTCTCCCAGACCGGGCAATTTCGGAATCTTTGGCAATGTTTCTCCTGGTATCTATTTTTCTGTTTCTTGCTTATCGTTTGTAGTAGATCTTCTTGTCATCGATTTGTGAACGAAACATTTTTCTTGTTCACTAATATGTTCTCCTTGGCGAACTGATGATATAGTATGTGATCTCCCAAAGTTTTACTTACCTTTGTAGAAAATATAACTTTGAACTTGATCAAACGCAATAAAGAACAGCAAGAGTATTAGTTCGCAGTATCTATACTATGATGCATCGATAAGTTTCAGGGTTTGATCTGATCGATCGTGTCTTTTGGCGGTTGGTACATGGATATAATTTAGAGGAGAAAGAGAAGACTACATAAATAACGCAACAAAAAAAAGTTGGAAGAAAATAAGCATTTAAAAATGAACAAATTTATCAAGCCTTTATCTCTACATTTTATCAAACTATTTATTTCATCCACGCATGAAGGCATATACACTATATAATTGTTTATTAATATATGTATTATTTATTAATGATAAATTTATTATTTATGTTTCATTTGATTTTTTTTACTTATTATATTTTTTGAAAATTTCTTTGCACACTATACACCTTATATAAAAATAATTTTATTCCATATTCTCTTTTTAATTAAATAAAATTAAGAATTTTAATTGAATATTATTTAGTTATTTGTTTCTTTTTTTAGTTTTTAACTTTTTATTAAAATATTTTCAGGTACAACACAATATATATGAATTATCTTTTTATTTTAAAATACATTTTCATATTTTGAATAATTTGTTATTATTATTTTTAATCATTTATATAATCAAATAAAATAAAATTCAATTTTATTTTATTTTGTGGCTAATATATATATATTTATTATTTATTAAAGATGTAAACATATTAACCAATCTAATTTTTAATGTGAGGTCTCGAATACTAAAAATCATTTCCTAATATCAATATAGATTTGAAGCTCTCCAGGCAAAACCAGCCTAACCACCACTGCTTCGATCTCCCACGCTTTCTATAATCGCCTCCTCCGCTATTCTCTCGAACATATCACCCAAGAACATGTTAACAACCTATATAGCCTTGGACGACATTCCTAACTTCGGATGCACCTGCTTCATAACTTTTTATACACATATCTCTTATATCTCCCGCTACATCCGACCTCTTCCTCTTCTTCTCAACCTTAAGGGTCTGTCTTCTTCTTCATTGAGGTGACCCATCATCTCCAACATCCACCGGGAATCTCAACCCTAGTAACGTTTTCTTTTTTCAACGGGAATGGACAACGTCAGATTCTGTGTCTATTGTGTATCTGTCTCGGTGGCAACATTTGGATCTCCGTCAATGATGCAACCAAACACTAACACTTAATGAGAATGTATGAGAAAGAACAATTGTTAACACATGAATGTTATAGTTTTGAACAAACCATTCCCTTTTTAGTTTCGAACAAATACAAAGATATAAAGCTTTCAACAGTGCATTCAAAAGACATTAACAGTAACTCTATATAACGATAAAACGAAAACTAGTACCAACCACCATATCATATTATAATCATTCGCTTAGAATGGCCTATTTGAAGAGAATCCTGGGTGAATTTTTTTTTTTTTTTAAAAGTAAAAAGAATGGAGTAATAGCCACCAAATGTTTCGAGGTGATGATGACCTCTAAGACGCGACTGGTTTTGAAGTTGATTTCTTAACAGCTTCCGCATAGGTCCTGTGCTGGTAAGTTAACGTCGACTCCAGCAAGTCCCAGAGAGAAGTCTTCGGGTTCCATCCTAATTATTGTCCACACCAAAAGTATCAGAAAACAATTGGTCTGGCTATGTTCCAAGAGACAAAAGCAGACAACAAACACAAGATGTAATTACCCAGTTGACGGTTGATGATGGTCATGTCTGGGATTCTCTTGTCGCTGTCATCATAACCTTCTCCATAAAATTCTTTAGAGCTCACGTCTATCGTTGGACTCTCAATAGCTGTCTCTCCACTCACTTTTGAGTAGACCTGTCCATCATATTTTTGTAGCATTTGAGTGAGCCATAGTGTGTCAAAAATCAATCGCAGTCTTATTTGTGAACAAGTTTTCTCACCTGGGTCATCATTTCAGCAAGTTGTCTTACTGTCACTTCATTGTTTGGGTTGCCTACATTGAAGATATGCCCATTGGCTCTCTCCGGATTTTCCTGTATAAAGATATGCAACTTCTTTGATAACAGTGCAACAAACGAGATATCACCAGGGATAGACAAATGAATTTAAACTCACAATCATCAAAAGGACAGCTTCAATAGCATCTTTGATGTAGACGAAGGTTCTCTGTGATTCTCCACCATCCACAAGCTTGAGAGGTTCGCGCCTCAAAAGGTTCTGCCAATACCCGCAAAAGTGAAAAAAAACAATTAAGCTGCAGCGACAAAAAGAAGTTAGGTTATTGGACTGAGCCAGTATACTTACGTTGCTAAAGCATGCTAGGACACGAGGAACACCCTCGCTAGGACCATCAATGCCAGGGATGAAATCCATCCTAGGTCCAATCCAGTTAAACGGTCTTACAATGGTGAACTCAAGTCCATTCTCAGCACCCTCAGCTGCAACCACAAACAAAAGCAGTAAGAACCAGTGGCCTCTACGTACAATAAATTTGCTTTTCATGCTATAAAAAAACATACCGTAGACAAGTCTCTCAATCAGTTGCTTGGCGCAAGCATATGACCACCTCTGCTTCTCAATAGAACCAAATATGCAAGGGGATGTATCTTCTTTCAGTACATAAAAATCAGGATCCTGAAAAAACAAGACGAGCATCACTAGTGAGTAGTGGAACAACAAATACAGAGACACCGGACGTAAGCTACTTTTCACTTAGCATAAGAAAACTAAGAAAAACACACAATCCTGATGAAGTAGTAGGACTCGAAGCCATACACATGTATAATTGCAAGAAAACTAACTACATCGTTCCCAAATTATTAAAGGAGAACTAGTTAATTAACTATCCAAATCAATACAAGAAGTCTAAACAACAAGAATGGAATTATAAAATTTCTGAATACATCTTCAGCGAGTGTGAAAATAACATAGTTTCTTGATCTACTATACTTGAAAACTAAGCAAAAAAAAAAAACACAAATCCTCATGAAGTAATGGGACTGGAAGACACTCAGTTATAATTTAGCAGGAGAATAAACTTACATTGTTCCCAAACTATTAAAGAAAATAGTGATAGGATTCGAACTAGTTAACTTAACTATCTGAATCAGAATAAGAAGTCTAAACAACAAGGATTGAATAATCTAATACCTGAATACATCTTCAGCAAATGTTCAATATAACATAGTTTCTTAATCCACTTAATTAAGCTCAAGACAAAATGATATGATCCGAGTGAAGATAAGAAAAAAAAAAAAAGCCTGACCTGACGAAGAGGATGATCCTTGGGAAGAAAGCTTCCTATAGTTTTCCCATACACTTCACAAGTAGAGAAGTGAATCAAACGCTTTTTGTTATCTGAGCAGTACTTAACCTAAACATTAAACCACTCAACGTCACACATCTATTCTCTCATACACATCTCATTAAAGAGAAGACGAAACGGAAAATACATACCACAGGGAGAGCATCGATAAAATTACTGTAGATAGTATCAAGAGGACGCGTATTGTAATCCGCTGGTGTACAGATCGCAGCCAAATTAATCGTCTGCAACGCAACAAACAAACACAACAAACACATTCACAACAAACAATTTGAAATTCAATTCTCAGATCTGATTTTGTAACTAATTACCAGATCTGCCATCTTGACGAGTCCCTCGAGTCTCGAATCATGCTTAATGTTGATCCGATGGAACTGGATCCTCTCGGCCCACTCGGAAGTATCAGGCTCGAGCAAGTGCTTGATCTTGTCGTTGTAGACGTCGAGCGCGAGGACCTTGTGAGGAGTCTCGTTCAGCAGCTTCTCGCAGAGGTGAGAGCCGATGAAGCCTCCGGCGCCGATCATGCATATCGTGAGCGGTTTGATCGGTCTCCCGTCCAGATCTAGTCTAACGGCTCCGTTCGCCATTGGTTTGTCGGTGGAGAGACGCGCGTGATCTCTGCGGAGATGGTAACAATGCGAATCAATGGGTGTGGGTAGAGAGAGAGAGAGGTTTGTGAGAATGGGAAAGAGAGTAGGAAATGAGGGGTGGGGTATTTAAAGACATGTGGATGCAATTATTTAATGTGTAGATGAGAGAGGATCTCGTTGGTTAGTGTGTGACATATTATTCTATTTTACTCAAATTTATTTTCTAAAGTTCATAAACACTAAAAACTTCTATAAAATAATATAGTTTTAGAATTTTAAATTAAATTTTTAATTCAATTAAAATATCTATAAATTAATATTTTTTTATAAATTAATAAAAATATATAATTTTGATATAGTCCTTAACGTTAATATTTCAATTATAATTTTTATTGTATAAATTCATTGATGAATTAATCATTCACGTGAAATCAAGTTATGACTCTAGAGCTTATTAGATCTGACCTGTGGTGTATAATAGTTTAGAACTGGGCGTTCAGTGTATGGTTTGGATTTGGTTTGGATTTGATTTGGTTGATATTCAGATTTTCAAAAATTATTGTTATAAGTTTCATTTGAGATTTATTACTTTTTGGGTGGGATTTGATTCATTCCAAACTTGGTACATATCTTGTCATTTGATTTATTACTTTTTTGGGTTGGATTTGATTCATTCCAAATTTGGTACATAATATATGACTATAACCAATGTCAGAAATAGTGCAAAAATCTAAAAATGATCAAAAATATATAAATTTTAATCAAAACTATTAAACTAAATAAACTTACTAAAAAATATTTAAAATAATAAATAAAATAAACTACAACTTATTAATAAAACTGTAAATAACTAAATTATCTTAACATATATATAAGACTAACATATTTAAATAATTTAGGACATTTGCATATCCTAATTCAGATTTTGATTCAGGTAATATCCAACGGCTTAAGTGCTGTTTAAATTATTTTAATAATGGTTTGAATCAGATTCAATTTTCCGGTTCGGTTTAGGATAAAAGCGCCAAACCTAGTATAGCCTGTGTTAATAGATCGTTTTATTGTTATAGACATAGCATACAAAAAAAAAAAAAAAAACATAGCATACAAATATTTTGTGCTAAAAGATGATGTAACTCCACCTTCTTCATTTGCTAAGAACTCATATAAGACGGTCAGACCCAGTTCGTGTGATGGTAAGTAAGAATTAATTAGTGATACATCATACTATTATGTGATAAGATTACAACAATAAGTCCCAACCTCTGTGAGGTGAGTGAATGCTACAAAGCTACAAGAAACGGGAGTTCCAAGAGAGAAAAAGATGGAGGAAAATTACTTGTAACAAGTAGTAATAATCGCTTGTATAACTACTGTGTGAGCTGTTCTCTCTCCACTGCCCTGTGCTTATTACGTCTTTGCTTCTTCCTCCTCTCATCGCTGAAACATTCACCTCCAGAGAACCTGTCATGTAATAAAACTCTCCAATTTGACCAAAAATAAAAAAAATAAAAATAAAATAAAACTCTCCAGTTTCATTGTCTGCAAGACTGCAATCTCTCCATCATACTCTCTCCTAATGTAGGGTGGAATGTAGAAGTCAAATACAGAACCAAATAAAAAACACACTCACAGTCGTATTCTGCCCATCCAATCCGTTGGCGAACAAGATCGTAGACCACCACTTTGTCTTTAAGAACCAAATCTGCATAGCAATCCACGTACGAGAAACCCATTCAGAACAAAATAATTGCACTTGTCCTTAAGTTTTACTTGATCAAGTTACAAAAACTATGAGTCGGTTACCGCCAAGAATTGTTATACGACGATGTGACATTCTCTGGAAACCAATGCACCATATTGAACTTCCTGACTGATGATAATAGCAATGGTAAACAAAGAAACAAATATTAACTGCCAACAGATAATGTTTACCAAAGGGCTGGAAATGAATACATGAGAACTATCTATAAACATGAATACCAAAGTGAATGTTAGAAGGTTTAGAACTCACTACATTTACTAAATAACTCAGCGCTCACAAGTCTATTTCTCACTCTCACAAAATCATAAAAGCTCTAGTCTGCTAGACTCAGTCTTAGGCTAGATACAGTAGACATGTAAGCTAATGTTTACCAAAGCTTATCATTGCCACACTACAACACGACTTATGAAGTTATGTAAGAATATGCTTACACTAGAAAACATCTGAAGATAGCCACGGGGGGTTAAAACCATTGATGCACCACCAGCAAAGTTCAAACTAACTTCGGGAAAGACATCAATGGCACTGCAAAACATGGATTCATATATTGTTAGCAGTTAAACACTATGAGAGATAACAGCTTTTTTAATATACATGCACACATGAGAGGAACTTTTACCCAGATGCGATATCAAAGCACTGGTAACTCTCATATGTAATAGGTCGCCCATACTGTGAAACTGCACCTGAAATCTGCAGGTTTGAACGGTTTATTAATCTTCTTTCTTGTAACGTATAACAACATCTACCTTCTAAATTGGATTGTAATTAGGAGGAGAAAACACTCACAGCTTGGACAAATGGACTATAAGCTTCGTCGGGAAGATAAGCAAGAGTAGTCCCTGTATCAATGATCGTCCCATCACCAGTGGCTATCGTGAAAACAGATGGATCAATCGGTAATATCTGATTGTTCACAGCAATGCTCTGCAGGTTCACATTATAATGTGGCCTGAAAATGTTTTTTTTTTTGCATCATATTATCTGAATCAAGATTTAGGGTTATATATTTTAGTTTTTCCTATTCCAAGCTAAACAAACATCATTTTAGTTTCGCAGGTTTAGCTACAAAACGTTTATTTCCAGTTCATACGGTTCCTACAGCTGAATAGGATAGCAAAATCACATGTTTTATATCTGTGTAGTGACTTTCATAATCATCAGTTAAACCCTGAATCTACCTCCTGGTCTTATGTAAACAAGTTTAACTAGTGCATTTATGAACAGAATCTATGACAGATAGGATTGAGAACTCACTGTGATGGAACAAGAGGAGTATAGACAGTATCTGGTCTCTTGATTTGACCAAGAACCATTACACCTCCACCGCTTTTATCTCCCTTCAGACAGTGTGAGAATACTCGTGGTGCGAGTCCTTGAGTAGCAAGCTGTGAAATTACAGATAAACGCCCCTGGCCTAACCCAAAGATGCCATCTACTGCTCGCCTAGGCCTCTGCAAATCTCCCGTTTGTAAATTGCTACACCTGTTTGTGAATATTGAAGACAAGCACCACACATCAATGAAAACTAATGAATAAAGAGAACATATTTGCTGCTAGCGCATACCCGAAGACAAAGGGAGCAGAGGAGTTTATAGCCAAGGTACTAGTAATAACAGTATCAAAGGACATGAAATCAGAGATGTAGTAACCAGAAGTGCCACTTCCATCACCATACTTAAACGAATAAGAACAAAGATTATTCGGAGAACAACCAGATTCCGTCTGAAAATTAGAGTAACATCTCCTATCTGAACACGAAACCATTGAAGCCGACGATGAGGCTCCAGGATCAAAGAAACTCAGCTGAATCTGAAAACACAAAAAAAAAAAAGAGTTAGTTACTTAAAACAAATGATCATATCATAAAAGATAAAAAAAAAAAAAAGAAACATACTTGGAGTTCACTAGTCTTGGGGCAACCGTTGCAAGGAGTGCAACTAACCCATAAAACATCACTTCCCGTGTCGATTTGCACATTGAATTCTCTTGGAGGTGTCCCAAGCTTAACCTTTGTATAGTAAAGTCTGTTATGAAAGCCAAAAACACAATCAAGATTCTAAAAAAGGAAAGAGCAATAGTCAAGAAACAGAGTCAAAGATAATTCTTAATTCTAATATAGAATGCTGTTCAGTTAGACCATGTTTATTGAGAATTCTAATACAGAATGCTGTTTAGTTAGGCCATGTTTATTGAGGATTCTAATACAGAGTGCTGTTTAGTTAGGCCATGTTTATTGAAGGTTCTTAGCCGATCTCTTAACTGTTAAGTAAGAAAAACTAATAACCAATCTCTTAAAACTCTTATTTAAGAGTCGATTCTTAGTTTTTTTAGTATTAAGCTAAGAATCCCACCGTAAGAACTCCAATAAACATGCTCCACAAGCTTCCATACCAAAATTCATTAATTTATAATCACATCTGATAAAAACCGGTCCACATCGAATCTTTTAAGACAGAACCGAATCTAATGGGTAAAAAAACAGTTTTTATTACCCAACGAGAAACGGATCGGAGGCTCCATAAACGGGGAAATCAACAACTCCACCGACAGGAGATTGTAGTAACCTTCCATGGCGAGCTAAATCAAAGGCTCTGAGCTGAGCCAAGCTAAGTTCATGGCTCGGCGGAATCAATCTTTCCAGCTTGAGAACCGAGTCGGAGCTGAGAACAATGGTTGTTGCAACGTGTAGAAACAAGGCAGCGATGATTACTCCTTTAGGAGAATCCACCGCCATTTTCTCGAGTTCGAAACTTCTCTTACAGAGGAGAGAGAGAGAGAGATGGGAGAGAGACGTCAAGTGAACGTTCTGATGACAGTAGTAAAGTTTTGCGCATTTTTGGTGATTATTTTAATAAATAATGGGGGAATGAAGCTTCGCTTAAATTATTATCGTTTTGGCGTTTTTTTTTGTGTAAATATTTTGTGATATCACAAGTTACTTTTGTTTTTGTATTTTCATGGTTGTTGCATAAAAAGAAGGAACATGTTAGTGCTGCACTGATGTAATGTGTCTATGACCAACCATGAAGTATTTTTCTTTTTTTACTTAAAGGCTAAAAGTCAATGTTTTAATAGTCTCTTTTAGGCATTACATCACTTTGGTAAATTAACTGAGAATTTTTTTTTCATATTATTATGAGAAGAAAGGATTCTCTGTTGAGATGAAGTCATGAATAAATACTTTAGTGATCTTCTAAAAGATGTGAGAGAAGTTGAGATACTTCCTCTGGATGTAATGTTCCGAAACTTTGCCATCTTATTCTTCCGGATTTGTCGAGTAGGAGGAGGATATACCTATAACATAAACAAGTATGTACAACATAGGACTCTAGACTTTGATTATAACTATAACCTGAACCATCTAATTTTGTGGCTAACCCGATCAAACCAATATTTCAATCCCCGATTAAGATATATCTTCAATAAGGTTAATTATTATTTAAAAGCTATTTATCAGTTAACTGATGAATAAAAGTGTTTGTAGTCTAACTGTTATGATAGTTACCTTCCAAACAATAGATCCGGGTCCAACTCCCAGCAAACGCATATCTTTCATTTTTTATTATAATTAATTAGTTAGTACAAATGTGTTGTATGTGGGCTTCGGAGAGTGCTAGAATCTAGAGAGTACAAATTTGAAAAGACCTTGATGATGCTGCTTGTTCAGATGCGAGAGCAGAGACTGATCAACATAATCGATTCAATGTCATCGCCATTGTTGAAGACCTTAAACCCTATTTGGTTAAACGAAACTGTGTTACAGGCTTGAAAACGAGCTTATAGCCTGAACCAGCTAATTTTGAGGCTAACCCTATCAAACCAATATTTTAATCTCCGATTAAGATATATATTTTCAATAAGGTTAAAGATTATTTAAAATCTATTTATCAGTTAATGAATAAAAGTGTATGTAGTCTAACGGTTATGATAATTGCCTTTCAAGCAATAGATCTGGGTTCAACTCTTAAACCCTATTTGGTTAAACGAAATTGTGTTACAGGCTTGAAATGAACTTATAACCTGAACCAGCTAATTTTGTAGCTAACCCTATCAAACCAATATTTCAATCTTTGGTTAAGACATAACTTCAATAAGATTAATCTAATATATTAAAAGAAAAGTCATGACTCTTTTAATGTGTGATATTTAAAATGGACCATCTATTAGAATTTGTCATATTACATTATTCAATCATTAATTAGTAACCTTAAAATTAGTTATCTATAATTTTGGGCTTACCCAAAATTTTTATTGGGCTAACAATAATTGGATAACCCATTAAATTTATAGATAATATAATAAAACATATGTTTAAATTAAATAGATATGATTTATTGTTATAATAGTATATCTTCATAAGTTAATTATTTATAATATATTTGTCGATGTTAACTTTTAAAATTAGATAGTTTACTTTATAAAATAACAAAAATCATCATTTTCTAACAATGATTAGGCTATACTACCTTAAACCAATAAAAATCATTTTTTAAGTTATATAGTTTATTTTAAAAATAACAAAAATTAAATGTTTAGTTATTTACTCCATAATATGAAGCTTAAATTTTTATTTTTGTTAAACTTTCTAAATTTGAGAAATATTATAATATCTTTAAAGATAAGAATAAAACAATATTTTACCAATCTTTACATATATTTACGACTTTAACAATGAAATAATAATTCAAAGTAATATATATAGAAGAAGATACAAATATATGTGAAGGTTTGAAACAATCTATTCGATGAAAAACTAATATATGATAAATTATTATCTTTTAAAAATTGATATACATATCTCATATATATATATATATATATTTAGAAGTGAAAAAAAAATTGTTTTAAAAAATTGAAAAAAAAAATTTCTATAAAAATAAATGAAAATAAACACTCGCGCGGTTGCTCAGGTCAAGATTTAGTTATTATTTAAAAGCTATTTATCAATTGATGAACAAAAACGTTTGTAGTCTAACAGTTATGATAATTGCCATTCAAACAATAGATCTTAGTTCAACTCTCGTGGACACATAAATTTTATTGTAATTAATTAATTAGTACAATTGTCTACAAGCTTTTGATCCTCAAAGATAGTTTTTTAATCATCTTTTTTGTTTTTTTGTTGGAAAAGTAACATATATTTATACGTGTCACAGAAACATTCAATTATAACATATATATATATCGGGAAAACGGCCTATTAGTACCTGGAGTATAGTTATATTGGCTGATCAATACCTAAACTATGTAACTGTGCGAATTAATACATAATCTAATATAAATTTTGAATTTAGTACCTGAAGTATGGTCATATTTTCTGATCAATACCCAAACTATTTCATTGTGCGAATTTGTACCTGATTTAATAAAAACATTGAATTTGATACCTGAACTTATAAAAACTGACTTTTACATACTTGCAACTGATAACGTGTCGGTATTATGCTGAGATAGACCGGTTTCTTGATGAGTTGGCGTTATTTCAAAAAAAAATTAAAAAAAAAAAAACAAAACAAAAATGAGACCACCTTGGTTCGAACCCGTTTCCGAACATATTCATAATAATGTCACTAACCGCTTATGTTGGATAAGATCCAGATGGCCTTTGAATGGTGTCTTTGTTTATCACCACTCTCAAATGATTCATCAAATCTCATATAATTAATCGTTGTTTGTCACCACCATCTCTCAAATGATTCATCAAATCTCATATAATTAATCGTTGTTTTGGTGAAAAAATTTGATGAGATTTGATGAAGCGAGATTCAAAAACGATTATATGGGATTTGATGAATGAGATCAAAACAAAAAGAGATTTGATGAATCATTTGAGACCTGTTGCGAGGAACAGAGACACAGTCAAAGGTTATATAGTTATTTCGGTACAACAAAACTACAAATCTTTTCTAGCATAAACGGTTATTGTCATTATTATGTTTATGTCTGGGATCTAGGGCGAATCAAGTTGTTTTTTTTTTGTTTTTTTTTTAATTTTTTTTGAAACAACACCAACTCATCAAGAAACCGGTCCACCTCAGCAGAATACCGACATGTTGTCAGTCGTAAGTATGTAAAAGAAAGTTTTTATAAGTTCAGGTACCAAATTCAAAATCTTTATTAGTTCAGGTACAAACTTACACAGTGAAATATTTTGGGTATTGATCAGATGATATGACCATAGTTGAGGTACTAAATTCAAAATTTGTATTAGATAAGGTACCAATTCGCACAGTAAAATAGTTTGAGTATTGATCAGACAATATGACCATAGTTCAGGTACTAATCGGCCGTTTTCCCTATATATATCATATGGTTTCGCCATGTTTACATTTTCATTTGTATGTCTTTCTTCACGATGAAGAAGTGTGTGATATCGAGGATGATGGTGAGTCCCAAGGAGTCATATCCATGGGATAACTCCCCAACACCCGCAAGAACGACGTGAACTCCCGAACCTCCGAGAGCGCGTTCTGAGCACGCGTCTCCGCCATCGAAGCCTCAAAATCCACGTAAAACATATACTCAAAATACTTCGCTGTTCCCACGTTCACATCATCAACAACCCTAATCGGACGGTTATGATTCGGCCTAGATTCAATCTTCGTCAAGCTGATGTCCCTAAACGCGAAAGCAGAAAGTACCTTGTAAAGCACGTTAGTGCCTTTCTCATGCGCAAAGACTATGCTCGTTTTAAACGGACGGTCCATTCTCGGTATAATCGGCTCACGCGCCAAAATAACGAAGCGCGTCACGTTACTAACGTCGTCTTGTATCCCGTCTTCTAAAACCTCCAGCCCGTAAATCTCCGCGGCGCGTGCGCTCGCTATAGCCGCCGTGTCGCGGAGATTGTTGGCGGAGATGAACTGAGCGGCTCCCGCGGTGTCGTTCACGGCCTCGCGGGAGACGTTGAGTCCTAGCTTTGCGAGTGTGCGCTGCACTGAGCGAGGCCTTGAGGGTGTGAGATCACGCGCGTGAGGAGCTCCTTGCGTACTCCGGGGAGTGCTAAGAGACAGTGGTGAACAGGGAGGTGGACTTCTCCGACGATGTGGAGACGGTGACGGAGGAGAAGATCGTAGTTACGGTGGATAGAACCTCCGAGAGAGTTCTCAACCGGTAGAACCGCATGGTCGGTGGTCAAGTCTTCTACCGCTTGAAACGCAACTTCAAACTGGTCGCAGGGAACGGCTTGGCAGTTAGGGTAAGCTTTGCCTGCGGCTGCCTCGGAGTAAGCTCCGGGAACGCCTTGATACGCGACACGTAGGTTAGATCCGTGCATGGGAGATGGGGAGAGATCATCGACGTTTAGAGGGTTTTGATGATGATTATGATCAACTCCGACAGAAACTGGAGGCATTGGTAAGGTTTCGGACTGCTCTTGAGACACAACTTTGCTTGTTAGAATAGCACATGAGCTTTCCCATTCAGAGCGACTAGTTTCGGAGGATTTAGTTCCCTGCGCATTTGGTACAGCTTTCATGTTTTAGCAATCGTGTCTGAAATTTTTTGAGATTTGAAGTTAAGGATATAGCAAAGGTAGAGAAAGCAGAAAGCAATGTTGCTTGAGTAGGTCGCTTGTGGTGGACTATTCTCTACCTACTGCGACCACCTCTCCACCAACTATCTCATACTTGACTTGTGGCCTTAGGTTTTGTTATTTTATTGAGTTTATAATGCCATATGTTTCTATCCAGATTTGTCATAAAGTTTTTCTTAACGCAAAGAAGCTTGCTGGGACGAGTTTTTTTTTTTTTGTGTTGGTAAGAGTTCTCTCTATCATTATGTGTAAGTCTCAATTCCACAAACGATGGATTAATCATCTACTCAGGCCACACTAAATAAACACATTTTTGTAGTACGTTGATTCATACAAAGCAAAAGTGCGATAAGATAAGATTGAAAGCATGAAGCGCAAGCAAAAAATTTATTGATTTGTTTGGATTAAATAGTTCATTATAGAATCTAGAAAGCTGCATTTGATGTAAAGAAGTTTTGATTAAATAATTTTTCATTCATTCTGAAAAAAAAAAATGAAAGCATGGGATATGTAGTGAAAGATAGGAAGAGTTTATTGAGGATTATCATACAATAATGAAGTGAAGCACACCAATTTTCTCTTCTAATACAAACAAATACATTGAGAGAAACAGAAAATTCACGTGCTTCACAAAATTCCAAGAGATAATCACCCTTATTAAATAAGAAAACACTGATGATATGATAGTACTAGCTGAACACACCAAATACTCAAATCTTAAAGATAGACACCGGGTTCAATTCTAGGTAGTCTCATGGATATATCATGTATAAGAAAATATCTAAATTTTAAAATGTTGCTTCATTTTCTATGGTAGATTGCTACAATTTTTATATATTAGTCTAAGTCTAACAAAGAATTTTTTCCTTTTACAAGATAGAAATTCTTTGGTAGACTTGAGATGTTTTGTGGTGCTAGTTTTGAAGCAACATTAAAAATTTCAGATCTTACCGATAGATCCATGATTCCCCCAGTGGACCGTCACTCTGTGGTGACACATTCTGTATCCTCCTCAAACCCATCAAAAGAAAGAGACGGATGAGGAGAATGTCCATTGCCAAAGGACTTGATGTGGTCCTTAAGAGACCTCTTGTGCTTAAAATCTGACCCACATGTACAATACCAAAGCTTACCACAATTCTTCTCATGGGTCCTCCAATCACCTTTAACAGCCAACGCTTTGCCACATTTTCCACAAGAGAATGGCTTGGAGCCATGCTTACGTTTGTAATGTGTCTGAAGTGTACGGAAGTCCTTCAAGGGCTTGGCACGCGGATGGTTGATGTTGTTCTTGCATCCTTCCGCGCAGCAATAACATGGAAGCCTCAGGATAGCCGCAGGTTGAGTTGTGCCCTTCAAAGAGTCAGCTCCTTTTCTGAACTCTGATCCATGTCCCCACATATGCATCTGTATTATTGTTTATTTAAATTCATTATATATAACCATGATGTGATGTCGATAACATCTTTACTTATGTTTTCATATATAAGAGAGGTTTGAGTATTTGAAAATCAATTGATAATCACCAGTCTACAAAATATTCTATGCACACAAGTTACATGAAGACCCATTCCAAGAGATAATTCTAAGTAAAGTATACATAGAAACCAATGATGCTTAATTCGATAGCCTTTTAATCAGATGATTATTATGTTAAGTAATCGATTGCATGTATTAGATAAAAGTAGTATGATCATTGTTTGTCTTTATTTTCTCCCTCTTTTTTTGTTTGTTGCTAATTACTTTACCAAATCCCACTCCGTGATTAATCTTTTGCTTTTTGGCTTTTCAACAGAAAAGGCAAGACAAAAAATGAAAAAAGTCAAAAGATTTTCGAAGATGTCTCAACTAATCCAGAAGTTATATACCCAAATGTCCTTTTTTAGTTGATTTGGGGTTGTAACTACAATGATTCACCAACCGAGATTAATTACCGTAATAATTATTTTCAATAAAGTTCAAAATCTTTTATTTACAACAAGAATTTTCCTTGCAAAATATTCCGTATAGAATGATGTTAATTTTAGTAATCGTATGTATGAAATCAAAGTTCATTTTAATTTAAATTTAAAACAAAAGAAAAAATATTTATTAAAAAAAAAGTCCTAAGGAAATACAACCCTAAATGAAATACCCTACGAATACTAGAATGGACAAAGGCAAAGGTAAAGTTGATATAGTGATGATATTTCCTTCTTTGTTAATATGACATCTAATGATAATATTTTGAATACGTTATAAAGCATGCTTGTAGGTAAATTAGTGGATATGTAAGAAAGTATATATCATGAGACGATAAGAGAGAAGACGTACCTGCATGTTATTGTACCTATTGAACGTTTTGCTGCAAATAGAGCAAGCAAATTGCATTGGACCGACATGAATCTGAGCCGGACTTGGTATCCAAAACCTTCTCCCACATACTTCCATATCAGAGTCAATAATTTCCTGCTCAAACTTCATCATTCTCCTCTTCTTCATCTTCACCACACCATCTTCTGTTACCTCTCTCTTGATGGATTTTTCCTGATGATGATTGGAAGTTGTGTCAGAGTCATCCTCCACCGAGCTACCACGGTGATAGGTAGGCAATCCGATTTGGAGGGTAACCACGTCATCATCCATCTCTTCTTTGATATCATCAGAAGCTTGACTTTCATCTTCCATGAGCTTGTTTAGAAGAGGCAAGCATTGAATAGACGTAGTGTTTGTGTTGAGTGGTTCTTGTGGTTGGTATAAGAATAAAGATCGTTCCAAAATGTTCATTTGACTTTGGTGATCTGATCTTGATACAACATCTTGTGTCTTCATACGGAATAATACAGAAGGAGAAGTAGAAGATGCCCTAAGCCATGCAAGGAAGCTTGAGGACTCAAAACTTAAACTCTTCTCATTAAGATTCATCTCTCTCTTTCTCTCCACGAAAATGTTTTTGATTAGTAGTAATGTTATTTATTCGACCTTCCTCGTGTCTATAGGTTCTTGTTTTTTTTTTTCTTCCTACCCCAACCCGTAAACTTTTTTTTTTATATATTAATGTGGTGGGTCTTACTTCATATAGTGAAAAGGAGAGACGCACAAGCACAAGGCTTTTCAACGAAAGAGGATCCTAAGAAGACTCATACATATTCATTGAACCATTTTTTTTTCTTCGCTAGCCTCTTTTCCTTTCCCATTATCATGACTATGTAACATCTTATACCAACCAATACGATATCATTTTTCATCATTCTATTGTCATAATTATCTTTCAATTGCAAAATAGACCGGCGAAGACAAAACTCATCATCATTACATCAAAACAACAGTTTCAACATCATTTTAGCCGTCTTTTAAGGGACAAATGATAAAAGCATATTACTATAAAATCACGCGTTCGCTTTTATTGACATTTGATGATTCAAGTGGCAGATCACACGATGATGTAATATTGTAATGCATGTGTTTGATTATTTCCCCTTTTCATACGCAAGAATTTCATCTGTTTACCTAATTAACAGATGAAATTAACCTAACGGCGCCTTACATGTGAAAAAATGGAACTCCTTCTGTTTAACAAAGAGTATGATTAATTTCTTTTTTTTCTGTTAATGAAAAAATTTCAATGCTGATTAAATAAATTTAATATTAATGAAACATTGTTGGTTAAGTAGAAGTAATTGTTAATAACATGATGTATTGCATTTGTTTTCTTATTTTGTGAGAAAGTGTTAAGATGACTTTTATAAAACTGAAGGAGTATAATGTATTTTACAATTACCAGAACCTTAAGATTTTGATTAGTTTTAATAAACTAAATAAGAAAAAGGTTTTCAACAAAAACAAAAGACTTTTCATGTATCATCATTCCTTGATTTGTTTATCCATACTTAAGAGAGATGTTTTTTTATTTACTTATAAGCAGTATAAATTTGAATCTACCGTAACGTCCAATTCATTCCACACTTTTTCTATGAGAAAGACGAAGCACAACAATCAAATGACCTACACATAGTATTTGGAAAAATTCAAGGTGACGAAGGGTTTAGAAGTTTGAAAGATTTGGAAGAGAATGAGGTAGTGGAGTTTGACCTATAAGCAAAAGATTTTAGTATAAAATACATTGAAAAAGAAGACAGGGAGGACTATATTCACCGCATAAAATTTAAGTTTAGTCAATACCTGAAAGAATAAAATATAAGTAAATACAGTAATCATGAATTCGAGACAAGTTAATTTATTCAATGTACCATATAGTATGTTTTATCATTCAAAGGAAAATGTAAGCATGCGACATGGTCCAAGTGTTGAGTTTATCTTTTTGTGAACCGCATTCGAAGATCGTTAAAACCACTCAAATAAGACGGTTCACGTGTGAGCACTGTAGAACGATATATTTTTTTTTACAGCTTAAATTTATTAACTAGATAGTTAAAAGATAATACAAATACATAAACAATACTGAAACTATACAAACACAAATAGCATAATGAAAACGAATAGAAAACAACCATAAAATAATTTTTCGTTGGGGGTCTTCTTTATCAATAGAGTATCAACTTCATGAATATTCTTTCGAGTTTTAGATCTTCAGAGCATTACAAACACCATATTTTCTTGTTGTATTACATTGAACGATATTTTGTATTTATGTCTTCATATGGTTTGTTAGGCCTATAATGGACTCTCATTATTATGATTTTATCGTTTAAGCCAATTTGGTTTCATACTTGGCTTCTTTTATAACGAATCACTGGACTGTGATCAATTCAAAGACTGGTTTCGTTTCTCGAACCGCTAATTTTCCACCTTTCCTCTCTTCTGCCTCTGTTTTTTTTCCCTTACATGATTGGGCCAGAAATAAGTTTATGGGCCATATAAGGCCCAAACATCTCACATATGGGTCTTATCAAGTGCTTTGTTGTCGTTTTGGATTTCGCCCTCCAGGAGTTTGTCGTAATATAGAAAGAAAGTAGTCACTGAAACAAATAAATTCACTGTATATAAAGTCAACGAAGCCTAGTGCACTCGTCAGGAAAGAAATGCATCCCTGCTGCTCTTTTATAGCCTCTTTTTTTTTTCTTGGGCACATGAATTGGTTCCATACTTCCATTTAAGTGGTACGTTAATTTCATATAATCTTTTAAAAGAGGTGAAAAAGATCCTAGCATTACTAATACAACATAAAGAAAATATAGTATTCTACCAGTGAAATTAAGACAGATGAACTTCGCCATTTAAATATAAAGATTCCAAATTTCGATTCAGAAATTGGAGAAGTGGTTGCGCGATGGCTGAATCATCTGGAGATCCGTAGTTGTTTGGCAAGATGTTTCATCGCTTATTAGCGTCCTATTCACATTAATAACACCCAAAATTAAATTACTAGCCTATAAATAAGATATGCGTAAAAAAAATACATTATATAAAAATATGCCTTACTCTCGTGGTCTAGACAACCAAAGAGAGCTAAGAGCTCTGAGCCGTCCGTAATATTCTCCGATGACTAGAAAACACCGTGCGGCTTGGCGAACAGTCAAGATCCGCCGCAGCTGGTGAATGGTCTGCTGCCTCAAGTTATCAGCCTACATTTAGATTAACAATCATAGTTAATTTAAATAACTTCTTTATTAAAGTCGCTAACTCTTTTCATAAGATTTTAAAGATTATAGTAATGGCACGCCTACTACCTTGATATATGTGCTAATGGGTATTACAAAAATCAATAGCTTGTAAACATATAAATGAAAAATCAATATGATCCTAATGAAAAACAAGATAAACATTTTATATGTATTTTATTTAGGTCAAAACAAAACTTTGAAAGAGAGAGATGGAGAATAATTTCAACATGTACATATACAGTATCATCTTTGTTTTCTGCTAATTATTATATTAAAATAAGTTGGTGAAAGAAATTTGGCTCTTGGAGGAATAGTTATATTTAAGACCAAAAGAACATCTATTATTACACGAGAGAAGAAAAATAGCGGCAAGAAAAAGGAACTGAGCATAATATAGAAACACGTGAAAGCAACATTCGATCAAATTATTGGAAAATGACATTTGATCAAATTCATGTTTAGTAAGACATTTATTTTTCTATATTATTAAAAGGTTTTAATTAGTCAAAATAAATACAAAACGACGTAAAAGTTTTTTTTTTCTTTGCGAAGATGTTCCGTAAAACACCTATACCTCATAAACAAAATTATAATTTAAAGTGAATAAATAAACGCAAATATAAAGTGAGAAACTTAAACCTGGCGGATAAACCCTTCGAAGTTAGAGATTTTGCCGAGAGCGACGGCCATTTGTTGCATACCATCGATGACTGAAGAGGCAGCAAGAGTATCGATAAGAGATTGCTGAAGTTGTTCGAGCCCTTGCGAGAGAGCCTCCTCAGCTTGTTGCGATGAGTGTTGTAGGCTATATATTCCCATCAGCTGCTGCTCCGTCAATAGATCCATTTGCGACACCAGTATCTTACAAAAAATAACCATCACTTTTCTCTTTTAGTTTTGACTTACAACTAATGAATATAATTTCTCTAATTAAAGTTTGGCTAATACGTTTCTATCTTACAACAGTCACAGAAATAATACTAATTATACTTGTTATCACGATCAGGCCAGTTCAAAATAGTGAGTTGAAACATTATTTGACTCCTAAAATTTTAAAAAATATTATATATAAGTTTCCTTGCCTTCACATTGTGAAAAATTAATTAAAAATAATCTAAATATGTTTATAACGTCATAAATTTTAGGTACGGGTTATGTTTAAGATAATGTTTTATGGTATGATGACTAACCTTGATAAGGTCAGATGGACGGAAACCAGCCATCCAAATAAAACAGCGTTCGGCTTGGGACATCCATGTTCCGATGATGAGATGAAAAACATCGGCTCTTGCGGCCACTGCTTTCAATTGGAATACCTCATCGAAGTGAGCGATGTAACCGTCAACAATTAACCTTAAATCATTGTCAGATAAGTGAGCTTGCAGACCGGTCCGAATCTCCGACATATGCCGGTTCTCGTCATCTAGCCATCTCCCATATTCCATGTCAAACATTGCAGCTCCTACGTACATTTCAATATTATGTTAATAAGTAACTAATCATATAGATATATAGTTTGTTGGGTCCAATTAAGTAATTCAATAAAATAATACTGCAAATGAAGTTTTAGGTTTCAATACCGGAACTGATGTTAGGTCCAGGTGGACCACAACCACCCATAAACATCCCCTGTAACGAAAAAAAAAATAAAAAAAAATTAATCAACGCATAAAGATTGTACAAGACTATAAATAATTTAATCTATGAGTGAAACCTGAGAACGAGCTCGCTGAAGTTCTTGCTCTAACTGGGAAAGTTTTATCCTACTTGATTCTAGCTGTTGCACATAAGCCTGCTCAAACCATATACACATTTGTTATTTACATGTATCATATTATAATCAATATAGTTAGCTCACCCAAATACTAATCTTCTCTATCGTAATTTAATCGAAATTTCCTCATCTATAGAAGACTGGTAAATGGTAGATATAAGAAAGAAATGTTACGTACTATATATATAATTCGTTTCATATATAGAACAGTGCGATTGTCTATTGTACTACTAATTGCTGAATTGTAGATACGTGTAACATATATTTCTAACATTGCAGCAATATTAACTGAAGATAGTAAATAATAGATGCCCTTACTCGATAGGAATTATAAATATTTAAATTAATGATAATTATTTGACGAGAGAAGATAGGAGTTTGTAATGGTTACCTTTCTCCTAAGACGGCTTTTGCGAGCAGCTTCTCTATTTTGGGCCAAACGTCTCAATGTCTGAGATAATCCAATTTCACATTTTTAAAACACGAGGTGAACTAGCTAATTCGGAGGGAAAGAGGAACCCAAATCTTACAAAGTGTCATTAAAAGTATATATATTTATTGGTGTCTCCTCGTGGGAGACGAATAAATGTAAATCAAATAATGATGATAAACGTTAAACCACCTTAGCATCAAGTTGTTTGCCTGAAGTTGTAACCTTCCTCTGCAATGTCAGAGAACAAATATAAAAATAGAAATAAGTTCAGTAGAAAATAAAAATTTAAGTGAATTGTGTAAGTAAAGTTGACTCATGTGATAAAAGCTAAAACCATATATAATTAATAAAGGAATACCATATATTAATTTACAAAATAATATAGACAATATGTGTAAGTTTTATATATAACTTTAATCCCATTTCAAGAAAACGTAAAAGAAAATAACACCGAGGAAGATTCTGCTTTATTTATTTCACTTTTGGGGTTTTATTTATTTTGTACTATATTCAATTTGTCCCTTTTCAAACGAATGAGAGGTCAAAAATCTGAATTTTCTCTGATCCGTTTCCTTTTTGGGATCTGTGTATGCTTTTTGTTTTACTGGAAGATTTTATAGGACACTATACAATGAAATGCATGTGCATGCATATATCTAGTATGATAGGGAGAGAGACACACATATATCATGTACTTGCATGAAAGCATGTATGTTACATGATTTCACATGCATATATCTCTCAAAAATTGAAATTAAAAAAAAACAAACTGATGATGATGAGTACTACCTTTTCCTCCGATGCTTTTAAAGGAGCTGGAGTTCGAGAAGTAGAGGGAAGTCCAGATGTAGAACTTGATTTAGCCATGTTATTATTATGATGATTCTGATGAATGAGATGATGATTCTGTTTGCTACTCATCGGAGACACCAGCTGTTGACTTTCTGTTTTGCCTGAGAAATTCGCCGATCCTGAATCAGTGCTCTCTCCTCCTGACTTTGAACTCTCCTGCAATACATATTCAACATAGACGTACTTATGATTAGGGGTGGGCACGGATCGGATATCCGGATTTTTTAAGGTATTTGTGATTTGCTTCGAATGTTACGGATATCTAATTTTGGTATTTGATTTGCTTCGAAAAAATACGGATATCCGGAAAAACGGATATCCGGAAAATAAATAGATATTTGCGGATATTTACGAATATTTACGGATATCTCATCCATTTAATTAGTACAAATAATCTTAAGATTTTGATACAAATTTGCTTTGTAAAAATATTTTTTTGCATGATATATAAAATAAAACTTAAAAGAACTAGTGAATTTACAGATTTTGTAATTTTTTAAAGTTTAAGTTACAATTATAATAACACAAAATTTAAGAAAAAAATATAATTGTCAAAAATATTTTATCTCTTTTTATGTAATACTTTTATATAAGTATTAATTTGAATAGAATTGTTCAAAATCATGTGCTAAATTAATAATTATATAATTTTATACAATTAAAATTTTAAATATAATCAAAATATATATATATTTATATATTTACGGATCGGATCGGATATCCGCTTTCCAAAAATTTAATATTTGTGATTTGCTTCGATTTTAACGGATATTGAATTTTAGTATTTGCTTTGATTCGAAAGTTTACGGATATCCGGAATTTTCGGATCGAATCGAAACGAATAACGGATCGAATCAAATATAACGGATAAAATGCCCAGCCCTACTTATGATCGTATAATAAAATTAGATATAATAAAAAGTCAGAAAAGGGATGATAAGTACTAAGGAGGATTTGACCTTAAGCTTATATAAATTGACAAATGGGTGTAATGCAAATTGATTCTTGTTTATAAAGTCAGAAGAAAGGAGCAAGCAAAATAATATTCTTTAAGAGAGAACAAGAAAGATGAAACATACTAACTAGTATATAAAATAGAGTAAAATCTAAGTTATATAAGAGAATAAATATTTATTTTTATTTTGAAATGCCGAAAAAGGAGAAAAAAACAAGAGGAAAGGGTCAAAGCAGAAGAAAGGGTACAGTAGGAAGAGTTTGATGAGTTCTGATTGGCCATGTAGGGAACATCTCCAGAGTCGTAGCTCCTCCTCCTCCTGCAAATAAACCTGCAAATTTAACATCATTACATTTATGTATGCATCATAATCATGTATGATATTCATTGTGTGCATGTGTGCGTTTGCTGTAACCTAGTTTAGAATTAAATTACATCATTTATCACGTGGATCTATATATATATCATGACACACTTACTCAATCCAATTATGATTAATTGTCAGCATAAATATCTATAGCGAGACATATTGTGTGTATTTTATATATAGAGGAGGTTAGAGAGTTGGTATAATAATTTAATTTTCAAAAAAGGAAAAATGAGAAAATAAATAAATAAACAAGTCACGCCATCCATGGCTCTCTTTTGCCTCCGTATCATTACCAAAACACAAACCTGTCTAAAGACTTGTTCAGACTCAGACTCTCAGCTTTGTCATTTTTAAGTTTAGCGTAGAAAACTTCATTGGAGTTTGTTAAGGAACGCTCACGTCATGCAGGGATTGAGAGAGGGACTTACGTGGCTTAGCTTCGTCGTTCCTATACTTAACACCTTGCAGAAAAATTGCTTCTTCTAGCTCTCCGTAATCGAAGGATCCATCTTGGTTACTGTTTCATTTAATAATTCATTATTTAATTAGTACTACAAAAAGAATATTCATATATGTGTTGTTACAACTAAAATTAGAATTAATAGTTTTTATTGTTTAAAGAGTACATGAACAACAATTTGTATTAATATCTCAATACCTAGACGATCGCATATGATAAAATGTTAACACCAGAATTACAATTACTACACATATAAACTATTGCGGATGATCAATTTTTTTTGGGCGACTCGGATGATCTATATATATATATATAATATACTATTTTTGTTTTACCCATAGATTTACGAATGACACTGTATTATATTATTATTGAGAAAATGAAAATTTGAGAATAGAGAAATAAAATCCAAAGAATTAGGTCTAGAGCTAATTATAAGATTGAATATTATTAAGAAAATATAAGCTTTATGTATATAAGTGTGAAGAAGAAAAGAAAAGCTCTATGATATACACATATGCTTAGAAAGGAAACAAACAAGTTAGGAAGATATTTTACATGAATCCAGGAGGTGGAGGATTGTTGCTGAGGCCATGAAGAAGTGAATAAGAAAGATGATGATTATCATTATGGTTTGTGGCTTCGCTGATTATTCTATGGTTAGCCATCTCCCTGATTGATGCTATCTTCCTCTTTCTTGATCTTCTCTTCTACTTCTGTCTTCTTCTTAACTTTCTCTTGTCTATAAAACATTAGTTAGTCATAAGACTCAATAATAGAAACTTTGAGTTAAAAAGATAGAGAGAGAGAGTTAGATAAAGACTGAAAGTTCAAATTGAAGTGAACAAATAATTGGAATCTCCAAAAGAAAAGCTAGTTGATGATGAACATGAAAGTAAGATAGATTATGTGTCTACAAAAATTATTACCTTTCTGTGTTTTTTTTTTCCTATTTGCTTTGGGGGTATTTGAGAAGAAAGAGGAGAGAAAAAGTAGGATGGAAACTTTCTTGTAGTTTTTTTATGGCTGAACAGAAAAACAAAGAGGGTCCAATCTTTTCTCTTTCAGATACATATATACAAATTAATAATTAATTAATTAGTATTTGTATAGTTTATCTAGTAGTATTATTTATCTTTCTAGCTCTCTACTTGTATGTGAAGAAACCTTTGTGATTCATCAGTCGCCCTTTTCCCCACTTTTCTCTATCTATTTCCACAGAAAGCACATTTTTTAACTTTAGTTGACACAAATTTTACTTGCTAAGCTAAAGAAACCAAACATATTCTACAAGATAATAAAGAAATGTTGATATCATTTCATTGTAAATCACGCGAAGATCTTGTCCTTCACAGACTGTCTCCAGTTCTATATTTTTGTGTTGTGTGTGTAGCTACTTTTTCTGAATAATATTTGGGTTTGAAAAAATTGTACAGCAGGATTGAAATTTTCATTGACCAACTTTATATCTGTCAAGAGTGCTAGTAATTTGCGATGTTTGATTAAGAATCCGATTTACATGTTTTTGATCAAACACATTTTCATTCCAAATAAAACTTATATAAGTGAAAACATATAATATGAGTGATAAGAGCCTTAACCTTGTTAATGGAAAAGGAACTTTATCCCTGTTAAAGAAAGAAAAAGAGCTTTATCTAGTGCAGAAGATAATAAGAAGATTGGATACAAGACTAACTGGACCGAACATATCGAGGATCGTTTATTAAGAAAAATATCGGTTGAATAAAAGGGATCGAGAAGAAAATTAAATGAGAATTTGTATTTTAGTAACTAAAATAAAATAATACTAGCATAAAAAGAGGAGGAACCCACTAGAATCACTGACTTCCTACTCCACAATCTCTCTTTCTCTTTGTAACCGCCTGTTTGTGCTTATTGGCTCCTTTTCATCAAATCTCTTTTTGGGCTTATTCAGGTACACAATTTTTTTTTATAAACTATTATCTTGTTATTCATATTGACTTAGATGCATCTTTATACTGTTATACAGAACTACGTTTTGTATGTGTGAAAGTAGGGTACATTTTGTAAAAACAAAAGTTTCTTATATCGATCATCCCCAGCAGCATGTTTCATGAGGTTTGTCTTTACAAAGTAGCTTCATGAAAATTCTCGCATAATATCAAAGACTCTTTGAATTGGCATGAAAAATACATCAGTTAGTAAAAATACATAGTTTATATTATGGAAAAAGAATTTGCTATATGATTTTAGTTTAGTAGACATATATATTCTGCTTCCAGTGATCAAATGAATACAACTCCTCCAGCTAGATGAACTAATTTATTTTAGTCGGATGACAATGATGTTGATATTGGATGAGAATACATACAATGAGAGATCATATAATGTTAAAAAAAAAAATATTTAGTAAGAGAGAATATCTTTGGAACACGTACACATGAACGGAAAGACTTGTGTGATAAGGAATGTTTGTTAATAAGCATATTAAAATAACATAATTGAGTTAGTTTCTGTATCCAAAGATCATTTAGCTCTTTTTGCTAAATGACTTTTGGGATCCGGAAGGGGATGACAATATTATGATTCTATTTTATGATCAGTCCGTAGTTTTTTCTTGTTTTGATACCAGAGATTGATCATAAATATGTGACAGGATTTCTCAAAATGTAATTCTTACTTTTGTGAATAATGGATATATAGCCTTGCATTCAATTATCAGAATTGGATATCAGTGGAACTAGAACAGCTTCTTCTAATCGGTTAAGCTACCATACTTAAGTTGAATAAACTATTCGCTTCTACCAGTTCAAACAAAAATATCCATTATATTATTATGACAATTTTGTAGATGACCAACAAGATAAAACTAAACGACCTTCTTGCATTACTTGTAAAATATTGTTAAGAAAGTATCAATAATTAATTATGAACATCTCAATCGAGTGTTATTAAATTTGATTTGTTTGGTATTATCCTTAATTTGTTGATGGGTCAACATCCATTCCCTGTCATCACCTAAATCTCAATGCCACATTTCAGATTCCTTTCCTCTATTAGAAATTGTTACATGTCTCCTTTGATTCGTATAATGTGGTCAATGAGCTCGTGCAAATCTAAAGTTGTCATTACTTTCTTCTATAATGTATGTCATTATGATTCCTCAAATTGCGTCTTTAAATGCCCCTTCTTTTACAGTTTTTAAATGCTCTCTTATCTCTGTAAATGTATATTTCAGAGTTTAAATTTACATGAATTCAATACCAGTTTGTCCACTGAAACAGTGATTAGATAGGCCTTTTATCAGAAAAAACAGTGATTAGATTATCAAACTCAGCCCAATATCACAGTACTAAGTTAATACCCACACATTTACACGAAATAAAAATTCTATATATAAATTATTTTAAGTGTTATTCTTTATTTTGTGTTCTTTTATATATTATAAAATATATATATATATATTGAATAATTGAAAAAACTGTAACTATTAGATATACAACTAATAGCGTTTTTTTTTGAACAAATGATTATATTAAAACTAAAAATTCAATGGATTAAGTTGATTATAATCAGTGGCGGATCCAGCCGAAAATATAAGAGGTGTCAATGCAAGAATTGAACACTAGTTTAGGGGTGTCAATACACAACTTCTACCAAAATTGCCATCAATTTCTCATTGTTTTTAAGCATATTTTTGAAATTTTGTAGATTTATAGTGTGTCATGTGACACCCCTCCTCCCTTAACAGATCCACCACTGATTATAACCGAAGGAAAACTCAACGGTAAACTGAAAAGATAGACTAAGTAAAACATGATAACGGATAGAGATGGCTGAAGAGAGAAGGAGTCAACGGCTCAAATGCCCTTACTCTAAAAATTTAAATCACCTATACCCTCTACTAATCTATATACCCTCCACTATTTAATGAAAATCCCAAATAAATCACTCCCAAGCGATCAAAACTAAACAAAAACCTCCCCCCTATGGATCAGTGAACCCATGGGTAAATATTTAAATTCTATATGTTTCAAATTCGAAAAAAAAATATTTTAAAATCGTTTTTAATCATATTTTGATAATTTTCGGAAAAATATGAAAAAACAGTTTTTTGATTTTTTAAATATTTATATCAAATTCTATAAATCAAATAAAAAATATTGACGTTTTCATTTTAATTTTATGATTTTTCCTTTGACATATAAAATTAAAAGAAAAAAGTGAGGATATTTGAGCTTTAAATTTTCCAAATAAGGGCCCTTGAGGCAATTAATCAGAGAGAAGAGACCTATAGAAAAATTTCACTTGTGATTTTTTTTAGCTTGCATTCGAAGGAACGCACTGAAGTGGAAACCGACGTTAAATAATCCAATCAATAGACGTTTTGCTGCTTCGTTCCTTCCTTCCTTCGAGCCCAAGCCCGAACAAAAGCCTTAAACTATTTACCAAATCCATATCCTACTCAAGTTTGATTTGCGTTTTCTTCTCCAGTCACCAAATCGTAAATCACAATTCTAGTGTTCTTCCGATTAGGTCAAAATCTGATCTGAAAATGTCTCAGAACGGAAAGCTGATCCCACCGAATATGGATCAGAACAGCACGAGGCTACTCAATCTCACAGTTCTCCAGCGAATTGATCCTTTCATCGAGGAGATCCTTATCACAGCAGCTCATGTCACCTTCTATGAATTCAACATTGAGATTAGTCAATGGGTAAAAGTTGCAATCACTGATCGTTTGCTTTGCTTCTGACTGATCTGTGTGTTCTGCTTTTTTTAAATCAGAGTCGTAAGGATGTTGAAGGGTCTTTGTTTGTTGTTAAAAGGTGAGTCTTTAACTAATGTGTGATGTTTTTGGACTTTAATTATCTGAAAATTTGGTTTTTTTTGTTTTGTTTCAGAAATAAACAACAACCTCGGTTTCAGTTTATTGTAATGAATCGTCGGAATACAGGTTGGGATTCTCTTACAAGTTCTTGTTTAGGTTCATTTTTTGATGTCTTGTCTCCTTTTTAATGTGTAAGCTTTTTGGAGTACATAGTTATCTGATTGGTTCTCAGCTAGAGAAGCATCATCAAGTTGCTGTTTATGTTGATGTCTTTGTCTTTGATTAGTTCTTATACTTGCTTCCCATTGATTTGGATTGCTCCCTTTGTAATGATTTGCCAGCACAAGTGTCTGTAACAATGTTAGTGTTTTAGTTGGTCTAAAACTAAGGGATAGGGTTTAGGGAAGGTTTAGATCGTTAGTTTATATTGCTTAGCCAATCGTGATTGAGGAATTAATATTTGTAATCATTGTTGAATCTGTGTGGACAGATAATCTGGTGGAAGATATTCTGGGAGATTTCGAGTATGAAGTCCAAGGTCCATATTTACTTTACCGTAATGCATCTCAAGAAGTTAATGGCATTTGGTTCTACAATAAACGCGAATGTGAGGAGGTTGCTCGTCTTTTCGACAGGTACATATAGTTTACTACTGCATAGAAACTGATTTTGTGATTAGACGATCGCCAGTATAAAACTAGATCCATAAATACACGTAGGTATCTCAATTGTTTGACAGATTCTTGTACCATTTTTATGAGTTAGAAGATGTTTAGCATTCTTTACATTTATTATCCATAATCTCCTAATGGTTCATTGGCATGGCAGATTACTTAGCGCATATTCCAAGGCAAACCAGAAGCCAAACACGTCATCTTCCAAAAGGTAAAAATCTTCTTCATGTTTAGATTTATACATTGCACCATTACTTGTATTTTAGGGTGTGTCTTACTCTTATTTGAGGTGGAAGCTAGATAAATCTACTTCACTTTTTCAGCTGGTATCTTTCTAATAATGTTAAACTGAGTTTAATTTTCTATGTAGTGCAGCGAATTTGAGGAATTGGAAGCTGTGCCTACAATGTCAGCTATGGATGGTCCTCCTGAACCATCTTCAACTGCTAATGATCCTGCTTTTGTCAACTTTTTCAGTGTAAGTCCTTAAAGCTTTTGCTACACGCTCACACTATCAACTTCGTCATCATGTTGTTGGCTTGATTGCAGTCAGCGATGGGTCTTGGGAACACTTCGAATGGGTCTTCAAGTGGACCACCGTACCAATCATCAGCAACTCCTCCACAACCTCACCAACCCACCGCTGCGCCTCCTGCACCTCCACAGCCTCTGCAATCCTCCTCTCCTATTATGTCTCACTTTGAGAACAACCCTGATCTTATCAGCAGCAGCAGCAACAACTCAAACGTTCACACGGATCTGGTGAAGCCGTCATCGTTCTTTGTGCCCCCACGGACGATGGCACAACCACACGTTATTCCTGGTTCATCTAATCCCACTGCGGCTCCTCCGAACTATAATAATGCGGATCACCAGCAGCGCCAGCATGGTACCCCGATGCTCCAGCCTTTCCCACCACCAACTCCACCAGCCTCACTCGCTCCTGCACACAGTGTCCCAGTTATCAACAGAGACAAAGTCAAAGAAGCCCTTTTGAAGCTGGTTCAGGTTTGTTTTTTCCACAACATTCACTTGATTTGAGCAGCTGAGCTACTGCCGAAACCTAACGAGTTGTTTCTGACAGGAGAATGAATTCATTGACATGGTGACGCGAGCATTACAAAATGCACATCAATCATGAAGCTGAGCGTGGTTGGCGTCTACGTGTGGGAATGGTGGCGGTTTTGGTGTAGAATGTGTAGTTAAAACGTAGATTAGTTCTCTTTGTTACCCTTTAATCAAAGTCTTGTCAGAACCTTGAACAGGAAAGCTATAAGATACTTCCACTGCTCTCTTGTAACTCGTGGACCTATTTTTTCACTTTGTTATTCTACTTTCCATCATTCATCTCGCAGTCATTCTCTTTAAACTTTAGAGAATCAAGATCATCAGTAAACAAACACATTTGTTGACAGTGAATGAAACATCAAATATAGCAAAGCTTTGTTCTGACTTCTGAGTCATGATATTACACAAAGAACCAAGAGAGAGAGTAAGATAATAAAGTACACATGGAACAAGAGGGAACGATTCATTTCTGGAAGTAATCCTCGGTCCTGCCTTTAAATCCGATTTGTCCAAAGGTGAGGCAGATGAAGAGGCCTAAGTGCCACGTAATCAACCACAACCAGAACTGTGAAGTGAGAGCTGGAGGAGTTGGGAAATGAGCGAGCTCGGTTCCTATGCTTTCAAAGAAGAGACCCGTCAGGCTCTTCCCGTTTATCGCTGGAATGCTCGACGGAGCTAGCCATCCGATGAGACCAAACCCCACCACGTTCAAATCTCTCCTCAACCAGTTCCTCTCAAAGCTTTTTTCAGACAAATAAAACTATCATTAAAGAATACCCTACTAGAGATATCTTGAATAACAAGTAAGAAAAAATAAAGAGTAACACACCAAGTGAATCTTCCTCCCGAGGCCCCAGCAACTTTCAGAGGGTTCTTTGCTCTTAATGTTGGTTTCAGAAAAGCTAAGAACATCACCAGAAATTTACAGATAAAATATGAATATAATATATATGATGAACTCAATTATTTCAGATGATCAAGAGAGAAAAGAGTACATGAAGAGAGGGCTTTGGCTTTGATGGGAGAAACAGATGATCCTCCGAGGCCTATCACCGTCGATGGAGCTGCAAATGTTGCTGCCATTCTTCCTTTTTCCTTCTTTCTCCCAAACCGATCTTTTTTTTTTGTAGAAATTTGAAGCACAAACACAAAACACAAGAAATATATTGATTTTTGTGGACAAGAAAGAGATTTCAAGGATGTGTTATCAGTCAATAGCTTTTTGACACCTCACTATATTCTTTGATATTGTGGGCCTATCTCTTGGATAAGATAAAATTTAGATTTTTTTTCCATTTAGTCTCTAATTTTTTTTTTTCGTCAAATATCTATCTCTAAACTTTTTTTAATAGTTTGCATCTGAGAGTATTCTGTATTACTATACGTGAATATGTGATTATATCATAGTCATAATAAAATAATATTTTATTTGATTAGCAATTCTCTTATAAGAGATGATAACTTGCGGTGTACTTCCTATTGACAGGATGACAGAGCACCGTGAAGCTATCCAGGTGGTGGTTGACAAGGTCCCTCGCAAGGTAATCGAGAGTGTTTACAACATATGCTGCAGAGGTTCTAAGAGCTTATTGTGCTTCTCGTGGCTACGTTGCCTCTAGTGGACTACCTGATGAAACCAAAGCAGCGAGGCAGATTTTGAAAGATTACTTGGGAGGTAAGCTGCCACATATTGCAATGCCACCTGGGATGATGAGTGAAGAGAAGGTGGAGGAGGATGGTAGTGCAGAAACAGGTTCAGATTCTGAGGAAGGTGAGGATGATGAGGAGGAGAGTGAGCAAGTTCCTGGGATTGATGATGTGTTGGAGGATCTGAGCTCGTTTGATCTGGCGAATGGGCTTGCGTCTTCTAAGAAAGTGGCGGTGAAGAAGGAAACTGGGTCGCATAAACAGCATAAGAAGCCACAAAGGAAGAAGGATAGGAACTGGAGAGTTAAGAACACAGAGGAGGGAGATGGAATGCCTCTGGTTAGAGTTTTTCTGAAACCTGCTAACACAGGGCCTCTCACTATGCGTTGATTACCACCAAAGTGTAGTCTCCGAGTGCGTTCCATAGTTTATGTGATACAGATGAGATGGTGTATTATCACATACTTTTTTTTGTCAACATACTTACAAGTTTTTTTTTTTAATTTATAAAGGTTTTGTTAATTCTTGTTAATCAAGAGTTTTGTATACCAAAATTTTGCTTAATATATATTATGGTTTTGATTAGTAGCATGAATTATATTCAACTAGGTGTTTTGCCCGTACATGCGGGCATAATTTTCCTACAATTTATTATTAGTCTATATTTTATTAATTCAAACCAATATAATAAGTTAGGATTTATGTTTTAAAATTAATTATAAATGACAACACTCACATAAAAAATATTTTAAAAAATATTTTTACAAATGTGTTGCTTTAATTTATTTTATTAGAATTTTTTCTATCTTAATTTTTTATTTCTAGGATAAAAATATATTTTCAAGATAACAATATAATACATAAGAAGTATCTTATTTTCTCAAAATATAATTTTTATATATTAAAAATATGGCAAATAATCAAAATTACCTAAATCATGGAGAAACTACAAATCAGATAATTCACTTAAATTTTCTAACAGAAAATATATGTACAAGATAACAATTTAATATATAAGAATTATCTTATTTTTAAAAATCTAGTATTATTAGTATACATTCATTTTATTATTTAATAAATTATATATGAAATTATTAAAATATGATAAATAAGCATAATATAAAACCATGGAGAAGTTGATAAATTAGTATTGCTTTCTTTATATTTAACTATTAATATTTTAACTTATTTTAAATTTCTATGATAAAAAAATATTTTTAAGATAACAATATAATACATAAGAATTATCTTATTTTTTTAAATTAAAATATTATTAATAGAAATTCTTTTTATTATATGATAAATTATTCATAAAATTATTAAAAATACAAACAAATAAGAAAAAATACAAAAATTATGGAGGAGTTACAAATTAGTCAGTAAAATTGACTTGAATTTTATAACAGAAAAATATATTTTTAGATAACAATTTAATACAAAATAATTAACATATTTCCTAAAATATAATATTATTAATATAGATTCGTTTTTATTAAATAATAAGTTGTATAGGAAATTATTTAAATAAAGTAAATAAACAAATTTACCTAAAATCAAGGAGAAGTTGACAACTAAGCAAATTTACTTCTTAAATAATAGTATAGATTTATTTTGAATTATTAATAAAACTGAGCTGGAATCCACATTTTTTTGTTTGTTTTTATACTAAAATAGTTATATGGATTTTTATAACTTATTGACGATATCACTATTAAAATATAATACATATAATACATTTTTGTATATTTTATCACATAATTTTATTCGTTTTACATTAAGTCATAATTCAACTCAGATATATATATATATATATATATATTTTTTTTTTTTGTATTAACCTAAAATATTCCAAATCTATGTAAGAATCTAGATTAATTTTCAAAGTGATGCTGATGAATAATAATATATATTTTCAATCAATATATATAATGATCTAAATTTTTGGCTATGAAAATGTTGGCTTTAATATTATCTCAGCTTGACCCAAACAATGTTATCTTAGTTGTATTAGGCCTAAGTTGTATAACATATTAATATTGATGAAACACATCTAAATATAATATCGTTTTTCTCTGGTGCTACAATCTAATACTATAAAAAATATAAAATTTCGAAATAAAATACGAAATGAATATTCAAAACTAAAAAAATTAATATAACAGAATATCTATTAAAAATTCACTTATCGGTTTAATAACAAAAAAACAATTGCGAGAGAGAGGAAAGAGAGAAAACTCGATAAAAATAAGGCGAATTTCGTTTCCCCGGAATCTACGAATGTCTGCTTCTTCATTTTAATTTCCCTTCCAAAAAAAAAAAAAAAAACTGTTTTCTGTTTCCTAATTAGCTCCACGATCTCACCGGAGAAGCTACCTAGGGTTTCCAATTCCATCCCTGAATAAAAGTGAACAAAGAGAGAGAGAGAGAGATGTCGTTGTTGTTCAGAGATGCGTCTCTCTAGACGAATCGATCTAACTTAAGATTTACTTTTTTTTTTTCCTTTTTTTATTTAATTCCCCAAACTCTAATTAGGTTAAACAATAATGGATGAAGATTCCTCTATGCTCCCTGAATCCGATCAAGATCGCGAATCTCATGAATCCCAATCTCAATCTCAATCTCCTTTGCCTATGGAGAGGGAAGCGAATCAAAACGACGAATCACCGTCCGATTCCGGATCTGCGAATCCTGACGCGACGAGTTCAGAGCAGCAGCAGCAGCAGCAACCGCCGCAAGTCGTTGGGCCGAGGTGTGCGCCGACGTATTCGGTTGTTGACGCTTTGATGGATAAGAAGGAAGATGGGCCTGGGCCTAGGTGTGGACACACGTTGACGGCGGTTCCGGCTGTTGGCGAGGAAGGGACGCCTGGGTATATTGGTCCTCGTCTTGTGTTGTTTGGTGGCGCCACGGCGCTTGAGGGTAATTCGGGTGGTACTGGGACTCCTACTTCAGCTACTCCGAGTGCTGGCATTCGTATGTTCTTTTGCCTTAGTTTGTTATGTCGAAGTTAAAGTTGCAACCTTTTTCATGTGAGATTGGGAAAGACAATAACTTGGTGTAGTAGCTGGATTCAGGGGATAAACATTTGTTAAGAACTTAATAAAAAAGAAAATGTATAATTTTGGTGGGGGGGGGGGAGTCAATGTGTGAGAGAGCTGTGCTCGGTGCTGGAATGGAGAATAGTATTAGTAGTACTTAGATCTTGGATTTATAATTCCATTAGTTTGCTTAAAGATTCTATGTTCGAGCTCTTGTTGTTATTTGATTGAGTCTCATAGGCTTTTTCATGTGAGATTGGCAAAGCTAATAACTTGGTTTGGTAGCTGGAAATAACATTGGTTTTTAGAGAGGCTGGTTCTGAGGTTCAAGGGATAAACATTTCTTAAAAACTTTAATAAAAAGAAATTTTATAATTTTAGGGGGTCAAAGTCAGTTTTTGATAGAGCTGTGCTCGGTGTTGGCTGTAGAATAGTATTATTAGTAATTAGATTTTATAATTCCATTAGTTTGCTTATAGATTTTATGTTCTAGCTCTTTGTTATTTGATTGAGGCTCTTAGGCTTCCCCGGTTGTAATATATATAATTAAGGTGTTTTTTTTTACTGTGCAGGGCTAGCTGGAGCTACTGCTGATGTTCATTGTTATGATGTCCTTTCTAATAAGTGGACTAGGTGAGCGTAAGATGTGTAATTTCTTTGTTTTGTTTTCCTATATGTATATAATTGCATGAGATTTTGTCCTTTTTATAAGTTTGAATAATAGTTGATTTGATGAAATGAGGTTACAGGCTTACACCATTTGGAGAACCACCAACCCCAAGAGCCGCACATGTTGCAACTGCAGTTGGGACTATGGTAGTTATTCAGGTAAGGGAAAGCAATGCTATCATATTGTGTGAATGATGTAAGCTTATCAATTGATTATTTTAAGTCAGCTTTGAAAGTGCTTCTGGATTCTCTCTCTGGTGCAGGGTGGAATTGGTCCTGCTGGTTTATCGGCTGAAGACCTTCACGTTCTTGACCTTACTCAACAACGGCCACGATGGCACAGGTTTGAAAATAAAACCTCCACTAGTGGCTATCTCGGTTTAAAAGTCATTTTGCTACCTTGTGTCTTGATATAAGCTTTGTTCTCTTTCCAGGGTTGTTGTTCAGGGTCCTGGACCAGGACCGCGTTATGGACATGTCATGGCACTTGTTGGACAGAGGTATCTCATGGCAATTGGTGGAAATGATGGTATGCAGTTTTCCTTTTTGGCTTATTCTCAGTATTTTATGTTGGAGCATCAGATTCTCCTTAAAACTCCTCGTTCTAAATTCTGTTTTAAACCATTAGGAAAACGTCCACTCGCTGATGTATGGGCCTTGGATACTGCCGCCAAGCCTTATGAATGGCGTAAGCTGGAACCAGAAGGAGAAGGTCCACCTCCCTGCATGTAAGTTTGATTACACTCCTCTATAATTATGTGCTTTGCACTGGAGTAATAATGTTTTTTCCTATTTGTACGTTGTACCTAGGTATGCAACTGCAAGTGCACGTTCTGACGGGCTTCTTCTCCTCTGTGGAGGAAGAGATGCAAATAGTGTGGTAAGTGTGATTTTAGAGTTTTGGCTTCTGCGTTGTTGTGAGATGTGAATTGTTTTCTATGTTACAGAGCAGAGGAGGATGTACCTCCTTTCCGAAAAATAAATTAAAAAAGAGTTCGTGTTTAAACACACTCTAAAGTATAATAAGCTTAACTTTATCCAAGACTTTGTGAAGCCTCTACGAAAGAAAACGAACTATAACTTCTATTGTCATCAAAGAAAATATATTAGCAGTTAGTTGTTTATTGATGACGTTTATTATGAGAAGCTGTCAAATTTGGGTAGAGTGAAATTTGAAATTCAGTGAACTGCCTTGGTCTTCAATACTTGATTAGTTGATTGAGGGGGTTAATATTCGTTTTTCTATTGATAGCCTCTGGCCAGTGCATATGGACTTGCTAAGCACCGAGATGGACGTTGGGAATGGGCCATAGCCCCTGGTGTCTCACCATCTGCTAGATATCAGCATGCAGCGGTAGGGATACTTCTTACTCATTGGTTTGATGGATACTTCTTATCTGGCCTCATTATAATATTAAACTGTTTGATGGATTATCTAGGTTTTTGTAAATGCAAGACTTCATGTGTCGGGTGGGGCACTTGGTGGTGGACGCATGGTGGAAGACTCATCCAGTGTTGCAGGTTAGCAAATAATGAGATCCAATCTGAGTATCTGTTATGTTGTTTGTGTTGCTGGATGGTCGATGAAGAAATACTTCGGTTTCCTTGGTAATAGGTGCACCATTTTTAGTCTTCTGTAGGCCATTGTTGAAATGTGTTTCACGTGTAAGTGGAAGCTATATAGAGGAACAAGCTGTTATTTAATTTGGAAATCGAGGTTGTTTTGGCAATAAAATTATCATGAAGCCTTTTAGCCATAGTTGAAATGTGCCTTAGTTATAGACGAGAGCTGTGAATAATTGTTTTATACTAACATGTGCACTGAGTGGACCTACAGCTCTCTGATTATTTAACCTATTGTCTTTGTGCAGTCTTGGATACTGCAGCAGGAGTATGGTGTGATACGAAATCAGTTGTCACTAGTCCTAGAACTGGCAGGTACAGTGCCGATGCAGCTGGTGGTGATGCTTCCGTTGAGCTGACTAGGCGGTGTAGGCATGCTGCTGCTGCAGTCGGTGATTTGATATTTATCTATGGCGGTTTACGTGGAGGTAATGAGCAAAGTTAGGCAAGACATAAGTCAATGTACCTATTGATGTTCTGCTACAGATCAACATTGTTAGATTTCACAATGTCCTGTGCATGCTTTTCCATGAGGAGGAACTGATTTCTTTGTTTGGATTTACGTTGCATTGTATAGCTGGTTTTGACACTAGAATTGCACTTTCTTATTTAGGTATTGTTTTTTTAATTCAAATCTGAGTGAATGTACAGGATTTCTCCAAAAGTTAGTTAACTCCATCTTGTAATCTGTTGTACCTGCTCAATTTCAAAAGATGGCATCACAACAACTTAACTATCTATTTTGATACTTTAGGGGTGTTACTCGATGGCTTATTGGTTGCTGAGGATCTTGCGGCTGCGGAAACAACATATGCTGCTTCTCATGCTGCTGCAGCTGCAGCAACAAATTCGCCACCAGGTCGGTTACCTGGAAGGTATGGTTTTTCAGACGAAAGAAATAGGGAGTCATCTGATTCAGCCGCTGATGGCGCTGTTGTATTGGGAAGCCCTGTTGCACCCCCCGTAAATGGTGATATGTATACTGACATAAGCTCTGAAAATGCAGTACTCCCAGTCACTCGGTTAGCCAACTTCCTTAGAAACTAATATATCTTGTGCTGTATTGTTAATACGGTGATGTATTTAGTGACGACTATCTAACACAACTTTGTAGGAGAACAAGCAAGGGTGTGGAGTATCTTGTTGAAGCATCAGCGGCAGAAGCTGAGGCGATCAGTGCTACGTTGGCTGCTGCCAAGGCACGGCAGGTCAATGGTGAAGTTGAGCTCCCAGATAGTGGTGGGGAAACTTCACCTAGTGGGACACCTACATTTTCGCTACTCAAGCCAGATTCTATGGGTTCAGTCAGTGTTACTCCTGCAGGAGTTCGTCTGCATCATAGAGCCGTGAGTGCCGCCCTAATTGTTTTGAGTGACATCTGAAGTCTTGAAATATATTTCTAACACCATGTTCCTTAATGTACTAGTATTTCTTTGCTAGAGTTTCACAAGAAATGCATTTTTGGTTTATAATGGTTCTGGTGCTTTGTTATTAGGTGGTGGTTGCTGCAGAAACTGGTGGCGCCTTGGGTGGAATGGTTAGACAGTTATCTATTGATCAATTTGAGAATGAGGGACGACGTGTCAGTTATGGGACACCAGAAAGTGCAACCGCAGCAAGGAAATTATTAGATAGACAAATGTCAATCAATAGTGTTCCTAAGAAGGTAAATATTTTTGTTCTCCGCATGAGGTATTGCAATAAAGTCTTGTGAAAATAAAGTAGTACATTTGGTAAAATTTATGACAAAAGGGTACAAATCGTGAAACGATGCTTTCTTGGTGTGTCATTGATTAATCGTTTGGTTGCAATTACGGCTCATTGGTGATGATTCCTTTGCTTCCACTATGTTGTCGAACTGGGAATTGGGTGCCTAATATCTAAAGATTCACTTAGTAGTTGGCCAAGTGTCTATTAGGGGGATTCTAATAAACTGTTTTTATTTATGTGTTGATAGGTGATAGCTCATCTTCTGAAGCCTCGTGGGTGGAAGCCTCCAGTTCGACGCCAGTTTTTCTTAGATTGCAATGAGATAGCTGATCTTTGTGATAGTGCAGAACGTATTTTCTCAAGTGAACCAACTGTATTACAACTTAAAGCTCCGATCAAAATATTTGGTGATCTGCATGGACAGTTTGGGGATCTTATGCGCCTTTTTGATGAATATGGTTCACCATCTACAGCTGGAGACATTTCGTAAGTGCACCGCTAAATATTCTGACATCATAGGCTACTCTTTTTTTGTTTTTGTTCTCTCTTATGGGACATTGCTCATTCTGTGTCATGTATGTCAGATACATCGATTACCTCTTCTTAGGGGATTATGTTGATCGGGGCCAACACAGTCTAGAAGTAATCTCCCTTCTGCTTGCGTTAAAGGTAACTTTAATCGTATCATGTTAGTTTTGACTTGCTGCAGGTGTTCTGGTTGCTTGACCGTAAAGGGTTTGACATTCTACTCTCGTTTATGCAGGTTGAGTACCAGCATAATGTACACTTAATTCGGGGAAACCATGAAGCTGCGGATATTAATGCTCTTTTTGGCTTCCGAATAGAGTGTATTGAGCGAATGGTAATATATTCTGCTTCTGAATCTCTCATTTTCCATTCCATGTTCTTTTGTCTCATACTGTGGTTTCTGTGCAGGGGGAACGTGATGGAATCTGGGTGTGGCACCGAATAAACCGTTTATTTAATTGGCTACCTCTTGCTGCATCGATTGAGAAGAAAATTATATGTATGCATGGTGGTATTGGTCGTTCTATAAATCATGTGGAGCAGATAGAAAATATTCAACGTCCTATTACAATGGACGCTGGCTCCATTGTGCTCATGGATTTATTATGGTCAGTACATGTCTTTTTAGGTTGTTCTGGCTATTTTTTTGGTCGAAGTCTTACTAGTTTATTAATTTGGAATTTGTTAGGTCGGATCCGACTGAAAATGACAGTGTTGAAGGTTTAAGGCCCAACGCTAGAGGCCCTGGATTGGTTACTTTTGGGGTGAGTAATTTTCCTTTGCATTTCCTATTTTTCCTGTACTGTTATTGACCGATACTTGGCAATTGCAGCCTGATCGTGTTATGGAGTTTTGCAACAATAATGATCTTCAATTAATTGTACGAGCACACGAGTGCGTGATGGATGGGTTTGAGCGTTTTGCTCAAGGGCATTTGATCACTCTCTTTTCCGCTACAAACTATTGTGGTATGCCCATGGACTCACTAGTGCCATAATCTGATCAGATAGCTTGATGTGATTATATATGTTTGGTTACTAACCTTAAACTAACCTCAGGTACCGCAAACAATGCTGGGGCTATCTTGGTACTGGGGAGAGATCTCGTAGTGGTTCCTAAGCTCATTCATCCGTTACCTCCAGCAATTTCATCAACTGAAACACCAGAAGGACATTCAGAAGACACATGGATGCAGGTTTCTATTGCTTCACTTCATTAGTGAATCTCAAGTACATTCATACATGAAAATTGGTACTTAGCATGGTGTTGACTTTTTTTTTGCAGGAGCTGAACGCAAATAGGCCAGCGACACCAACAAGAGGACGCCCACAAACGGCAAATGACAAAGGAGGAGGTTCTTTGGCTTGGATGTAAGAAGGTAGACGAAGAGGCACTCGTGCGCATACATAACCGCAACCAAAACACTAGTAACATCTGTGCCTTCTGGTGTTCCTCTCTTGTTTTTTTTTTGTACAGAAAAGATGAGCAATAGACGAAAGGGTAGAGAAGTCAGTTTTGGTGGTGGTTTATTAGTGATTTGTAGAGTTTTATTCGTTCGGGCTTGTTAGTCCCCTCTCTTTCTATTTCTATTCAGTCTTCTTTCTTTAGTATCTTGTTTTTGTTTTTGCTTTTTTTTTCATTCCAATTGATTACATTCTCGTTTTGGTTTGTGGTATAGTTTCTTGGCAAGTGGGATATGAGTTGTTAGAATGGTAATGGTCGACATAAGTATCATCCGTATTAGGATGTATTAGTTGAGGGTCGGCTCCACTGTCTTTTTATTTATTGTGTATCAAATAGACGTTGTGGCTTTGTGTGTAATTTTTTTCTAAACTTTCAGCTCATACTTTTTGTAACGTTTGTGTTGATACTATTATCATGATACAAGACGATCTAAACTTTAGCAATATGTTTATCAATATCCAACGCATCTGACTGCAAAATACATTGTGAATATATAAATTCCAACGGTTACAGTTTTTACCCCAAAAGAATAACAAGAGGAAATGATACATATTACTATCATACAAACTACAAAGACCAACCAAATAGTTTACTAATGCTGACTTCCATGAACTTGCTTTTATTGGTTGTCATTGCCAAATTCTCACCACTGCGCCTTATAGCTCATCCTACGTAGAACAGTTCAGATGAGTCAGCACTTGAAAGCATAAACCATTTTAAAGTGGTTGAATAAAAAAAATCACTTAGTTACTTACATGGTAATCGTCCATGTAATCACGTCGGTGGTGCTGCAAAACAAAACATTTATAAACTGTCACTCACTTATATTCGAGAACTAACAGAGTTAAAAGGAGAAAAAAAAACAAACGAACTGAGTTGGTCTCAATGTGTACGTACGCGTTTGTAACGATGCCTCCTGTCTCTGTGTCCATACCGGTCACCCCTCTCCTTTCGTCTACGTTCCCCTTCTTCTCGTGCTATCCGAGCTTCCTGCAATCGTCAAATTGTCTGAGATCATGACTAACATAGACAGAGAAAGTTTGAGAAGCAAATAAGAAGTTGTTTTTGAAAACTACAAACCTCATCTTCTCTTGCTTTTCTTTCTTTCTCAGCTTCCGCAAATAACTCCTTCTCAGACTGTTTTGGTATAGCAGAGAATATATATATACATACCACATCAGATAACTAACAAGAAATTTTCTATAACAAAAGCATGCAGAAACTCATTTAACTTTGTCTAAAAAGAAGCAAAAAAGATATCCAAAGGCTTGGAGAAACCAACCTCTCTGTGCTGAGCAAAATAGTCATCCACCATGTTCCTTGCATATTCCGGGTCATCACTGATCAAAATATTGTCAAATATTGAACCAGCCTTCACCTGCAGTAACAACATCAGTTTCTCAATCCATCTACTGCACTAGATTGACGTATCATATAACTAACTATCTGGTGATGGAGTGATTATATTGATGGTTAAAGGTCGATGAAATTCAAGAAAGATCTAGAACTTACCTGCCAAACTTCAATGCCTGCATATCTTATAGGCTTCAGAACATAAAGATCTGGATCATCTTCAAACTCTGAGGAAAACAAACACGAGAAGCCCAAGCTTAGCATCAACAAGTAGTCATCCACCCCAAAACACAAATAATACACTAGATAGAAAACATGCCTGGATTATCTATCCATGGGTTCTTCCATTTTCCCTTGTAGTTTGGGTTCTTAATTTTCTGTAGGCCAAAAAAAAGAAAAATGTTTTGGTAACAATGTCCAATGGTATAGAAGAAGAATGGAGTAATCTATATAACCACTAATGACTGTTAAATCAAGTACCTTTGCTTTCCAAGAACCTTTGTAAGCTGGATTTGGGATCATTGGAGGTTCCCAGTGACCGTTTTCTTCCTCATCCCAATCCTCAGGCTAAAAACAAGGAAAGAGAGATAGATACAAGACATAAAGCTTAGAATCTACTGTGATAGAGGACGAAGAAAAGATGATGGATCTCTGAGACTACTACTAAACACACAACTTCAAAGCAATCTGATAAAGAGTCCACATTAATAGAACATACCTCTTTAGCTTTTTGGTCTGGGATTTCACGAGGAATCGAATCAAAACCCTGGTCACAAAAGAAGAAAGAACCAGTTGCATGAATCAAACTAAGAGTTAGCAGTATGTGAAATGAATAGCTTCCTCTCAGTGCATATAGTGTTTTCTATATTGCAAACCATGTTTACCTCAGGTTTGACATCCTCAGGGTCATCAATATACTCTCTATCATCCCAATCTACAGGCTGCAAAAAAAAAAAGTAATCCATAATAAGTCATAATTAATAGATTATAGACTCTTGGAAACATTATGAGCACACAAATAGTTACCTTCTTTGCATTCTTAACCTTTATCTTCTTGGGAGGAAGGATGTCCCAGTCAGTGTACATACTGCCAAACTCCCTTTCTTTATTATCAATCAGAACGCTGTAAGAAGCATCAGGCCGTAGAATAAATGTGTAGAAATGATTTAATTTGTCTGTTTCACATTCCAAATCCTTTTTAATTGGATAGTTCTGTCCCTGATATGAAAGAATAACATGAAGCTTCTTCGTCTGTGTGCCGCATATATCTGGTCCAAACATTAGACTGCATAGGAAAATAAGCACTAATGTGAGAAACTAAATCAACACTTTCATTGTTCTTTCCACTATGGCTTCATAACTAAACCAAGGCAACTTGACTAAGATTGCATATAACCTTCTAGGAGCTGATGTTCACTAAAGACATAAGGAACAAGATTACCTGTAAGGAGTATCGCCACCAAATTGCTTCTGGTTAACGTAGCCAGAGAGGAGCTTGATGTAAGCGCCACCACATTCTATGTCTTGTTCGATTTTTACAGAGTACTGTACAACAAGAGTTCTATTTTTTGTTGCTAAACTCTGGAATCTTTGCAGATATCGCATAATGCTTGGCATCATTATATGTCTGAATACCTAAACACAACAGGAAAAAAGAAAAGCAAAATTCTTAAGTTTTGAACCAAATAAAGATATTCTATTTACTCAAGTCAACTTCAAAGACCAAAGCCAATACACTAGAGAACATATCAAAGAACTAAACACTGAAGCATGATCACAGGACAAGACATGAAAGCAAAGAGCACAGAAACTAAGATTAAAAGCAAAAGGGTTGACGAAAGGAAGTACCTTTATTGTCAGGATCGCCGGGCCATTTACCGGCGGTGTGCTTAAAGGTACCAGCTTTGCCTTCGTTTCTCTTCCAATCAGATAAGACCCATCTGCTTTTCCATCCACCTGAACATAACTGACTAAGTTAGTTGCAGAAATCTATAAATAGAAAGCCTAAAGATAGAAACTTTTTTAAAAAGTAGACAAAGAGTGTTGTGGTACTTCACCTTCGAAATGCTCCTCTAAGAAAATCTCCGAGAAAGCTAATGGAGAAAGAGTGAGAAGAGAAAAGAGTAAGAGACAGAAAGACTTGAGCTTGTTTTGAGGCAGTCCCATTTTTTCCACAATCTCTTTCTCACTAAAACCAATTTACATGGCTGGAGAAATTGTTGTGGTTTGAGAGCTTTATAAGAAGATGAGAAGGCACAACAAGAGTGAGCATTGACCCCCCATGGGTCGTTTCCTATAATTACAATAACACCCCTTAACGTTTTGTATACTTCCTTCGTCTTCCTTCCAAGTCTTGTTTTTTTTATTTCTAAGTCGTCGCATGGTGGACTGTTGAAAGTTCAAAGTCGTTTTTCTCAGCGTAGGAAGTGGGGCGAAAAATACCCAATGGTCCCAATGTTATGTTTCTTGCACTTATTTTTCTGTTGCCATTATGATTCATCTCATCATAATAAAGCATGGTCTTGAGTCTTGACTAATCTTGTAATCTTAATTAACATATTAAGTAAGTATGATGTATCGTCTTTTTTTTGTTTTTGACAATTGTTCTTGAATGGATAAATTTTCATTTCCTTAAACAATACATATCATTTCATGTGTTACTAAAAATAGTTAAGCTAATTATGAAAGAAATAACATAATATATGGTCATGAATCATGCGTAGCTTAACTATTTTAGTATATATTTAAAATTTACAAACCTTGAAAATATCTTATCAAAAACTTTGTGAAGGATAATAGAAACTATGGGCCTGGATTATAATTATAAGATAAGTTTTGGGGGCAAACAATAAATTCAATTATTTCCGGAATAGGTCCCTTGAAACAATCCCATTTTCAGAAACTCACTCGCCACCATGGACTTTGAAGTTGAAACTGTTTTCTCTTACCAAGAGTGTGTCTGAGACTGTGACCTTACTCCATCCTCCACTATGCTCAGCTCAGATCATCATCAGATCGTCAAACCCCAAAGCGACGCCGTAGATGTCTTCTGGCACGAAGGAATGCTCCAACACGACGCCGTTGAAGGCGTCTTCGACACCGGAATCAACCCTGGTTTCCTCGACGTATTGGAGAAACACCCTGAGAACGCAGACAGGGTCAGGAATATGGTTTCGATTCTCCTACGTGGTCCCATCTCTCCCTATGTCAACTGGCTTCCCGGGCGTCTCGCCATCGTCTCGGAGCTTCTAACGTTTCACACTTCAGGTAAGATCATCCTAAGGTTCGATTTTTGAGCGTAAAGGCAGAGACTTTATAGACTTTGAACTCTGTTTTCTTACATACACTCTGATCAAGGAAGAGACTTTATGGATTGATCTCTGTTTTCTAACATACACTCTGATAAAGAAAGAGACTTTATGTACTTTGATCTCTGTTTTCTAACATACACTCTGTTAAGAGACTTTGTAGACTTTAATCTCTGTTTTCTAACATACACTGTTAAAGGAAGAGACTTTGTAGACTTTGATCTCTGCTTTCTTGCATACTCTCTGTTATAAGAATAGACTCTATAGACTTTGATCTCTGTTTTTTAACATACACTCTGATAAAGGAAGAGACTCTATGGACTTTGATCTCTGCTTTCTTGCATAAACTCTGATAAAGGAAGAGACTTTATGAACTTTGAACTCTGTTTTCTTACTTGCATACACTCTGGTAAAGGAAGAGACTCTATGGACTCTGTTTTCTCACATACACTCTGTTCCTTGTGTAGAATACATAAACAAGCTAACTGAGGCAGATAAATCAGGAGAAAGGCGTGAAATTTCGGCAGGTACTTTCATGAGTCCAGGGTCATGGGAAGCTGCACTTCTTGCAGCTGGAACAACTCTATCAGCAATGCAACACATTCTTAACAGCCGTGGCAAAATAGCTTATGCTCTAGTACGTCCACCAGGCCACCACTCACAACCTACTCAAGCTGATGGGTATTGCTTCCTCAACAATGCAGCTCTTTCCGTGAAGCTAGCATTGGATTCAGGACGCTGTTCACGAGTTGCTGTTATTGACATCGATGTGCACTACGGAAACGGCACAGCTGAAGGGTTTTACAGGTCTGATAAGGTCTTAACTGTGTCGCTTCATATGAACCACGGGTCGTGGGGATCGTCTCATCCGCAGAAAGGGTCTGTTGATGAGCTTGGTGAAGGTGTGGGGTTGGGTTATAACTTGAATGTTCCTTTACCTAATGGTACCGGTGACAAGGGTTATGAATATGCTATGAATGAGCTGGTGGTTCCTGCTGTTAGAAAGTTTGGGGCTGATATGGTTGTTCTTGTTGTTGGTCAAGACTCCAGTGCTGTAAGTTTCTTTCTTCCTTTGCCTCAAAAACATTGTAAGTTCTAATCACACTGAACATATCTTGCAGTTTGATCCAAACGGGAGACAATGCCTGACGATGAATGGATACAGAAGGATTGGTCAGATAATGAGGGCAATGGCAGAGGAACATAGTAATGGAAGGTTGCTTATGGTGCAAGAAGGTGGGTATCATGTAACATATGCAGCTTACTGCCTCCACGCCATGCTTGAAGGCGTGCTGAAGATTTCAGAACCGTATCTATCTGATCCGGTGGCTTATTACCCTGAAGATGAAGCTGTTGCTGTTGAAGCTGTTAAATCAATCAAAAGATACCACTCTGAGTATGTTCCATTTCTTAGAGGAACTTGAAGCTGTGTAGTTTTTTATTTTGTTTCCTATGTGTTGTGACATTTTGTAACTTCCATGCAACTAAAATCAAGTACTATGATTTGAAACCGTCAAAGTCCTTGTTAAGCTCTTTGCAGTGTCTTTAGTTAAAGAGTTTGGTTTGGGAACAGACAGCTTTGGAAACCTGATTATACGCTCTATGGTTACTTTGTAGGAAGCATTGTTGCCATCCCACAGTCCGACCAAAGTTCAGTTTCCTTCATTAGGCTTTTGAGGTTTGGGCTGTGGCCCATGGGGACAAAGTAACAATAGACATGAATATGGGTAATTTGGAAAAAAAAAAAAGAACACACTTGATTTTTATTTTAAAATCTTATATTTATAAAACAATTATGAAATCAATGATTAGAGAAAATTTTATCAATATTTTTTACATGATTATAAGCAAGATTGATGATTTGTTTGACAAACATTTTTTAAAATAAAATCTAGGAAAGATGAATTATTAGGTAAAACTGTTATCAAATTATATATACACATATATTCCCATAAATGTTGTGGAAATTTATAAATTCAATAGTGGAGGAGACTATGCATAATGGATCACTTATCAAATAAATAAGTAATGAGAAAATACTCTCCTATAGTCATTTTTTATGATGTCATATTCTCAGAGGACACCTTCATTTGGTGAATGACACACATAAATCGTCAAATCACTTATCAGATTAAATATATGTATTTCGTTGACTTGCATATCTTTCATGAACTGATTTTCGTGATGTCATTTACTTAAAGATACCGTCATTTGGTGAATGGATACATCAATGGTCAAAAGGTTTATCAATTTCAATATATGCATTTCTTTCCCTTGCATATATATCCTGAACTACAAATATCAAATATTTATTATATGCTTCTATTCATGTACTTGGAAAACCGGATGTCATTTTAATAATATTCTTTCAAAATGAGAGTTTTATTAATTAGTATTCTATTAAGTTATATATATACATATATAATTGATCTTAAACATAGAAATTACACAAGAGAACATTCACTTTATTATTGAGTATTTAACTCTGTAAAAATAATTAAAAACATTGTAAATAAAACAAGAAGAACATTGTAGTATAGTCCCCACTTGTCTCTCTTCCTCTCAAAACAAACCCCATTAATCTTTACAGATTTTTTGTACACTTCCTCCACCCATCTCTCTCTATCTTTCTCTCTCCTTTGCTTGCTTTTTCTTTAATTTATTCTTCCAAGATCAAATAGTTCCTTCTTTGATCTCATTGGAATACCTAATAGTTTCATAAAACCCAAACAAGAACTGAGGTATCATTGAAGAGAAACCACAAGTTCAAATGTCTATCGATTTATCATCTGAACGTGTTTGCTATGTCCACTGCAACTTCTGCACCACGATCTTAGCGGTAATCTCCTTCACTCTCTCTCCCTATTTACTTATACTAAAATGGAAATCTTTCTCGAAAGAAAGGGTGTTGGGTATGTACTCATAGCTAGATCTCATTTTTCTAACATATTTTAAACAGTAAGAATATTATTATTCTATCAAAATTAACTAGTGATAAATATTTTATGATGAGTTTTACATCTGGACATGAATCAACCTTCTTCCTCTGATTATTGGTGAAGATACATAGGGGAGTATCTTTATTTCAGGAATTAAAAGAAACCCTAAGTTTTTTTTATTTTACCTTTTTCTGTTGTGGAGACGAGTCTCTCTGACGCGTGATGCCATAAATATACCCAAAGAAGCAAAAGAAGTTCGGTGATTAGACCATATCTTAGTGCTCAAACAAAGTAAACTCAAAGGAAACAGCTTCTGATCAGATTTAGGGTTTTATGTGTAGGTTTATAGTCTAAAACAAAGCATCTTCTTTCCCTAATTTTACAATATTTTGATACTTTGTTTTTTGTCCTTTTCAAAGATTTTTTTTTCTATGGTGTTTAAGTATCTGTGGTGTCTCAGTAAAAACCTTCATTTTCTTAAATACTAGCTACTCTTAATTCCCTTGCCATTAATATTTCCTGTAAAAGAAATTGGTAGATAGAGCATTCGTGCCTGCATCCATGTGATACAGGCTGAAAACTTTCACTAAGTTTTCCAGCTTTATATAGTTCACACTTCAGCAGCACCGGTCTTGAGTTTTAAATGGCCAGAAGCAAAATAAAATAAAATGGCCGAATTAAGAATCGAACCTAAGATCTTTTGGCATTACTAGTGATATATAAACCACTACACTAAGGATAGACTACTAAATAAAAGACTGAAATCTATTAATAAAATTTGAGGGCCAAAAGCTAATGCTTCCATAGCTTCCCCTCAGGGCCGCCACTGCACTTCAGATTATCTTTTCATGTATATAACTGTAGTTTGTGACACATGTATGTACATACTGTATATCATATCAAACTATTAATCATAGATCTTTGATTTAGAAAGCGTGGTCCATGTAAAAAAATGTTTACATCACATCACAGCTGATAGTGTGAAAATGATTTTTTAATTCTCCCTAAATTCCTTTTTTTTTTCAGTGAGTTGAAGCTAATTTGCTATATACATTTAATAGTTTCAAATATTTATTGAAATTTCACTATTTCCTAGCTTCGTTGGCTGGCTTTAAATTGTTTACTTAACGGTTATATGTGACTATTTAATAATTATATCCACACATCTACTATCTATATGTGTAACATACAAAATTACAAATCATTGGTCTATGGTCTATAAGCTATCACGAATAACATTTAATAAAAAATGTGGAAGGTCGTCTTGCACAAATTAGGGGTGGTATCTTAGCGGATAGTACAAAGATTTGTTCTACCCAGTTCGAGCAACAATTGTTTGATCTATGAAAAAGCTGCAAACTGTTAAATCATGGCCGATCTTGACCACTTTGGATTGGATATATACACAAAAATAAAAGAAGATTATAATATAAGATGGTACCATCACATTATGTTAGTAAAGACTTTATGGGTTGTGGTTAAGGTCACGTCGTTTTCTAACATGACTGTCTTCTCCTTACAAGCTTCATCAACCATTTCTTCATCTCTTTACTATCTTTTATCATGTTGCCTTGAGGATTGTGTGTCAGACATATAAGTAATCAGAACCCACCATACACAAAAATACACCCATCCCATATATAAACATAGAGATTCTTAAGTTGCTGTTTTAACCAATGTCTTTACAATTAATAATAAAATGAAAATAGACGCATGCATGACATTTTTCAGTAGTGTTTTGGGTCTGAATATAAATATTAATTACATGATAATATATATATACTTCTAAATTTGGGTTTTTATGTTTTAAAAAGAAAAATACTATAGGACTATATACATATTTAATTTATATGTATATTACAAATAGATTTTATAATGTGATTTCATTTCATATAAACACAAATACCTGATTTAATTTAGAAGGTATTATACTAGTTACTACGCATTTGATCAAAAAAGGTGTTATACTACGCAATATTTATTTATTTATTTATTTGTACAATTAAAGAAACTACAAATTAAAGATAGTGAAATGCCTAATATATTATGAAACGTTAACTAGTTTTATTCTTCAGTTGATGTATTATGAATTTTATCTGACTGATGTCTTTGTAAGTCAACGAAAGAAAAACTATTATTTGTTTTATCCTCGAAAATCTTAGTTGGATATGTATTTTTCAAATCAAATCACTATTCTATGATTAACCAAAAATATACTGTTCTAAATAGGATGGAATAGTTAACATACGTAATATTTCAAATTATCTCATTTAAATAGTGCATGCACAATATAATTAAGAAAGCTCTTCCCCATTACACTATAGAGATTTGATTAACCAGCCAATCGGAATTGGTACTACTATGACTTAAAAGATCTTACAAGCTAATATATATGACCAGGTAAGTGTACCATACGCAAGTTTGTTCACACTTGTGACGGTGAGATGTGGCCATTGTACCAATTTGCTCTCTCTCAATATTGGAGTTTCACTTCATCAAAGCTCACCAGCTCCTCCCATTCATCAAGATCTCCAGGTACCATATATATATATATATATATAACAATCATTAGGACTTGAACATATTTTACCATGCATGTAGAATTTTGGCTGATATATAGTCTTTGCAATCGTGAAGCAGCCTAAGCAACACATGACCTCTTCGGCAACAAGGAAAGAATGGGGATCATCTTCCAGGAGCTCTAACCATTTTTCAACCACATTGTCTGAAAATGTTGATCGGGAGGCTCCTAGAATGCCTCCTATTCGTCGTAAGTCATACATTTAATGCACAAGTAAGTTATATTATATGTTGTGCGCATATGCAATGAGCCCATATATTATATGTTCATGGCAGCCCCGGAGAAAAGACAACGCGTTCCTTCGGCCTACAACAGATTCATCAAGTAAGTTTCTCATTTTTGATGAAATTTTCTCAACTCCTTCAATACAATCTTTTTGAGAAACTAACTTGAATCTTAACAACTCTAATTAGAGAGGAAATCCAAAGGATCAAGGCTGGCAATCCAGCGATCAGCCACCGCGAGGCGTTTAGCACAGCTGCTAAAAATGTAAGCTTCCTTCTTTATCATTCTTTCACAAATATGTGAACTAGATAATTTAAGAGAGGTAGCTCCAAACAAAATTATTTATAGTATATAGGTCTGTCCAAAATATGAAGAAGATGAAAATAAACTGTTTTAGTATAAAACATAAATCACAACTGAAATATAAAAGCTTCTTGAATGCAGTGTTCGTTAGTTAAAAAACTTAGTAAATGTAATTCTTAGCACTATTTTATTAATTAGTGCGATCGTTTAAGTAATCCGAAAACTGATTTGCAAGCACATGATCAGCTAATATCTTCTGGGTTTTTTTTTTTTTTGAACAAATATCTTCTAATTTGTGGTAGAAAAATCCTAGGGTTTTATTCTTTTATAATTTTTTGAAATAAATTTATATACCAATATATGATAGTGGATCCTATTATGCACAATTGGTGGAGTGTGTATTGCAGTACATATTTTTAAAAACTGCCTTTTTGTGTGTAGTGGGCACATTTTCCTCACATTCACTTTGGATTAAAGCTGGATGGCAACAAGAAAGGCAAGCAATTAGACCAGACTGTTGCAGGCCACAAGTCTAATGGCTATTACTAAAGCCTTTACATATATATTATAATGGCTATTATATATATATGTACGCTGATGATGGAAGAAGACCATACAGAACCATACATATATATATATGTATACATGTATGTATCATGTCCCTTTCGTTTTCTTGTGTGGGATCCATCTATAATTTCGTTTCTAGCTTACATTCCCCTAATAAGTGAAGCCCATATGTGGAATGGTATTCACATTTGAACCTAATTATTTAAGAAGAATCTCCTTTACGAAGATTGTAATATAAATTTCATCTTTTCTCGTTCTGAAAAGGTGTAGCTTTTTGTGTGGTCACGAATTTATATAATGAGTGGTTTTGTAGTACTACGAACCCACGAGCTTAAAGATGTATGCTCTTTTGGATGTATGTAATTCGATTGGTTCTATATCAATAACAATTAATGTATGTAATTTTGACAATAGATATAATATAAGATTTGATCCAAAAAGAAAGATATATAAGAAAAGGATTTTTACCAAGAAAAATAAATTTATAATAGGAGTTTGGACTGTATTTTTGTTTGGGTATAGATAAAGATTTATGTATACACGAATACGAGCCCATCTATATGTACTTAGAGTGTGTAGTCAAACATAAATTCCATATGATGATGTGTATATGGTAACTTTTATGGTGCTGAGATAATTCTGAAAATCACTCATTACAAAGAAACATTCTTTTAAAAAAGCAAAGGCTCCAAGTGAATAGTTCAATGGTTTTTGTAAATGGAATAGTTCAATGGTTGTTTTAACAGTTTACAAAATGTAAAAAAAAAAAAAAAACTCGATGAGATTTCAATGCCCGTGTCTTCTCTTGTCACCCACAGAACTCGAATCTGGTTGAGTATCATGATTGATGTTAAGTCACATTTTATGTTGCTGATTGGAACACTATTTTAGAAAGCAGGTGATCACTGGCTGCAGTATTTAAACAATTTGATTTTGAACCGTATAAAAGACAAAAAATGATTTTTGCTATTGATAAAGGACAAAAACAAAATTAAGAATCCGTAGCCGACAATTTTTATATGAGAAAAGATGTGATACGACTGTTCTCCATCCCTAAAATAGAACTGTGGGATATAAAAGTAGTATTAATATGCAGTGACCGTTTTCACCATACAACACCATGAAAACGAACTTGTCTTCTTTATTGTAAACATGAATGATTTTACTTTTTTCAACGCATGCTCGTTTTGTGAAATGTACGTGAGCTCTTTTGTTATATGGTCAACTCTTGATAAAAAAAGTGCTACTTTGGAAAGAAAAAAAAAGACTCAAGCATCAACCAAACTGCAGTCATTATAGTTTCCAAGTCGACATCAATATGCTATTCAAGTATATACGTATTAAACTATAAGAGTTTCGATTTTGTATAGTCCAAAATGTAACACAAACTGTCGTTTAATTATATTGAGATTGTAGGTATCTATACCACTCGATCGATGAGAGATGTGGGGCCAAGCTTTCTAGTGTGTGGAACAGTAATACAGACACTTACGTACACCTTCCATCGTCTCGTGCATGCACACACATACACACATTTGAGAAAGAAAAAAACTACTATAAAAACTTGTGTGTAGTAAGTGCAATACAATGAATGAGGGAGCGAGAGAAAGAAAGAGATATTGAATGAAGGGTGTCCCAAAAGAAAAACAGAATCTGAAACGTCAAATCATGTTAGTTGGGGGTCTTTGTATGCCTTTGGCTCTTTGTGCTTCTGATGGGTCTTGTCCACTCACTTTAATGCTTCTTTTTCTTTCTTTCCTTTTTTACTGCATTTTCCATCCTTCATTTTTTCACTGCGCTGTTAGGGTTTTTGATTCCTCCTTACATAAATAAATACTAGAGGGCGAAATTAATTTTTATCTTTTTAGAAATTGTTTAATAACTTTTGAATATATAAAAAAATAGATTATTTAGATATTTTTAAGTTGCCGGCAAAAAAAAGAAGATGATATTTTTAAGTTTTTATAAACTTCTCCGAATTCAGAAGAATCCGATTCGAATCTCATCTAAAATTTTGTAATATTCGGGCAGAATTTAATTTTAAACATCAAAAAATCTATTATCCGAAAAATCGATATGTATCTGAACGTGTATATGTATTCCACACTGATTATGTAAACAAAAAATAATTTTTGTTAATCGGTTTGAATTCTTGTACTAATAGAACAATTTCATTTAAACATTTGAAATTATTATGGTTAACATGTAAAATTAATAAGGTCAGTTATTATGATAAATACAATTAATGAAGTAGTTTGAAATAATAAAAAATGTAAAAAAAATATAGTAAAATATTTAAAATAGATAAACTATATTTTGTACTTTTATAATAAATGCTGTCAAATTATGTGGAAAGTACAATTAATAAAGTGTTTAGAGAGTGTGCGGATTCTCTATGATTAATCCCTTGTTCCATATGTTTGACATCTTGTTCAATTTTTGCCTTAGTCAAGAAGTAGACATTTCGGTCCTCACAAAGTTTGGATAACATTGTGTAGCATTCAGTTTCGGCTGAAAATTACTAGGGAAGCTGCGACTTTTGGTGTAACTCTAGCAGCGTTTGGAGCTCTATCTACTGCTGCTTTTGCGTGGAAGTACTCTAGGAGTCCATATGGTATATATACACGTTTTTTCCTCTCTACCCATTCAATCTTTGATAAAACTGAAAATATTCACGAGTCCAGTAGATGCTTTATGCCCAATATCGATAGTGCTTTGAAAGTGTTATGCACTTCTCTTGGGGCTGCTTGCATGTTTGCCCAAGACAACTGAAGTAATGCGTTCGAATTGTATTTGTATTTCTCGTAGGTGCTGCATTGTCCTTCTTAGGAAGTGGTGTTTTTGGGTTGGACCTGACTATAAGTTAGACACAATGGCTGCTCAAGTTAAGTTTATGGAATGGTGGAAGGTCCTGAATCTAAATAACATAGACGCGTGCTACTTTCTCGACCAGAGCAGAGTATCTTGCAAACAGCATGAAGTGGTTAATAATAGTTAAATCCAATTCCACATGGATAATGTTTTGAAAAACTTGAATTGAAAGAAACCAAAGAATGGTCTCATCTGGATTTTAAAAAAAATCTTCCATTTTTGGGGATGAAAAGGAATTTTCCAAAACAATGTAGTATTAAAAATATAAATCGTTGTTGGGCCAAGAAAAGACCCAATTAAAACCCAAATATATTATAAACCTGAACAAGCCCGACCCAACACTAACCACGGGCCAGAGTCGATGGTCCATAAAATCTCTGCTTACAGTAAGAAATGGTTTACTGGTTTAACCGACCGAGTCCTTCAAATTCATTAGATTAAATTTGTCGAATATTTTTGACCCAAATTTTTTTTTTGTCGAATATTTGGTCAACCGGTTTAAGTGAATCAATCCTTCTGTGCTTTGTTAAAGTAAAAGCACTACAAACTACAAGACACGCAATCTAAAATTCCATTTTAGTAGACTGTAGAAAGGACAAACGGTAGATATTTATTTTTTGAAAGACGGACAGCAAAAATAAGCTGAGAGATCACGTGGGGAAGGAGAAGTAGGCGTTAGTATATGATTGGACCGACCAGTTTACACTGTTTCATGTTATCACCAAACATCAAGACTTGTCCACATGCCGCCAATGACGAGCGCATTACTTTATGTATAGACTACTCCCTACACCCCTATAATTTCTTTTATAACAAAGAAAAGTGTTAAAGAGAGTCAAGAAAATCGGAAGAGGAAAACAGAGGAAGAAAAAAGAGTTATGTCACGCAGCATGAGATCTTCATCATCTTGTGTTAATGTGTTACTCATCGTGTCCTTTATGCTTCTGAGTTTGTCGGCTGATGCGTACAAGAACTACACTGTGGGAGGATCCACGGGATGGTTTAGTATCCAAGAAAAACCTTCTGCAAATTATCAGAAATGGGCTGATTCCAAATCCTTTTCTTTGGGTGATTTCCTCAGTAAGTTCACACCACACTAATCTCTGGTTATTCCTTTTTTTTTTTTTACTTTAGATAGTAATCTAATAAAAACATTCTTTAATTTTTGTTTTTTTTTGTTCTAGTGTGATGAATTTTTAAAGAAATGGTGTAATGATACAATACTAAAATGGATATTTTAGTAAAATTTATAGTTTGAATCTATTCTTTTGTTTTTTTTTGTTTTATGATTAGATGAAGCCTCTCATAAACGTTTATGTGTTGTTGTTCAATTTAGTTTTCAACACAGATAGCAACCATTCAGTGGTGCAGACATATGATTTCAAAACCTACAAAGAATGTGATTACAACAATAATGAAGACAACAATACAACAGAGTGGTCGGCTGCAAACCCTTCAGCAACATCTCCTGTTCCGGTCTCAGTAAGCGTTCCTCTAGTTAAAGAAGGCTCCAATTATTTCTTCTCAGGAAACTATGACGGTGAACAATGCAAATTTGGACAGCATTTCATGATAAATGTAACACATGGTCAAGGCCTACCATCACCTGATAAAGATGATGAAACGGCCCCTGGACCAGGCCAATCCTCTCAATCCGGTGATGATGATGAAGTTGCTCCAGATACCATAGTTCCCGCTAACTTTGACCATCCTAAAGATATTGAGAGTGATGATGATGATGATAGTTTGGTTAAAGGTCGTAAAAATTCTTCTTCCATTACAGAATATAATTTGTTATGTTTAGTTTTAATGGGGTTCCTAGCATCATTCTTTTAATCAAATGTTCTTCTGTGTGTATAATAATCATTCTGTCTTTTGGTGAGAGATATTCAAATAATTATCTTAGCTGATAATTATCATAATTATATTTACGAAGCTCTATACATTGAGTATGTGTTTCCAGAGGTATAGTTATAGTTTATTTACAAGTTAGCTGATAAGTTTTGTAATTATATTATTACTATTTACTGGTGGTATAAGAAGCATATCATGGATAAATAGACTATGATGAAAATATTGATAATGAGAGTGCGTTAGAGATCCTCGATAACAAACATGGTGATGTTTCCTCATGACCTAACTATCAACGTCAAGACAGATTGGTACTGTAATATATTATATTTGAGTTGGAGGATAATTGAGCAATAATTCAAGAGGAGAAGACATCCATAAACATATTATATCGAGTTGGATGGTCATATACGTTAAGATTATGTTTCTCTCACAATGAAGAGAAGACATCTCTCGACCCCAAAGTCGAACACAACCACGTACGTACTTTTACCAGCAAGCAAACAATTTTGGAAGAAAAGTTAATTTGTTTTAGTGCAAATGGTTCTATGCTATTTTTCTACAAATGCATTACTTACTTTGATTTATTGCATTGCGAGTTAAAACTTATCTCTTCCTCGTTTCTTTCCCTCTCAAACACTCCTGCCATCTCTACCTTTATGGCTTTAATATCTTAGATTCTTACTCAAATCTGAATTTAAGACTTTACTTTCATGATTAATTACTTTATGGCTTTTCTAGTGGCATTTTGCGTTGTTCGTGTCTCATTAATAGCCGTTCAATGACTTGACAGATATACTAAAAGCATCACATTCTTTTCAAGTACCTGGCAACAGCTACAAAGAAAGTAGAATAAATTTTGGGATAAGAAAGTTATTGCCTTGTCTGGCGCTGGCACATGGGTTTACAAATAATAATATATCACATAATCGTATTGAGAGACGACACCCATTCCCATAAGAAAAAAAAAATAGAAAGATTAAATAAATAATAATATATCTCCACTGAAGTAAAAACAAGAAAAGAAATATACAAAGGAGGTGGTTGCAAGCAGGTGGCAGCAGCAGGAGGTACAGTTTACAAAGGAACCAAAGGACCCCATTTGTTTACGATGTAGTAGCATCCCAAGTTGTTGCTTCTGTCTTGGAACTCCACTCTGTTCTTCCTCTCACCACTTCAGCTCCATCCTGGAGACGTAGCAAATGCTGACACTCCACTCCACCTGCTGTCCCGAGATTACCAACATCACATCCCGAAACTGCGGTTAGAGACTGAAGCACACTGTCTTTCCCACACTCCCTACGATACTCCAGAGTCATGCTTTTCAGCTTCTGACTCTCCAGCATCCCTGCTGGAGCACTCTCCAGTATCCACCCAATGTACTTTACATTGTTAACATGCTGGTTAACATCCAAGTCACTCCACCTCGGCTGCAAAAAAAGTTTCAGTACCAAAGCATAAGAATCTCAGAGTTTTACAGGCTTGTTGGAAGGTGGTGTGGATAATATACTTACAGTGAGACCAGAACGAACATAGTCAGCAGTCTTGTCATCCAGTTTGGTTAACTTTCTGCTGTCTTCGGCAATGACAGGATCAGAGTTTACAAAGTAAGGCTCTATTTCCCCTCGAACCTCTTCAGGAATCTTTGATAATCTCCTTGTCAGTTTATTCATCATCACCCACAAACTACAAACGAAGAAAATTGCCATACATATTAAGTGTCTATTATCAAGTTTCAAACCCAGAATGCCTATACTCATGAGAGTTTTAAAAAATTAATGGCAGAGCAAACAATACAAACAGAGAGCAAAGATCAATAAATTGTCACATGCAGAAAATGATAATAGCTTGGAGTAGACCAAAATATAAGAACTCTGACCTTGATGCTCGCGTTACAATTTCTCCAGTATTGCAATCCCGAACTAGCCAATCACGACGCATGCCATTCTTTCCAGACTGACTAACCCATGTATCCACTTCGACAACATCTCCCCTGTGAGTCAGATATTTGAATAAGCAAATGATCATTGCACACTGTAATATGCAAGCACGGTACAGAATGCAATCTAGAGTGCAAAAATTCATAGTCATATGAGTAAGTGAGAGTATACACTTGCATAGTCAAATTTATGCAAGATAATTTGGATAACTCACAACGACAACCAGGGAATCTCAGCGATGTTTTAAGTTAAATGCTAAGAATGACAATAGCTTACCAAGTAGGATATTTATCAACCACAACCTGCATACGAGCAACGACCCATATCAAGTTCTTCTTAAACATCTCAGGGGTGGAACCAAACCCATTTTCCATCAGTCCAGCAGACTTGACATGATTAAGGGCCGTTTCCTGTCATGAGTATAAGAGCTTGTCATGAGCATATCTATTGGGACAACATGTGAGTGTAATCACAATCAAAGCAGTACCTGTAAATGATTCATGACAGTTTCTATAGATGCAGAGCGATCAGCACCTATCTCATAAGACCTAATGGAGAAATTCTGACGGAACACAAGACCATCCTGAACAATTCTCCCTAAACCGAAAGGATCCATAATCATATCCGAGCGCCTGGGTTTCCAATCAAGCATCATCCACTGTTTCTCCGCTGCTAAGAAAATCGTTGTTATAGCAGCAAGAAGCATGCTCCAATCAGGTAGCTGGTTAATGAACGTCCTCGGTGCGGGTTTCTCGTTATCAGCCTTTAAGACCTCTACAGAACTAGGCAAGTTAACTTTCTTCCCGTTGATCTTAGGTGGAGCCTGAGCGTTTGGCTTAACCTTCATCCTTCCAGAGTTTGGTGTTGAATTAAGTCCACCAAAATTAGTAGACGCAACCTTGTTTCCCTTTCCATTAGTCTCAAGAGAGGAAGATGGAACAGGAAAAAACGACGACGTAGCGGAAGTAGCCACCATTACGAGGAGCTAAGCGTTCAAAAGACACTAACACCACATAAAAAAAAACAAAAAAAAAAGCTAACATCTTTAAACAATTAGAAGGAAAGAAACTTAATGAACACACACATAGACACAGGCACACAAAAAAGTGAGTGACATACTTCAAAAAGCTAACATCTTTAACAATTAGGGAGATGGATAAGCTCACCAAGTAATCAACAAGATGACACAAGAAAGAAGGGTGTCTATAAACGAACTAAAGGAATCATTTTTATGTGTAATCAAGTTCAACAACTGAGCTATAAACAATCAAAACCCTAGCAGTCATTCACAATCATTCTCAGCTGATGCTCAAAATCAACAATTTCAATAAGAGAGATTAGATTAATTTGAAATCCAGATCTGTAATCAAAACAATAAAGAGCTCAACGGAGAATCTACACAATCAGATCGACGAATATCATTAATTCCATAAAGCAAATTGAAATGAGAGCAATCAGATAACGAATTTCAAAACACAGAGATATAAGGAAGAGAGATCGTACGAAGTGTGTGAGAATGAAGAGATGAAATGAGAATTAGGTTACGCCAATTTCTTCGGAGTCTCCCCAAACCCTAAAATTCTCCTTGTGTCTCCTCTGCCTCACGATCTCTTCCTCTCTTTTGTTTAAATTTGTTTTCTCTATTTTCTTTCTCAGTTATATTTATTTTTAATTCAGTTTTTTTGTTTTGTTGCAATTCTCAATACTAATGTTTTATTTACGTATATATAGAGACCCACATTTTGATGTGAATATTGACCATTTTACCCTTTCTTGTTACAAAGATTGTTAACCTAATTAGGCATATGTATCCATTTTTTTTCTATATATTCACATTGATATCTATATTTTTTTGTTACCGATTGTGTTACGCTAAGACTTATTGATTGTTTTACGTGTAAATTTCCGTACTTTGATTTCTCTCGCATGTGAGTATTGCTAATCACACTAACCAATCACAAATATGATAATTTTGTAGAGAAAAAGACGCGTATCAGATTCTTGTTAGTAGAGAATTGTCACTTTTGGCACCGACGAATTTGTATTTAATCATAAGTGGGCACAACACTGGTGTGCTACTACTACTACTACATCATGTGCATGAATCTCTTCTTTCTTTTACTTGCAGTTGCATCTTTTAGAAACATTGAAGGAACGCCATTTACAAACTTGAGAATATATATATACGTTATATCTGCAACTTTATTCTATTCGGAATCTATTAATTTCATAAATTCGATAGCACAGCCCCCCTAAACTTTATTTTCTAAGCTTGAAATTATACTAGAAGTCAAAATTACTAGAGATAAGATTGGGCCTACAATGAATGTTTAATGACCTTATGTGCAAAGTTTAGGCCCAACAACTAACTGAAAGTTTAATGATATATGGGTAAAAGTGTAAGACCCCATATGGGCAAAGTTTAGGCCTAACAAGAAACTGAATGTTTAATGACCCCAATGGGTGAAAGTTTTGGCCTAACAACCAACTGAAAATTTAATGAACAAATGAAACAAAGTCAATCCTCTGCCAAGCTTTATCCATTTCTCGTCTTCACCAGCCTATCACCAGTTTCCTCACACCTTTCTTTGTATAATGTCATAATGGTTTACACTTCATCCTCTCTCTGTATAATCTCATTCCTCCTCGGTTCAAGTGCCAACCTGATTCTTCTCTATCATATGACTTACTTTGATGTGCCTTTAGATACTTTTATATGTATTAGTTCATTGCAAGTTTGCTTTATACACAATCGTTGTATGGATGTGTAATTAAAATGAGGAAGTTCTCTGTTCTCATCCTCTAGTAACCGTTTATTACCATTTTGAAATGCTTTGTTCTTGAAAGTAATGTCATATTAGGAAGTGTTCTGTTCTCATAAAAAGTTGAATAGATTTCAATCATCGGTAGTAACACGTTTTCTTGAAAGTCATGTAAAGTAATGAAATTATCAATTTCGTAGCGTAATCATACCTATGGAGAGTAGTTTTTCATTTTTCTATGTTCAGGTGTTGCCTAAGGAAGATTAGATTACGGCAGTAGCTTTGTTTCGCTTTACTCTGTCTCTGGAATCACAAGTGATGAAGGATCAATGGGGTGCATTCTTGGTCAAGATTTTTAGATAGTATAAACACAAATATAAGAGGTTATAATATATTCATTCACACAAACAATATATAAACCTTAAGACAGGTATTTGTTTCAATTGTGTTTTGTTTTCTTAAGTTTTCTTTAATTAGTTTTACTTTTGGTTAAATGCCGTTTATTTACCAAAAAAAATAAAAAAGACAACGAGATCTTCATGTAACTTGGCCGACTATACAGGAACTTAATTAATTGTAATATTGATACTATTAAGCGCTTTGGCCGACCTGATGATATTGATGCAATTTTTCATGTGAAGCACAAAGATATACAATTTTTACTCAAAATAGAAAAAACAGGTCTTCTTCCATTGGTGATCACTAAATAAAAAAATAAAAGATAGCTAGCTGCATTTTGTCACCTTTCATAAAAAATGTGGCTCTTGTATTCTGATGTTCGTGATGGACAACATATGGCATAGGCTTTTATTGTTTCATACAACTATTTATACATTTATACTTCTTCTTAAATCTTTTCATTTTCCCAAAATACTTAATCGCAACATACATTATTCAACATTTCAACTAGAGTGACTAGCTATATACTAATATTTTTTTTATGCTGTGCATTAACACTAATAATCACATTCCTTATGATGTTTTGGTCCACGTAAGTTTTGGTTTCTCAACACTAGACTTTGTTGTTTAGCTATACGATTAAATATCTCTCTTGGAACGTACTGAGTATCATCGTGAGTGTAGGGTTATGCAAGTGCCTTTCATGCAATATTTAGATTAGAACTAAAGAAAAAAAAAGAGATTAAAGGTGGTGGAGGGAGTGAGACCCACGTGGGTGATGTGTTGGCTAACTTGCTTCCTTAAATTCCAAATCCAAATATGAACCATTACTTTTCTGTTAAATGTCGTTTATGCTAATTGTCGTTTACACACTCATTTCACATATTTTCTTCAAAAGAAAAAAACACTCATTTCACACGCAACACAAATATTCATGAATCATGAGGCCTATACCTTTTTTATTTCTCTACCATTCGTTCTTGCATTCTAGGGATGGAACATCACATAATTTAATTGATAAAATTTTAATTTTAATTTCATTTTTTTTTGGTAATTCAATGACTTAGGTATATTATATACCGTATATATCCATGCAAAGTAAATGTTGAATCTAACTGAAGTAACACGAAAACAGAGGCGTACCTTGAACAAATCAATACAAACAGAGGCCTAAACATGTTAAATCTCGAATATGTGTTATACCGTAGTACATTAATGAATCTGATAATAAGAAACTATTAAAAGATATGTTTATCTACGTATCAACATAGTATATTAAAAAGAAAAAAAACATAGTATATTACAGAAATTGAATAAACATGTTAAATTTCGAATATGTGGATTATTCGTAGTGTAGGCGGAGCTATACGGTAACAAATATTAGTAATTTATTATATTTATATTTTATTTTTATATAAATATTTTAGTTTTAATTTTAATTATAAAATATTTTGATGAATTATCAAAATAAGATATAGAAAACAAATAAATTAAACAAATTTATGAAATTATACTAATATTATTCTTCAATTTAGTAGATTAAAATTGATCTAAACCAGTTTTAAATGATTTACGTATAACTGGATATCGTAAAAAATTTTGAAAACTAATTTGCCATTTAAGCAGGTGTGTCTTTGCACAACCTAAACCAGTTTTTATAATCATGAACGAATACACTGCTATTTATCAGCACAATTTATAAAAAAAGAAATAAATTTCACATTCAAACAGGGTTAAATAAAAACATAATCCGAATCCAGGTTTAGAAAATTTTCTACTTAAATCCTTAATATCGGCGAAAACTAGTGGAACCTTATCCATAATCAGGTTTTTTGATCTCTGGCCGACTCCAACTCATTATCACAAACCAACCGTCAGATCTACAAGTTTTCCAAATCCAAAATCAACGGTCTAGATTACGCAAAGGCAAAACAGCTTCTTCTTGTCCAGAAACACTTTTCCTTTTTCATTTTTGTTTATAAATATTCTCGTGGAAGAGGAAAAAAAACGAAACTTGGCTGGCGATTAAAAGATTGCTGTGAAGACACGTTGTCTCCGTGAAACAAAGAGAGTTTCTTTTCTCCTTCTTCTTAATCTTAGGTCTCTTCTTGTTCTAAAATTTGATACCTTTTCTTAAAATGGCGGAAGCAACAATCGGCAGAACGAATCTGTTCATCGGAAGAGCTTGTCTGAATCACAACAAGCATGTAAATGATTTCTCTATCTCACCGGTGAGCTTTGGTTTGAAAAAGAGCTTCTCTTCTCTCAAGCTGAAGCCTCTGAAACAACAGATAGATACTCAATTCCAGACCTTCACAAGAAGCTCCAGATCATCATCCATCACAGCTCAGGTAACATGCGAGATCTAATTACATCAAATCAATACTTAAAGATTATACCTTTTTAGGGTTTAGAATTGGATCTATTGAAAAAAGTGATTTTTACATGTTTATGTTATACAGACAACGCTGAGGATTGGGACACCTCAGAAATGGTGGGAGAAAGGTCTGAAAGAAAACATGAGAGAGATCTCTTCAGCTCAAGACCTCGTTGACTCTCTCACCAACGCTGGTGATAAGCTTGTTGTGGTTGACTTCTTCTCTCCTGGCTGTGGTGGCTGCAAGGCTCTTCATCCCAAGGTATAATAAAGATTCACTTGTTAGTTGCTAGAAATAGATTAATTTGTTTTTAATAATCATTAATGGTTTGTAAATGTTGCAGTTATGTCAGCTGGCAGAGCAGAACCCTGATGTGGAGTTTCTTCAGGTGAATTACGAGGAGCATAAGTCTATGTGTTACAGTCTTGGTGTTCATGTCCTCCCGTTTTTTCGATTCTACAGTGGTGCTCGTGGTCGTGTCTGTAGCTTTAGCTGTACCAATGCTACGGTATTGTTTCTCATCATCCCTACATTTAATTCAAAATCATATTTTAAGAGTTTGATTTTGATCTTGGAGTTGTGTTGTTTTTAGATAAAGAAATTTAGAGATGCATTGGCAAAGCATAGTCCAGATAGGTGCAGCCTTGGACCAACCAAAGGGCTTGAAGAGAAAGAGCTTGTGGCACTTGCAGCTAACAAGGATCTCGACTTTACTTACACACCTAAGCCTGTACCAGTTGTTGAGGAAGAAGTTGCCATCCCTACTTCAAACCCTGGTCTCCCTGTTCCTCATCCATCTATGAGCGCCAATGATGAAAAGACATTGGTCTCCTCAGGGAGATGATTATGTGAAGGAATAAACATTTCTCTGTACAGTTGTTTGAGTGGTATTAGTTACTAGCAACGGGATATATATATGTTGCAGTACCTAAAGTTGTATGTTGTTGGAGCAGCCGGTTTAATGGGGGTTTAGTTTTTTTGGGTTTCCCCTGAGCAAAACCGGTTTCATGTGGTTTTCCTCTAGAGTAAGACCAGTTCCTATGGTTCTCGAGTTTTGCTCAGTTTCTTATGGGATTGAGAGTAGTGGAAGGTCGTGCGCCTGTGCACCATGGTGGCTTTCTACTTCAATCTGCTTCAGTAGGATTTTTCTTTCTTTTGCTCGTTTGTTTTCTGCTTAAGGTATTTCTATGTAAGTAAAAATATCTAGTGAAAACTATGATGGAAATGTCACTATGGATTTGATATTTTATATAATGTTTAAAAGGTCTTTTATGAAGCTTTTAAAGTTTTGTAATGGTGGTGTGACATATTTTCTCTTCCATTGGGTTAATATAACTTACAGTTGTTAGGTTGTCTAACAAATGAATTAGTAAAGCCTTGAATGTGTTTACTAGTTGATGAAAGAGTCCTTGTGGCTCGTGAGAACACCACCACAAATCTGTTGTTTCCATATGTTTACAAACGTTTTACCATCAGGGAGATAAATTGAAATCGGTAGAGAAGATTCAGTGACTGAAATATTGATACTATAAATGTGATGGACGAACCGAATCAGCAGCATTCCCGCTAAAATACAAAATGAGAACTTCCTAAACGACAACATATTTGAAAAAACTTAGCAGTAGAAGAAAACTAAAGGATTTCGAACAACTTTAAACAAGATGAAGTCTATTCCAGCATCTGATGAGTAGATACTTTGCCACCGGCTTTCTGGCTCGTCTTCTTTTTACCTGCTTACAAGTAGACAATATCTCTGTTTACTTGCATGATCCGGAGAAAATTACATCCAGTAAACAATAATGCATTGAGATAAAATGAAATATTAAGAGTTTCCTGCAAACTCAGTGATTACCTTTGTTCTTTAGTTTATTGAGCTTCAATGTCTTCTTCACGCTAAATTTTCTTTGGGGTTTCTTAGAGTCTTCTGATGAAGCTAATATACAAAGAGTGAAGAAAACAAATTTCATTTTAAGCAATTACAAAATAAATTAATAAAGTGAAACCAAACGCTAAAAAAAAAACACTGAACAATTCCATGGAGTACACAAAACAAGACATAGTGAATAATGTGCATCCCCGTTATTTAGCAAAAAGCAACACTAAGATTAAAATACAGAAATGACCTTTTCTATGGATATGCTATAATTTAAGAGCCTTTCTACAAGGATCAATGCACAGAAAACTAAACAATAAGTTTCAAATTTTAGTTGCAAACAGCTAAAATTGCTTGCATTCTCCTAAGTGACCAGTGAGAGTTCATTCCTAACAATATTTCCCAATCGGACCAAAGAGAATTCTTTTAACTAAATTAATCTGAGCTTTTGTTGTTGCTAAATTAATTAGCAACAACAAAAGCTAAATCAAAGATCAATTAGCAACAACAAAAGCTCAAATTAATGTTACCATCAGCAGAAGCCATCACTACATCCTCCATAGTAACAAGACCCTTCTCCACCATCTCTTTCTGCTCCTGTTGTTATCAATTAACAAAGACTTTCTACTTTGAAAACTAGTGGCAATAAGACTTTGTTGTAACTATTAAATCAAAAAAAGGAAGGAGAATCATACTCGGCGATATTTGCGAAGGAGTTTCTTCTGACGTTTACCGGAGACGGAGACAAGGGGAGCTCTGGTCTTCAGTTTATTGGTGAGTGGATCTCCATGGATAGCTCGCTTCCTATCAGCTTTCGCCTCTCTCTTCTTCTTCGCTATCTCGTTGTATTTCGCCATTAGATTAGATTTTGAGCTATCCACCCACCTTCTTCTCGCCTCCCTTCAACCTTAAAGATTTAAGTTCTTCTAAAACCCTAATTCCACAACAGTATTGGGCTTTTGTCATGTCTTTATTTAGTGGGCTTTTTTTGTATCTTCTATTATTGAATCAAGCCCACATGTTTTACAAACTCATTGGGTTTTAAGAGCTAAAGAGGTCAACAAAGCTTTCATTTTTCAAAAAAAAATATCTTTTTAAGTAAAAATTATATAAAAGTTTATTTTCTAAAAATTAAAAAAATAACTTGACTATGTTTTGAAAGATTTATGAAAGGTTATAACATTTTATATTAATAAATGAGTAGTATAAAATTTTGGATTCAAACTAAATTAATGAAAATAAAATCTTTTGAATAGATTTCAGTGAAACAAAACTGGAAATAGTATTTAGATGACTATGAAATATGAATTTTAGCAGGATATTTGTATATGTTTACTTTGACTATATTATAGTAATTATTTTTTAGCTGACAAAACACCACTTTTATGTTATAGTCAATGGTTCAACTTTATCATTTCTAAATGTTTTACTATAAACAACATTGACTACATTCTCTATTTCTATTTAGTATGGATGACTACCCAATATGCTCATCTAGTATCCTTAATTTGTTATCAAACAAGTCAAGTCTCTTTCCAGCCAGAAGAATATATATATTTTAAAAACATCTGAAACCAAACACAATCTCCACAAGTCTCAACGCGGCCAACAGTTTTGAACCCCCAACCCTCTGTTGCCAAAAGTTCTGTCTCTCCAAGACTCCAATACAAAACCGAACAAACCTCTCTCTTGTTTCTCTACACTGAGATTTGCACCAAGATTCTATCACTTTTGGTAAAGTCCCCTCTTCTCCATGCTAGACTAGCTAGTGGTTGGTAGATCTTAAAAGTGTTTAATATCCTTTTTTCTCTAGATAATAAGAAGGCATCTAACTGATCAGACCTTATCCCAGAATCGATCTATACCTTTCCATGTGGTTCTTCATTGTAATTTTCAATTTTACGTGTTAGGAAAATGATATGAATTTTACTTAAAACAAAAAAAAAATGATATAAATTTATATTCAGCTTTTAGATTTAGGTACATGTTTACTTTTTCAATTCAGTGATATCCTCTTTTACAAATAAATGCCTGATACCTTTTATGGACACATGTATTTGTTAAGAATCCCACATCAACAATAAGTTATATGGACAATAGCTCCACCAACTTTTAAAAACTTGTAACTGACTGTTTAGGATATCAATGTTTTTTTCAGTAGGAAGTGAAGGAAAACTCATAGAAATGGATGTGGAGCTTGAAGTGATGGAAGAAAACAACAATAAAGATGAGGAGATGCAACATACAAGATCTGAATCTTTTGTTTCTCTTTCATATGATGATGAACAATTAATGATGTTGGGACATGATGATGAATTGGATCTTAAGGTTAGCAACATTAATATCTCTTGCCCGTTTTTTTTTGTTGTTGTTGTGGTGGAAGCATGACCTAATATAGCTCTCAATTATTCATCTATTATGATGCAGAAACCTTTGAGCGAGGAAGAAATAAACAAGTTAATTTCAGATCTTGTGGGTGTAGAGAGTAAGGTATATTAATCTCTTCCTTTTGCTGGAGATCTTGATATGCCAAGAAGCACTAGCTCTTAAGCCAACTCTCTATAATTACACATTGGTTTTCAGGCAGGAAAAGCTCAAGAATCACTTGAAAAGGAGTCTATTGCTAGAGTAGAGGAAGAAAGTAGGGAAAAATTAGCAAAAACACTCCGTGGTGTTGAGGTTAATTTCTTCTTTTTTTTTCTTACTATCATAGTTCCATATTCCTTTGTTCTCGTCTATTAAACATCTTAGAACGTGCCTGCATGTAGCTGGATAAATCTGTAGCAGCTGAAATGATGAATTTTAGAGACGTATGGGAGTCAAATCTTGATAATCTTGAAACTGAAAGTGCAAACTTATTGGTATGTTCGGTTCCTCAAACAATACCAAGGTTAACTTATCATGCAAAATTAAAGAACTTACAAATTTCTTTTCTCATAGGAGCAACTTGATGGTGCTGGAATCGAACTTCCAAAGTTGTACAAAACGATTGAAAGCCGAGTCCCTAATGGTTGTTGCTACACAAAAGCTTGGAAAAAAAGAGTTCACTGTGTTGGTACTCAAGTAACAAAAGAGACCGTGGAATCATTGTCTAACGCAGAGACTTTTCTTCACACTCACTCTCCAGTTCAAAAGTAGGGTTTGTTTTGTTTATCTTCAACTTTTTAGTAATGCAATATTACTGCAATTATGGATGGTATATGTAAACATATTCTGGTGTAGCCGACATGGGGAACTTTTGGAGGAGGGAGCTAGTGGATTCCTTGAGAACAAGTTTGCTGATGATGCTGTTGAAGAGTGTGGAACATCTGAGAAAAAGGATGAGGCTGTCTCGTTTGGTAGTAAGAATTGGGCTTCTGTTTACTTGGCAAGCACTCCACAACAAGCTGCAGCCATGGGATTAGAGTTTCTTGAAGTCAATGAGGTTAAATTTTCATCTATGCGTTTATTTGGTTTCCTGATTGAGCTACTTGCCATAATACATATTATGAAAGCAGGCTTTTTCTTCTTTCTTTTTTTAGTTTCTGTGTGCAAATTAATAAATTTATGGATCATATGATGCATATTTACATCCTTGGGAGGCAAGTTATGTTTGAAGATCTCATATTCCTTCTCAAGCTAGCTGCTAGCTTAACAAAATTGTAGATTTTTAAATATGATAAGCATTCTGCTGGAAAACAACTTAATAAACTTCAGATTGATTATCACCAGTAATTTTTTTTTTCAGGTGGAGGAAATTGATGCAGGCTTGGCAGACACTGTTTTTGCCAATGCAATAGAAAACGAAAGAGAGCTTGCCCTTGCTGAAGAACAAAAGAAAAACAATACAAGGGTAATTATCTTTTGACTTTACTTCTTTAATCTTCTTGAAAGTATTACCTCTTATGGTGGCTTTTAATACTACTTCCAGCTCCCACCTTTCCCATATTTATCATCTTAACTGTGACATTAAATCAACAATAGGTCAAAGAGGAGGATGATATAACTATTGATCGTCACAATCAACTTCGTTTGAAACGCAAGAGATGCAACAAAAGCTCTAAACAGGTCTGTTTTGCTGGTCTTCCAGCTCAACAATATTTGGTTGGGGGTTTCCCTGGTCTGAAGGAAATATTATTTGGCTAACGTTCGCAGTCTTCATTTGGTTTTTATTTCAGGTTATGATCATGCACACGGCAGAGAATAGGGATGATGATTCTGCGTATTTTGATTCTGAAGATGAAGTAAAATGTCCAGAGACTAGCACTCAGTTTCAAAATAGTGAAGTTAGCAAAGAGGAAAACGGGAACTTATTTAACTCAGATGTAGATAAGATGGCTACCATCACAGATTTTAATGCAGATACCATGATAGATGCTTCACAGAATACATCTTTCTCCTCTTCCAGCTCGGATTACAGTTCTGGTAATGCTGATGTCAATGTAGCAATAAGGTACTATCACACACACACACGCACACACATATATATATGTATAGTAGATATTAAAGTCCAGCATGTTTTCAACTAATGTAGTGAGTATTTTTTTTTCCCATTTAGCTCAAAGAGAATCCGGAGGATAACTGATGATGCTGAACTAAGGAATGACACAAAAGGAAATATAGCAGTTGAGAAGGTCTTAACTCCAGAGTTTCAAAAGTCTTCAGCACAAAAAGTGGCCCCACGACTACCAAAGAGGTTCAACAGAAGTCGTTTTGTGAACCGCAACTGCACTAGAACCGCTCATCAGCTTACACTCATAAGCCAAGGGATCAAAGTTGGTAGCTGCACGGTCTGTGGTGAGTGTGGGATTGTCTTAACGTGGGAGAATATGCTACACCTGCTTCCAAAATAGATTACTTTCGAAACATTGCAACAGAGTTGAGTACTCATGCTGAAACTTGTGTCCTGAAAACCTGAAGTGATTTGATAAGTTGTAAGAGTAACCATCATTGCAAGGTTGTGTCTGTTGTTCAATTTGAAGTATATAAACATATGATTGACTTAAGACTTGAAATCTGAAGCTGCATAGATAATACAGTTAAGGAAAAAGGAAATGCAAAAGAGTGACCAAGAAACATAACAAGACACTGGAACTTACTAGAAAGCTAAACTAATTCAAACCATTTCAAACTTGCAAAACTTGTTCCCTGTACAAAACCAACCAACAAAGCTTTCTACACTTCTCTCAAGAGTTTCCACTGCCTAAGCTTCTTCTGCAACTCATCAGCCTCACTTCCCATTCCCATCTCTTCCACACCTTTAACAATCGCAGCATATATACTCTCATCTGGCTTACATCCACTTGTCAGCATAATCTCCACAACCTGCACCGCCATTTCCATCTCTCCCTTCTTGCACAGCCCTTGAATCACCAACCTATAAGTACTCCCTCTAATCCCATTCCCTCTATTACTAGTCTCCTTCAAAACCTGACTCGCCTCTTCAACTAGATTCGCCCTGCAGAAACCATAAATCAAAGACCTACGAGTTATATCATCAGGACACACTCCAGCTTCCACCATCTGATTATACAACTCCAACGCTTTCTCCATCATACCCTTCTTAGCCAAACCATCGATCACAGAGTTGTAACTAATCAACCCTGGAGAACACCTAGTCTTTCTCAGCAAGCCAAGCAACACTATCGCCTCATTAACCATTCCCTCTTTAGACATTGCTCCAAGAACTGTATTGTAAGTGACAATATCAGGCAAACACCTCTGTTCCAACATCTGGTAGAAGAAATCAATCGCACGAGACAAAAGCCCTGCCTTACACAAACCGTTGATCAGAATGTTGTAAGTGATAACCGTTGGAGAGCAAGAAGTCTTGTACATGATACTCAAAATCTCATCAACTTCATCCCAGTACCCATGAGAACAAAGAGAATGCAAAAGAGTGTTGTAAGTCACAGTGTTCAGCTCCACTCCATGAGACACAATATGCTGAATAACCAAAGCCACATCCTCTAGCTTCCCTCTCCTACAGTTATAATTCACCAGAGAGTTATACGTTACAATATCAGGATAACAACCTTCCACCGCCATGTCTTCCAACACCTCCATAGCTCTAACACTTCCACAGTACCTACACACAAGCTCAACCAATACAGTGAAAGTAATCATATACGGAGGACAACCATTCCTTAACTGATCTTTCCAAAACTCAATCGCATCCTCTGTGTTCCCGTTATCACACATAAACCGAATCAGAGTATTGTAAGTGATCACATCAGGAGAGCTCCCACTTAAACTCATGTCTTCTAATAGTACCAAAGCGGATCTCAAATCACCTCTCTTGCAGAGGTTACCAATGACCATGTTGTAGGTTATAGTATCCGGAACTCCACCAGACATCACCATGATTCTCAGTATACACATTGCTTTATCCGTTTGATCAATTCTGGCTAAGCCACGGACTAGGTTAGTGCAAGAAGGGAAATGAGGAACTTGGTTGTGACGCGCCATGACTTCAACGAGTTTGCAAGCGTCTGTTAACTTCCCGTAGCTGCAGAGGCTGTGGAGGATGTCATTGTTTGTGGCTTCTTTGTTCTCTGTGATTGGTCCATCAGATGAGAAAACCATCCTCGGTTTCACTGAAACGTCATCAACAGGTTCAATGCAGAGACTACTACTACTACTACTCTGCAAGACACGGTATCTCAAAACAGTTTCTTTCTTCGAATCTGAAGGGTTTAACAAGGGGAATCCATTACTGAGACGAGACAGATTTGGAATGTGTAAGAAGTGAGCATCAAGTAGCAAATTTGATGACGTCATCTCTCGAAAGTTAGAACCTTTATGACAAAAGCAGAAAACTTTCAATGCTTATCTCATTAACCAAACCTGTGGAGTTCAAACAAAAACACACACAAAAAAATGGTATTAACAGACAAAACTAGCGATAGGTTTGAGCAGAGAAACTTGTTCTTAAATAACTAATCTTGGAGAAATGAAGAGAGAAGAGTGTTTAAGGAACTCACCGTTTGTGTCTTCTTCTTCGATTTGGGAACAAGGCTTGTGCTGTGTTTTTTTTTTCTTGGGGTTTGATGATATGATAAGTAGGGTTTATCCTTGATTTACAGAGTACACCCTCCATTTCCTTAAACTATTTATATAACTCCCCACTATTTATGAAACATCCTACATTCACTACCACGTATCTCTTAATTTATAGAATACCCCCAATATCTTTACATTTTTTTTTTTTTTTGTGAAGCCTTTACAAAATTTATTTACATCCCACTTATTTAAGAAACAACCAACATTCACTACCATGTATCCTCTTTCTTTCTGATTTCGCACCACAACTTAAAATTCTTCTATTTCTTATTTACAATGATTTTCTTTAATTTATCAAATTAAATTAAATATATATTCTTTCGATTCATTTTAGTTGATGTCTTAATTTGTTTTAATTTAAGTGATGTTTTTAAATATCTAAGCAAAACTTTAGTATTATTTGGTATCTTTGACCATTTGTATCCTATAGTATGAATTATTATTGGTTAGATTAGTTTTAATTAATACAATATGATGTAGAAAAGGTAAGATAAATAAAAGTTAACAATTTTTTTGTTTCCTCTTAGAACATAGAACCAAAACCCCTTTTTCCTCTTAAACAGCATAAAAAAAGGTCAAAGAAGGAAGTTTCCAAGGGTTCTTGAAACCATTAGTATTGGTTAGTTGTAAGATATAACAAAATAGTAATAGAATGGAAGAAATGAGAGTGACAAATTCAGTTCATTTCATTAAGATATCAATCGATCCTTAAAGTTTCAATTAAACATAACATAGACAAACAACATTTAGAAAGAAAAAGCATTTTCGGTTTCTTCAGTTTAGTTTCGGCTTGGTTCCTGAATCATTTGCACTGCTTGCTGCCAAAATAGAAGATCAGTTCATATAAAAATCAGTTTTACTGTTTGAAAGTGTGTGTACTTCAGACAAATATGATTATATACTTACTTGAAAGCAAGACAATGTGTAATGCACATCACTTATTGTTATCTGGTGGTGAACTACCATTCTGATCCTGCAAACCACATTCCCATGTAAATTTTTTATGTTTTATAATACAAGTTGTAAAACAATAAAAAACCTATTCTAAGTGAGACATACCGGGACGAGTTTTCCGGGATGACGAGAATGCCATACTCATTTAGACTCTTGCGCAGTTTCTCAGCTGTAAGTTTTGATCTATCCTCCATATCCATGAAAATCTGAATTTGAGACATAACTAATTAGAAAAACATAGCAGTTTTGATAACAAGTACAATAGTTGTGACAATAAGTACCATGTTGGTCTCCACGGCTGCAACGTTCACTCTAATCCCTTTCATTTGATTCAACCCTTCTGCAAAGGTATACATTACTCAGTTTGATTTACGTAATTGAGTTTTTTTGGCGGTTAATTAGTAGAGTGATTAGGAGTAGTTACCAGCTAGCAACTTAGTCTTCTTGTGGTCAAGTTGTAACTTTGGGAGATTCTCTTGAAGTGCAACCAAAGCGGCTGCACACAGGACGCCTATTTGTCTCATTCCTCCACCTAATGTTTTCCTTAACGTTTTCGCTTTTTCTATAAAACTATGCGAACCAACGATTACAGATCCTATTGGAGCTCCAAGACCTTTGGAGAGACACACCTGAATCAGAAGTGTACATGTGTGAATGAGTCTTTTATCTTTTAGCTTAACATTTTAAAGAAGAGAAAGAGAGCAACGGTACCGAAACAGAGTCAGCAGCCTGGACAAGCCTATGGACTGAAACTCCAAGGGCCTACAAAACAAAAAAAAATTGCAGAATGTTTTAATCTAGTGGTTTGTTAATGTCGTTATGTGTCACAATCCTAGTTCAATCTTATTATAATGCATAAATGCACTAAAAATAGGTCTACTTAATGCCTAGATGGCAAATCATTTATAAACTAAACGATTTTCTTAAAATTCGATTTTTGCACTCAAATGTTTAAATCATTATAAATTAGTTCAAATCAATCTAAATTAGTTTTAACTGGTTAAATCAAATAAAATTATGACTAATTTAGTTATACTGTTTTCACCATGAGTTTGTCTAAAACAAGTGATGATGATATAGTTTACCTCCAAATTTGTTTATTGATGTAAGTTCATAAGTTTCTTTGAATTTTTTAATGTATCTATTTTTTTTTTCTTATCAAAGTAATAATTAAGCAACCTAATTACGGTTTCTGAACACTGATGCATATTGTTTAAAAAATGAGAAAAAAGGGAGATGAGTGCATTACAATGGAAGCATTAAATAAGCGAGCTCCATCGATATGAACCTTTAATCCATGTCTCTTCGCAATCTCTCCAACTCTATCAGTATATTCCACACTCAGGCATCTCCCACCAGAGCTGCATGAAACCCTCATAAGAGACAAGCTAAACTATATCAACTATTAATAAACATGAGCAAGAACTTACTTGGCATGTGTGTTCTCCAAGCAAATCAACCTTGTTGATGGATAAAACGTGCTTCCTTTAGGGTCTCTAATAGCTGCTTCTATATCCCCCAAGTCCATCGTCCCGTCTTCTTCATTCTTGATTGTCTTGGGATGCACGCCTCCTATTGTTGATATACCTCCATTCTCGTAAACATGGATGTGACAGTTGTCTCCAAGAATCACCTCGCTGCCTCTCACGTCGCAGTGAACCATAACGCATATGAGGTTCCCCATTGTACCAGATGGCACGAAGAGAGCCGCTTCTTTACCCGTCATCTTGGCCATCTCCTCTTCAAGACGTCGAGCTGTTGGGTCGTAGCCGAGGACGTCATCGTCTACTTCTGCGCTACTCATTGCTTCACGCATTGCATCAGTAGGTTTAGTGACGGTGTCTGATCGTAGATCCACAGTTCGCATCACCATCTTTTATCTCAATCTACGTATAACAAATTGCTTTTATTTATTTTGGTTATATAAAAAGCCATAATTACAATGCTAAAAACACCAACCCTAACAGGTAATGAAACAAAAGAGGAAATGATATAGAGAACTATTTTAAGAAAAAAATTTAAAGCCCTAACGTGTTGGTTAAAGTAAAGATGGCTATGCATTGAATACTTCTCTTAATTGTTTATAATTAATTTTGAAAATGTGTTTCAACATTTTACGTAAGATCGGAAGGAAGAACCTTCACATTTTACCCTTCCAATAATTTGAACATTTGAACTGGTCTTTGGGGACAGCACAATGATTCTCCTATATTATATTGCAAATGTTCGTCCGTACGAATCTCATGAATTAAGTATTATACAAATTAGAATGAGAAGAATATAAAATGTCATAAACCCTGTGTCAAAAAAAAAAAGAATATAAAATGTCTCCTTCATCCTTAACATCATTATAGAGGAAAAAGCTTAGAGTATCTTTAGATTATTCTCCTCAACGTGTAGTATAATAAAATATTATTCATGAACATCCCCCTGTAATTGTACACGCTCCCGTAGCAAAACATTTATAAGGAATGTAAGAAATAAAAGAATATTAGAAGTGAGATAATCGTTGTGTTAAGATATAAAAATGATCATGAACATACATTTAAATCACCGTCTCCCAGACAATATAGCTATGATATTTAATACGCCCTAAAGCAAGACAGTTTTGAAGTATGTATGATTCAGTTAGAAATTAAAAACAGAGGTTTTGGAGAAATAAAATGATAATGAATAATTTAAATAGCCAATACAAACAAAAAGGTTTTGCTACCTAGGATGGATGGTTGATTAAAATTTGTTAAATAAAGAAGGAAAACATAAATAAGTTTAAATAAAACGAGAGAGAAGTACCTTTGTAAATGAAGAAGGATGCTCTTGTTTCTGATTCCAATTGGAGTTGATTAACTAACACAAAATATATAATGCTATTGCTAGATCGTAAGAGGTAGTTCGAGTAGGTTTGATGTGAAGAGAGAGAGATGCATCAAGCTGGTGAGTGGTAATTATCTAGGTTACAAGAGTGCCACGTGGATAGTTGACGTTGATATAATACCTACCTGACAACTACAAGTAGGCCAAAGTTACAAGCACCGTTGACACCGAAGCTTTATAAAGAGAGACAAACGACTAAAATGAAGAAACAAAATTAAATCTAGCAAACGAATAATCTTTTGTTTGGGTTTTACTAAGAAAATACAAAAAAGAAAAAAAAAGTTGAAGAAAGTTAAGGTCCACGAGAAAAGGATGAAGTTGTGTTCTACATGGGAAGCATGCGTACATACGTGTCGAATGCAAAACTGATTCACGAGATAGTTGTCGTCTTACTACTACGTACCCTCGGATGTATCGATGAACCAAAGTTATAGTATTCTCATTTTCAATTTATCTAAGGCCGTCTCTTTTATATATTGTTGAATCTAACTATGGCTATGATTTTGTAATGATTTATGTATAAACTTATATATTCTTTTCCGGATTCCCAATTCCAAAAATGTCAAATAGTGGATAGATTATTTTCATCATACACATATGTTAGCATGATTTTGTGATGACAATGCACAGCATATATAGCCTTTTGAAAAAGAAAAATATCAAATACACACATAGACAATTATTACTGAAGCAATCACCAGGTTAAGGTACATGGTCTATTAACAAATCTTTGTACCAATAATTATTGAGGAAGAAAATGATGGAAAAAAATGGAGAGACCAAAAAAGAAAAGAGAACATACATACCAAAGGCTAAGGCGTAGAAAGCTGCACGTAGAAGACGGAAGTGATCAGATATCTCTCGGTCGCTCACCACTCGTCAATATATACTTAGCTGTAACTACGTAACCTTCCATGCCTCTTTCTCTATTTATAGATATATGTGACTTGTGACAGATATTTGATTGAGTCAGCTCCGACGTGTCATTTCTACTTTGTATAAATCATGGCGTCTCCGTCTCTCTCGGTTATTCCTGCTTTGATTCGTTTTTCATTTCATTTCTGTGGGATTCATTCACCACGTTTTTTTTTGTCGTTGATTTACAATAGTTTTGAAAGCATACGTAATATATACAAGGCCTATATACAATTTGATTTTGTAGTGGCCCTACAGAGCTTGAGAAAGAAAAAACTGAGTGGGAACTGACTTAGATGACGATCGAATTCAGTTTAGCCGCCTGGCACTTTCGACTAACCAATCAGACCTTGTATAACACATCTTTCAAAACAATATTTTTTCAGGGAACAAACTATCTCTTTTTATATAATAAGTCTTTGCATATTCATTTTAAATTCTGAACCGTTTGTGTTTGATCTAGGTTGGTACTTATACTGTCTGAGTGATATGGACAGTCGACACTGAAAGAAATGTGTAAATAAAAAATTAGATAGTACATAATAACTAAAATGATATTAACGAAGAAATTGCTTCAACAAAAAAAAAAAAAACATTACATTCTACTTTTATCAGCCGAAGATGGTATCGAAAAAAACAACATTTACGTCTCTGATTCTAGTGGACGATGCCTCACGCAAACAAGATCGTCAAGTTTATTCCCATCCATCTTGTACTGTGACACGCCTTTCATTTGTGTATAGTGATCCCTTGCTTCTTTTCTCAAGCTCTTAAACGGCATCACTTCCCATTTCTTGTAATCTGACTTCTTCCTTACCTCACTCATGTCTGGAGATCCAGACACGGGTCCTTTTCTAGGGTCTGCGTCTCCCCACACCTTGCAGTTACCGAACTGTCCTAACCCATCCTTCTTCAAAATAGTTGACTGTTGGCTCCTTTGTAGGCGTAAGGCGGAGGCGTGAGCTTTGGTTATCATTTCACGAGTTGGCACGCTTGACCAGTCTTCCTTTCTCTCGGACCTCATGGGAGAATGGATCCGGATTACCTGCTAAGCAATGGTTTCTTCAGAAAAATCACAGAGGCTTAACGTTTAGAGAAAAGATAGAGATAAAAGGTTTTGGAAAGTTATACGTACACCAAGACATTCTAGAAGTTGGTAGTATGCTCTTCCTTGTAGTGGGTTATGCCCTTTCCTTGGCGTGGAGAAGTAACGCGTCCTACATTGATATTAAAGATAGAAAGGTGAGGAAACATTAGGGTTTATTCTCATAAGAGAGCTTTGGAAATGAGGGATATTTGAATACTTGCCACTCTGTGTATCCAGGATCGACGGTGAAACCATATATGTCGACGATATCGCACATGGACAGTGCTAGTTCAATGGATTTCATCCCTGTTCCTTTGGCACCTCTCCGTAGGACAATTCCTTGGAAGAGATAAACAGGGTTTGGAATAGTCTGTTACAAGATAAATAAATAACCGCATAAGAAAATCATGTATAGCAAGGATTTCAGTATACAGTCTCTTCAAATGTGTTTTTAAAGGTGCTTTGTTACAAACATCCACAATGGAAACTGTAGATACAAAACAAGTCACGATGGGAAAAAAAGAAGAAGAGAGAAAACAGTAACCATACCTTTATCATTTCGTTGAAGTCTCGGTGGGTCACACTTTTGATTATAAGCACCTCAGTGTCTGCAGACAATGACAGTTACAGAATGGTTACATCAAAAGGGAAGAGCTACAATGAGTGCATGAAGAAAAGTGAATCACAAGATGCAAAGTATATACTGACCAGACCCACTGAGAATCTTAACCATGTTACGAGCCGCACCACGAACAACTAGTCGGAAATCTCTTTTCACTCCTACATACTTGGCATACTTCTGCAATAAAATAACTTGAATATCAATGCCAGTAACCAAAAATCACCAATTCAAGACCACGTAGTAACGTCAACCGGTAAACTCAGCTAAATTTTAGAAATATTACCTCATTGACAGGAGCTTCATTATCTCGGAATACAGCATCATGGCTGTCGATCTCTTCTCCGAACTCTGTTTTCAACAGATCTCCGGAATTCCCAACAACAGCGCATTTATGAAACTGTCTTGGGTGGAAAGGAGGCTTCGCTGGAAGGATCACATTAAGATGCTCCTCACACAATGTACGATTATAACACTTATCAGCTCCCCTGAAACCCGTAAGATTAAAAAAGAACTCAACAAGAAAGAACAAATGACGCAAGCAAACAATAAGACAGGGCGTTCGGAATCATACAGCTGTGCAATTCTCATAGCTGCATAGTCCAACCATCCATTAGGGCGTACATCAAGGTATTCTCTTGTCAACACTGTTGTCATATTACGGTACTGCAATACTTAGAGGCATTAGAATCCAGAGAAGTTCTCAAACAATAAAACTTAATCAGAGAATGAGAGAATCACGAACCTGCTCCCATAGGAGAACAGCCTCACAAACATTGTACTTGAACTCCAGTGGTTCAAAAATTTTGAACTGTGCATTGTACTGTCATTGAAAGATGAGAATATGAGTGTGAAAACTTGATCATTTGAAACCCAATGAAATCTCGAAAAGAAACTAGACAAGTGTTAATATTACCCAAGTGCTGTTAGTGCCTTCAGGGAATTTGAGGATCAAATTACAGTGATCTATAATATGAGCAGAGAGTCCAAGCCCTCTATTCGCCTGCACATGCAATAAAACATTATTCTGTCTCCCAACACATACGAGCTTCCACACTAAACTATTTCACCAGAATCCCATTACTTAGGTTCTTCCAACACATAAACATAGCAAATTAGTCATAGATCGTTAAATAACATTACTCTTTGACTTCCAAAACATGATTCTGTTGCACATTTTAGCAAATTAGCTTAGTTGACATCCAGAGAAAGCAAATCTAATCACAGATCAGTATAGTGGTTAGCTTCCACAAAGCTTCACTTCTTCAGACTTGAAATGCTCATTAGCTTTAGCTCGTTAAAAAACATTACTCTTCGACTTCGAAAACAAGATTCTATCGTCTATTTTAAGCAGATTAGCTTACTTGACATCAAGAGAAAGCAAATCTAAAACCCTGATCCAGATTTTAACTTCCAGATCACATAGTTGTTGGTTTCCACCTAATAACATTACTCTTGACTTACAAAACATCGATTATATCATATATTTTTAGCACATTAGCTAATCTGGCGTCAAGAGAAAGCAGATCTAAATCCTGACCCGAACTTCTTCCAGGTCAGTATAGTTGTTTAGCTTCTAACAACCATTCACTTCTCCAGATTTGAAACTTCTCAATCATACATTACGATCAATCAAAATCAAACTTCATTAATATCAACCGAAGCATTTGAAACAATCTAGAATCCAAACTACTGCAATCTCAATCCAAATAACGAATCTATATCGAAACTAAGTGCTTAGCAATCAAAGAGGTAGAGAGAGAGAGAGAGAGAGAGAGAGAAGAGACAAACCACGCACTGTTGAACGCTGGACTGAAACTCTGATAAGATCTGAATATCTTCCGGGCGAAGAATACCTAATTTACGATTATTATCTGCGAGATGAAGAGAATCAAAATATAGTTAGGAGATGAAGTGTACGAATCGATCGAAGGAAAGTGAAAAAGGAAGATGACCTGCGAAGAAGGAAGATTGGATGGTGAAGAGGAGAACGGAGAAAACTGCGACGGCGCATAGGAGTTGGAGAATCGTTAGCTTGCGGCCACCTTGGTGATGAGATCTCATCGTCCTTCGACCATGAAAGAGCGTAACGAAGCAGTAGTACCCGCCGGATTCTCGTGAATACGACGCCGTTACGGGATCTGATCTGACGATTAAAAAGCGTAAAGAAAAGATCACGTGAGCGTCTCTTAAGATCACGTGAGTTTCTCCGTTTCTCGTATGATCAATAAAATAACCGGAGTCGGTTCAATTAAAATAATCTGAGTATCTTATTTAATCATATAAAAAATAATTCAATTATGCATTTGGGAGGATTTGAGTGTGAATCATGTTTTATATAGTAACATTGTATTTCAACTAAATACTTTTTACAAATAAGGTGCCATTCAAAATTATAAATACAACAAAATATTTGGATATTAGCAGTTGAGATGATTTCATGTACAAATTAAATACAATCAAAATCCAAAGTCCAACTATAATAAAAATCCACATAATGAAAAACTTGTTTCTGTATGACTACATAATTGGCATATCAATTAAAAATTTGTTTATACGTTGTAAATCATGTTTATATGATAGCTAGCATAGTATTTCAACTAAATGATCTTTACAGATGCGGTGTCATTCAAAACTATAAAAGATAAAAATATTTTTTTGATATTAATCTTTGCAGAGAAGATTATTTCATGTACAAACTATATCATCAAAATCCAATGTCCAAACTAAGATGATTATCTTTTTTTTTGTCAAGATGATAAAAGCCACATATTGGAAAACTTGTTTCTGTATTAACTACACAAGGCAAATTAATGAAAACTTGTTTCTGCATAAGCATATCAACAAGGGTTTACATGCTTACTATTAGGGATTACTATTATTACACAAACAAGAACAATACATCTTATGTGGAAGAAGAAAGCAAGAGTTTAGCGGTATTGTGTTCTTTCTCGACAAAAGGATGATCATCATCAACGGTACGATCATTTTCACAAGCTTGGTGTTCACTCAAGAACGAGCTGTCTCTTCCTTTGTTGGTTTCAGAATGTGTGCCGAAACTCGAGCTTCCGAATCCCGTTATCCGACCAAAGCTTTGCTTACGTTTGCTCTCTCTTTCATCCTTGAAAAACGACTCATCTTCAAGCAATCTTAGTACATTTTCGGCTACGTTTCGAACTTTTAGACCACAATCATCGATCCATTCAATCATCATAACATCTTCAATATTGTCCCTCTCATGCTGAAACTCGTTGAATAGACTTAGTGGTCCGTTGACTAACAAGTGGTTTAACATTGTCAACGTGTTGTACATCCCACGCCATTCCCTTCTATCAAACATTAACATTCTGAAGAAAAAAAATACCAATTATATATACACACTAACTGGTAACCATAAAATTTTGATGAGTTACCATAGTTTTATTAAATTAAATCAATTATATTTTTGATGAATTACAATATATCTAAATGGTTAAGATTAGTATAAGTATTGTGTAAAATATAAAAAAAAAATTCATATAATTCATATGATTACTGTAGTTGGTTTGGAGAAAAACTATGTAATAAATACGACCATTTTAGAAATAACAATATACGAAGTCTATAATAAAAACGCCAACATCATATATATATATATATATATATATATATAGTTTATGAGAAATAACATCATATATACCATGATCAAATTTCTTAGGTTGCTCTACTTGTGTGCGTGGTACGGTGGAATATTTATTTTGTATAAGTCATAGTGAAGCAAGAATAATAACCTTTGACGTAGAATCTTTACGATTCTTTGGAACTGATCAACTTCAAAAGAAGCTTTTGTTATGAGCCCCATGGAGCGAGCGTCTATTACCGAGAGTGCACTGCCCGTAACTTCTTCTATCAATCTTCAAAATTGAACAAATCCAGAGCGCATGGTTAAAGCAAAATCGATATAAAAACAGATGTACATAAAATAAATTCTTACAACTCTTCTTCAGTAACATCAGTTACGGCGAGACGAGCAGTCTTTATCTTCTCTTTGATGAAGAAAGAAGCTTGCTTCTTCAATTCATGGAACACTGGATTTTGGATAAGCTTAGACATCTTTTTTCTTTCTGCTCTATCAACAAACCAGATCAATCCCATATATTATATATAAACTTGTTATGGCTTCATTAGAATTGTAGTACGTAAGAAGAAATAACAACTCCACTACAACTAGAACAAAACCACACCTACTCCTTGCACGCCAAAGAGGTATTGATAAATGATAATAATAAAAATGGAGAGAGCAAGAAGAGACAAGAAAGTGAGACTGATATAGTAAAATTATATATTTTTGATTTATACAGTAAACAAAAACTTTCTTTCTAAAAAACATGTATAAAGATGTGTGAGAGAAAGACATGTCCTTTGCTCAAAGAGTTGTATCAATCAACTAAAATGTAGATTTGTTCAAAAATTAAAAATGACATGTGAAAGGTGCATCATTCAAAAAAAGTAAAAAAAAAAAAATGGTGTAAGAGGATGCATCAAAGAAAGACGCATCATTTTCTCAAACATTCGTACCAATGAAAATGTGAAGCTATGTAATACAAATGAACTCTTCTAGTATATATATATAGATGTAGCTGTAATAAGAGGGAAGCTATGTAATACATATGATCATTTTAGAATAAACGAATATATACATAGTTTTTTTGATGAATATAATGTGAAATAATATTCAAGCAAAAGACTGTATTACATCTGATCTGATGCTTCTATTTTTTGAAAAGTGTTTTCAAAGTTTTTTTTTTTTTGGTAAAAATGTAAAGATTTTCAAAGTTTAAATAGTGAAAAAATATTGAAGAACGAATTAAAGAATGTATTAACTATTTCAACTTAACGAAACCATGTTGCCCTTCGTAATTACGAAGCTTATAATACGATAATTGATATTCTTAACAATTTGCGTAGATGTATGTATATAAACGTCAATACCATATAAACAATATAGATTAATTTTCTTAGGTTGTTCTACTTGAATGCGTGGAATATGTTTGTTTTGTTTGGATCAAAATGAAGCAGTGACCTTTGACGTAGAATCTTTATAATTCTTTGGAACTGATCAACCTCAAAAGAAGCTCTTGTTTTTTTTTTTTGACTGATCAAAAGAAGCTCTTGTTATGACGGGCATGGAGCGTGCGTTTATTGACGAGACCGCACTGTCCGTAACTTCTTCTGTCAGTCTTCAAATTGTACAAATCCATAGCTGTTAAATGAATATCAGAATAGTATAAAATATGTGATAGTTTGATAAACATCCTCAATTCTCAAATAAATTAAATACTTGTATATGCTTAATTAATTTTCTGATTTTGATTCTCGTAAAATGTTTGATTCCAAAAACAAATTCAAAATGCAAACATTAACGCATTCAAAGTATTAAAACTAAAATATTTCAAGAAATATAATATAAACTAAAAAGCTTTATTAATTTTATTTATCAATATATATTAATAAGAAAATAAAATTAACATATGCCCTTTTATATCAGATGCCATAATCAACTCTGCATAACTTTATTAGCAAGGATGACTGCAATTGCATAGATGGATTTCTGCACCAGACAGGGTCTTACGGTTGTCACATTTACTACACTGATCAAAAGCTTGGTTCTTCGGACTCTTTTTCCTGAAATCTCTGAGGCAACCCGGTAATGCATCTTTTGCGCAATTTCCAGGAAATTTATTTCTGATGTGACACCGGTTAGCAGCTTTTGCTTCATAAACAAAGAAAAGAATGTTTATATATTAAATACTATCTTTTTTTGATAATGCATGAAACTGAAAATGAGGTTGATATCTCTATCTTTCGCTAATTATAAGTTATACAACCAATATTAACATATACCTTCAGGATAGCTCAAAACGAGCAACAGAACAACACAAGAAACAAGGAATACAATAGGAAATTTCATGGCTCAATATTTGATAAGAGATAACATAAAAATGATTTGCTTTCTTGTTAAAATAATTGTTCTCGGTGCTCATAATATATATAACAAATAAGATAAAAATAGTTTGTTTATTAAACTTGTAAAAAACATAAAAATAGAGTGTGGTCAACAAAATTAACGTGATTAACGTGTTTTCTTTCGGATGTTTATACTAATTTTAGAAATTACAAAATTATAATTGACTACGTAAATATGAAGATAAATGGAATAAACTTAAATTGTTCGTGGAATATGAATTCTAATCATTCTATTCATACACGAACCTATTTAATGTGGAACAAATGTAATAGATCTTCTAGAGGATTTATTTGTAAGTTTCATTCTAAAGTAAAAATGTGTGGAACTGATTTCAAAGGTTTTTTGTTCTAACTGGTAAAGAGTTTTGGAATTATATTGAACGATGTATTCCATATTCCATAAATTAGCATTCCATAACTGTGATAAGAAGGTATGTTTTGAATTAGTGTTAATGAAATGCGTATGTAACTACCTAAACACATGACTTGTAACGGCAGTAAAAGGACTCCATAACACTAGGACGAATGATTGACCATTGGACCACAATAAGATAAGTTACATATTTTGTATTAGATTCATAACATACTTATCTCAAGTACTAGTTTTGTTGGGTTCATATATAGTATGATATTATCTGATTTCAAAAAAGTTAATGGATGTTAGATGAGAACATTTACTTATATAATACTATAATAGTGTTGATATGAACATTTACTTCTCTGTCTATGTGAAATGCAAATTAGAGCTCCAAAATAGTTTTCCCGATAACAAGAGTTCTCCCTACCTGAGTCAATCAATCATCGTAATCCACCACACTCTTTCATTTTTATTGGTTGGAGAAATGTGAAGTAAAAGAGAAGAAGAACGGAACGAGAAGATTATTATTATTCGTGATCTTCTAAAGCTCCCTCCCACCGAACCGTCGTTGTATCAACTGTAATAAACTTGTAAGTATCTCTCTTCTCTCTACTGAGCTTGCAACTGCTGAGTTTCGTTGTTAGTCTTTTTTGACTTGAGCTTAGGTAATATGAAATGCTATTGATCTATAGTGTCATTGAAGCCCTTCTATACCTAATTTAAGTGAAAAGTTAATTACTCTTCTTAATTTCCCAATATAGATATGGAATTTATAAGCTGAGAGGTTTTCATTCCATTTCTACTAGTTTCTTCTTTTAAGTTATATACTAAGAATAATTGCTTAAATTGGTGCAGGGTTCTCAATATGTTTGCACCACTTTCTGGACCTTTGTTTGCATGTCGTATAGAGGGACTCAGTGAGTACCAGTACACTGAAATATATTTTGAAAAGCTTCTTTCCGTTGTAGTGGTCGATATCAAAATAGTAAAAAACATATGCGAGAAGCAATTTATGTATTTTGATAAGCAATCCCCAATTTTTAAATAAATTAAATATATTTATATGGTATCATGAAATTCCTCTGGAATCGATTCTCATAAAATGTTTAGTTCAGTAAACAAACCATCACCAATCATGGTTGAATGCATATCGTTTTTTAAAAAGTTTTCAGATTCAAACATAATGCCCTCAAAGTATCCAAACTAGAAATTTCAAACAAATATAACTTTAACTGAAAAAATTTATTAGTTTTATTTATATATATATATATATATATATATATTAATAAGAAAATAAATTAAAATAAGCAAGGGGTAGAGGACGGATAACTGCAATTACATTTTCGTTGTATTACACCATTTGGGGATTTATGGTTTTCACATTTACTACACTGATCAATAATGTGGGTCTTCTTAGTCTTTTTCTTGAAATCTCTGAGGCAAGTCTGTATTCCATCATTTCCGCATTTTCCAGGTAAATCCTCTCTAACGTGACACCTGATGGGAGCAGCTTTTGCTTCTCCTGTTTTATAGCAACAAAGAAAATAAACTATTTATAATAAATAACACAGTTTAGGTTTTCTTTCGATAATGCAGTAAATTGAAAATTAAATTATTATTTCTCTTTTCATAAATTATTGATTAGTCACTACACGAGTATTGATATATACCTTCAGGATAGCTCAAAACAAGCAACAAAATAACACAAGAAACAACGAATGGAATATAAGACTTCATGGCTCAATATATGAGATAGCATAAACAATGATTTCTTTTCTTGTTAAAATTGTTCCTAAAGCTCATAATATATATACCACAAATAAACTAAAAATAGTTGGTTTCATTAAATTTGTGAAAAATAGAATAATAGAGCAAGGTCAACGAAATTAGCGTGATCAGAAAAAATAGAGCGAGGTCAACGAAATTAACGTGATCAGCCAATTTCATATATTTACACTAATTTTGGGAATTTCAAAATCATAATTGACTATGACAATATGAAGATGAAGAAATTTAATTTATGAAGATTATTTTCGTGAAGAAAGTTTTTTATGTTGTCATGTATATTTAAAAATTACTATTATTATAAATATATAATTTACTATTATTTAAATTAGGTATAATAGTAATTCAATAAACTCAACTTGTTTTTATAAAATTAAATTATAAATGCAGAAAATGTTTTAAAAAACATTTTTCTCTCAAAAACCTTCATAGATCTAACCGTAAATAAAGTAAAACTATGTAATACATACGACCATGTTAGAAAGTTTATTATTAAGTTGTCTACTTGAGTGTGTGGAATGTTTGTTTTGTTTGAATAAAAGTGAAGCAAAAGTTAATAACCTTTGACGTACGTAGAATCTTTATGATTCTTTGGAACTGATCAACCTCAAAAGAAGCTTATGACACCATGGAGCGTGCGTTTATCTAACATCAGTTACGACGAGGGGAGCAGTCTTGATCTTTTCCTTGATGATGAAAGAAAATGGTTGCACCTTATCTATCAAAACATTCATATTGAGTAAACCAAAACCACCTCAAACCCCAAACAATAGATTAGTCCTATAAATATGCAATCTCTACAACCATATATACAAAAATGATCCTCACGACTGTATAGGGTCAATCCAATGTAGAAGAGTTAAATGCTGATATGTAGTGTCTGAACTATACAAACACTTGTAGTAGTAGACATGGAGCGTTACTGTTGCAACCTAAATGTGTCGTTAAAGGAAGACGTTAAATGTTTGAGCTTATATATTTTACTTATTTTATCTTCTTTTTTTTTTGTGATCTTACTAGTCGTATGGATTGTGAGTTACATAAATGTAATTGTTTGATCTGTAGATAATGCAAAATTATGTTAAAGTGTATCGTTTTTTTTTGGGGTTCAAAGTCATGTTAAAGTGTATAAATGAAAACTAGATTTTTGAGCGCAAATTTTATTTTTGTTGTTTTATTTATAGAGGAATCGATAAGTTTTTTGCTTTGATGATATAAAATGTCACAGAATCAAGATCAAATTACCATGTGGGTATAAAGAAGTTTTTATTTCACAATGTCTTAGACAATTTTTTTATATTTCTAAATATATTAACAATAGTTGTACCTCAAATTTGTACTTTAGAAAGATTGAATATTTAACAATTAAATGATCCATTTTTTTAATTTTGTGATTAATTCATAAAATTATTTAGTTACAAAATGTCACTATCTAATATAACTTTTAAAAATTAATGCAGATTTTTTAATTTATTATTATCATTAATATTTATGTAAATGTATTGTATATTATTGTGTAGTTTTATTTGGAAAAATCCCTTTCTTATTAATAGAGGAGCAATTTAAAAAAGAAACCTTTATTGTGTAAGTTATTTACAAGGGTGCCATACTGAGGTGGCAACACCACAATCACTCTCAGCCTACATATTAAACTATCCATTCTTCACTAGAATATTTACATCAAATGCCATTACCATCCAAAAATATCATTGGCTCTTTTCTATCAACATTACCTTATATTAAAGATAACATAAAGGAGTACTCTCCTCTCAAAGGAGTCATACGTAATAGTTCACATTCGCTTGCACTATGTCCACACCCTCCCCTCATACGTCCATGTGTTGCAGCAGAATATAACAAAATGTTTCTATGAGAGACTATTTTGTCACACATAATATAAGAAAATGATATCTATACGAAAAAAGACTATACAAGACCATTTAACAATTTTGGCCAAACACATGAACTGGTAAAATCTAAAAAACTCACACTCATATGAACTTTAGTAACATTTTTGTTCCAAAATGATTAATCTATTGTAATGGCTACGTCTTCATCATGATGTTTTATATTTTGATACGGTTCAGTTTACGAATAACACTGCCACGCTTGCTGTGTATGACATGAACTTGATGAAATTCAAATTATGTAGATAATGGTTTGAACCGCAAACCGAAACGGTATGATTTAGACCAGCTGATTTGAATTTGCAAAACAATTGTATGTCAGTTTCTGAGTATTTAGATAAGAATGTACCTAGCCGTATAACTGACCTATATACGTTCCTTAAATACAATTTATGTGGCCATTTTTATTTTAGGTTAGTATATAGTATATAGTTTTGACTATATTAATTATTTACATTTCATTGTTTCCCTTTTATTTGGTGAAAATTTATGGTGATTCCGCAAGTTAATAGTACATTTGTAGAGAATATTGTATCACTGACCTATATATGGTAAATATAGAATACATTATGCGTAGATTCGAGAGTGATTGGCAAATTAACTTTATTCTATTAATTGCCTTACATTACGCATATATTCTCCTTAATTCTCTGTTTTCCTCCTATATAAGCCAACTCTGATACCAAAGTTGTACTAGAATTTGAATCAGTAATATAAAATCTTACCCGATAGTTTTGCCTCATATAAACACTAATAGTTCTGCTACGCCTATCTCTGCAACGTCGTTTTTTCTTATCTTGTGATTCACCAAAAGCCATCAGCTATGCTTCATTGATGCCAGTTTAAAAAACATCAGTGGCTGTAAATCATCTGTCCACCACCTTAATAAAGATGAATTTAAGAGGAAATTAGTACCGTAAGTAATACGGAGATCAGCAAGTATCTAGCAGGTAATTATTCCTATACGAAATATAAATATTTTTACCTTTTTGGTTATGAATGAAAGAAAACGGACTGGAAAAAGGACATGCACCGAACTCTAACACATCAATTTTGCGACTTTATATAAGTTTAAGATTTTTCGGAAGTTGACAGTTTTTTTTAGCAAGATAACAATTGAACCGAGAAACAGAACTGAATATGAGATATAAAGAAAGAAGAAGCGGGTTGGTATACATCTCAGAAGACTGAGTGAAGCGAACAAATTGAAGTTTGTCGAAGAACCCTAATCCCCTTTTCTTTAAGTGTTCAATTTTTTATTTTATTTTTAGCAATTTTTTTTTCTTGCCGACAAATGATAAGCTAATAGATTAGAGCTACTAACATATTTTTTTGACAGATAAGGGCCACTAATTTGTAAACGGGCCAAAACCCATCTATTATATTGAGCCTGTATACAATACCTATGAAAAGTTAATGTCCTAATCAAAAGAATCACATCTAAAAATTGATGCATAAACTTTTGACCAAAAAAATAATGCATAAACTAAATCTTTTTCAGTTTTTCGTATTATGCCCATAGTTTAAATATTACATATAATATATGTTTTCTACGATTAGAAGATACAAAACTATGCAAGAAAATGTAGAGTAAACTGAAATATTTTTAATAATATTCTTCACCACGTGCATAGCACGGGTCTCTATCTAGTTATTATTAATTAACTACGCCTGATGTTGGGAAGTGGGTCAAACTCGCTCCGTCCAACCCGTTCTGCAGCAGATTGAATCATTTTACGACTTAAAAATTTGACCCGTTTGACCCACAAAAAAAATATATTTTTGCAAGAAATATTTTATAAAATTTAAATGAGAATCAACCTATTAATGAAAATCTATTATTTATATAGTTTTTAGTCCCACATAAGAATGACTAAATTGCCATTAATGATAAATTAAATTTGTATATAAGAATAAGGTGTAAGAGACATCCATGGCCGGTCTATGTCAATCGGAGATTCTAAGCGAGTTTAAAATAAATTGCCCCTTACTATCAACTTTTTATATGATTATTCACAAAGAAAAGCAGAGTTATCTTTCATCAAAAAGTAAACAAGCAAAACATAATGCAATTTTATAAAGAAGAAAAAGAATTTCAATAAGAGACTGAACTGTGAAGAAAAATAAGAGCTATTGAGATCTTTTTTTTAGAAAAAAAAAATAGAAGCAAGACACAAAAGATTATTTCAGTTTTGGATTTAAAATCTGAATTCTAACTTAAAAGACTTTAGAACCTAACCCAAAAAATAAAATGTAGCCAAATATTTAAAATTTAACTTAAAAAAGAAAACTAAAAATCAAACCCAAAATTCTAAGCGGTCATTTCCTTTGATTCCTCCACGGTTTGGATGCATCAACGAAAGACACATCATATGCTCAAACTACTGTATCAATTAATGCATTGTTCAGAAATGAAAGGAGACGTGTGAAAAAGTATATTGCTCAAAAAATTAAAAGGCTTGTAAATGGGTGCGTCGAAGAAAGACATGTCAACATCCCAACTACACTAAGTTTCACAATGTGATAATGTGTCTTTAATTTTATGAAAGACTTGTATGACTCTGTTATGATTTGACTGAAGAAACGAAGTGATTTGTTCGATAATATGACAGATGCTTTTGTTTGTCTAATAGCCTAACATGGATATATAGCAATCCAGCAGCACAAAGCCATGTTGCATCTGTTGGAGGATTTGCTTAGACATTTCCCGATCTACTTCATCTTCTTCATCACTTATGCTTCATCTTTTTAAAGGAGCAACTATTCTTGTCGTGCATAAAGAGGCTCTACACACTATTATCTGAGTCTTGTTATTTTCTTACCATACATTGCATTTTTTTTTCTCGGAATCAGCTTTAGTTACATATATTAAAAAGATAAGTATTTGTAATAAATATTTTTACACACTAATTGACACATGACGACTTGACAATCATTTGAAAATTAAAATGCTAACGTGACAATTTTATAATCATTTTAAAATTAATATGTTCACATACAATTTAATTGTGTCATACACTATTTTTTTTTTTTTTGTAATCAGCTCATTTGTAGTTCATCCAAGTTTAATCTTTATTTTAGTGAATTGAAGTTCCCACCGTACAACTATTGAATAATATCATTTGAATAATAGTATAAAATTTGATATCAGTTGACCAAAATATTGAAATCATATTATTTCGCATGAGTTTTGCGCCGATCTAACATTTTATATTGTCTTAAGCTAGATTTGTAAACTATGTGCTTATATATTTTATCCAAAATTACAAAACAATTAAATAAAAATAAAATTTTCATAAAAAATAATTTTATAAATTTTTGTAATAACACTAAATTTAAAGCACTAAAATATAGTTTTCTTGTTTTGTTTTTTGAAAATTCATTCATTAACTCATGTAATAAAATATTTTAATCATAGATTTATTTAATGATAACAAATAAAAACCAATTAATCACTTGTGACACATTAGACTACATGTAATTATTTATCAGTTTCAGTTTTAAAGAACTTCTTTTAGTGTAGTAATCGATATCAGAATAGTATAAAATATGTGAGAAGCAATTTATGTATCTCGATAAAAATCCTAAATTTTCAAATAAATTAAATACTTGTAAATGCTTAATAATTTTTCTGATTTTGATTCTCGTAAAATGTTTGATTCCATAAACAAACCATAACCAATCATGCTTGAATGCATATTGTTAAAAAAAAAAATCAAATTCAAACATTAACGCATTCAAAGTATTAAAACTAAAATATTTCAAGAAATATATTATTAACTAAAAAGTTTTATTAGATTATTTATCTATATATATTAATAAGAAAATTAAATTAAATTATGCCTTTTATATCAGATGGGCTAATCAACTCTGCATAATTTTATTAGCAAGGATGACTACAATTGCATATATGGACTTCTTCACGGGGAGGGTTCTCACATTTACTACACTGATCAATAATTGGATTCCTGTGCTTGAAATCTCTGAGGCAACCCTGTATTGCATCTTTTGCGCATTTTCCAAGAAATCTCTTTCTGATGTGACACCGCTTAGGAACAGCTTTTGCTTCATGAACAAAAAAAAATGTTCATATAATAAATAATAATTTATGTTTGATAATGCATGAATTACTGACAATGGGTTGATATATACCTTCAGGATAGCTCAAAACGAACAACAAAACAACACAAGAAACAAGGAATAAAATAGAAAATTTCATGGCTCAATATACGATAAGAGATAACATAAAATGATTTGCTTTCTTGTTAAAATATTTGTTCACAATGCTCATATATGTATATATATATATAACAAATGATAAAAATAGTTTGCTTTATTAAACTTGTAAAAATATATAAAAATAGAGTGTGGTCAACGAAATTAACGTGATTAGCGATTTTTCATATTTTTATACTAATTTTAGAATTTACAAAATTATAATTGACTACGTAAATATGAAGATAATTGGAATAAACTAATATTGTTGGTGGAATATGATTAGCGATTTTTTTTTTTAATATGAATTCTAATCATTCCATTTATGCACGAACCTATGTAATGTGGAACAAATGTAATAGATTTTGTAGAGGATCTATTTTTACGTCTCATTTTAAAGTTAAAATATGTGGAATTGATTTCAAAGGTTTTTGTTGTAATGGGTAAAGAGTTTTAGAATTATATGGAACGATGTATTCCATATTCCATAAATTAGCATTCCATAAGTGTGATAAGAAGCAGGTCTTGCAGCGGGACTTAGTGAGTACCACCGAGGATCCAAAAATGTTTTTAATTGAGGCACAATATATTTCTAAATGAATAATTTTAATCAAAATTATAGATAATATATAATAAGAACAATTAACAAAATTAAGCTTAAAGTATTATACTACATTTAAATCTGATACCATGACATTATAAACAAAACTACTCTAGAACTATTTTGGATTTTAAAATTTTGATTTTAATAATTCTTTTTTTTTTCAGAAATTAATTTAGCTGTACTATTATCTAAATAGTTTATCGGAAAGTATAAAATATTTTTGAAACTAATGATGTGTATATTTCTATATATTATTTGAGAAATCAATTTTTTTACGTGTCGCGTTCACTTTAACTCTCGCGATGGTTAATTACATAGATATACTTAATAACTGTTACATTTAAAGATTATTATTATTTTTTAGTTTATTTTTTACTTTTTTCTTCTAAATAACATATATAATAAACTTAAACATTTATAAAGTTTTAAAACAAAAATTGTTGATTACATAGATACTCTTAATGGATTGTTACATTTAAATATTACGGTTTTAATTTCTTTTTTTTTACTTTTTTCTCCAAATAACATATATAATAAAAATTAAAAAATTATAAAGTTTTAAGAGAAATTTTAAAACGAAAATATATGTATATAATATGATTTTATTAAAAGGGAGAGTTCACAAAATAATAATATTCTCTTTAATACATATTTTAAATAACATAAAATACTTTTTCAAAGTAATAGAAATACATATGTTCATGAACATCCAAAAATTTATCAGTTACACTTTATTTTCTAATATATTTTTTTTTGAAATCAACATATAATTTCTAAATACTATGAAAACACATGTATATTTAAGCGATAAATAAAACTAATTTATTTTGATTTAACTAAAATAGTAATTATACTTCAGTGTTAATTTAAAAATATATTTAACTCAATATATTTACAACATGAATGACTCGTCTAATCCGGTTTATATCCAAAATTAAAGATCTAACTACAATAAGACTGTATACTTTTATAATAATAATAATCTATATATTTGTATACATATAAATTACATGATGACTCAAAACATATTAAAAAGAAAAATAAAATATTAACCAATTGCACTTTAGCTATTTTGTAGAATTTATATATATGCATGAGATTTCAAAATATTATCGTCATATTCATTGATGTAATTTTGAATCAAACACTTCAACTTATTATTTATATCATTTTAAGCGTAATATATATTAAGTTGTACAAAATCTAACTATAAATTATTTAAATATCTAAGAAATAACCAACCTAAATGAAAATAAGAAAATTAATCAAATTTTATTATATTTAAAATAAAAAATATTATAGTTGTATTGGAAAATTAGATGTTATCTAATATACCGAATTGATAACTAAATTTACTATTGATACAAAAATAATCAAACCTACTATAATATACCAAAATCATATATCTAGTTAGAATAATATAATATTTATTAATATAAGTTATACATATAAATTGATTCAAAATTAAACTAAATATCAATCAATTATTATAAAATTATAATTTTATAAATATTCATATCCGTGCATGAGCAGAGGAGATTTACCTAGTAACGAAAGAAGTGTCAGATAGATTGTTAACTGAGTTGTTTCTAAAAAATGATAGATTGCTTAAATGAAATGGAAAAGAAGATAAGTGTTAGTTAGAACAACAAACAAGGATAAAAGGACATAGACATGTGATATAAATGAAATCAGTAATAAATTAAATGTAGGAAAAAAAACTGTCTTTTAATTTGGTTATACATTAAGACCATAATTAACCCGGTCTCTTAACTGGTATTATTAGCTTTGGTTAATAGATGATTTTTTTTTTTAAATTTAACTAAAAAAAACTAAGAACCGTCTCTTAGATAAGAAATATAAGAGCATTATTAACCCATGGTTCTTATGATGGGGTTCTTAGCGGAAGTTAATAAACTGTTTCTTAACTTTTAACTAAAAACGCTAAGAACCGGTTCTTAATGAAGGACTTTAAGAAATATAAGAGCATGATTAACCCATGGTTCTTATTTTTCTTTTTGTTAAATTCTCCTACTCGAACCCTAAAGCCAATCTGCAGCTGCCAAATGGCACTTAAGGACGCCCACAGAAACTTCTTAACTAAGGTCCGTTTGTAAGCATTTTCATTGTTTTGATTTATTTTTCGACCCAAAAACATTAAGATATGGGCCAAAGAAGTGCCGATAATGTTGTTTTAAGAACCGTCTTTTTAGTCAAAAATTATAAAAAATGTTAAATCATGAGTTAAGAACTTGGCTAAGAAACCAGAGTTAATCATGCTCTAAATAAGACATGAGAATATAAAGTAAAAGGAAAAAATAAGAGAAAAAGGGTAAAATAAAAGTTGATAGTAGGGACATCAAACCTTGCTCCAAAACTTAATGGGGGCACTATAAACCACCGAGCTACTTGACTCATATTGTTAAGCCATTACACAAAATGTTTATAAAAGTAGTAGAGGGAAAGTGACCCCGTAGCTATAGACGTGCATCCGCCCCTGGTACCACCTTCCTCCTCCTCTTTCTTGTCCTCTCTTTGTTTCCGTTTTTGATTTCATTGTTAATTTTTGTATTTTGGTACCGTTTTACAGTCGTGAATTCACTCACCATGATAAGTAGCTGTATCAATGTCGAAGTTTACTTCTCAATAACTTGAACTACTTCAAAATGGTGGTGACCAGGTAAGTATTGATGCTAACATTCTAATTTTTTTTCTCAATTTTTGTTTTTCGGGATTTGTAGCTCATTAGAATTTCCTATTGTCCGCGTACTTCCCAATCTAACATTGATCAAATACCATTTGAAACCACAAACTGTAGAGGTTGTTGCATTTTCCCTTATTATGTCAGTACGTATTTTTTATGAAACTCTTCACTGATGATGTATGAGTTGAAACAGTAACATCTATGAAAAGCTCGTTCTTCTTAGCAAGACGCCGTATGAGTTCTATGTGAGTCTGAAAAATAAGTTGTCGGAGAGGTTATGTGGCCAGAGAGCTTGCCGAGAAGGACTTGGAGTCACGTTCATAGATAATACATGCATCGTCATATTATTTTACTTTTGTCGAATAATTTTTCATATTATTGCGAGTTTTTGATTGTGGAATAAAAAAAAGCAAAAAAAAAAAGTGATTGAAGAGAATACTGTTTTAATCAAAATAAACAAGTAACTAAAATGCCATCTATTACTACTATTATTTTAGTGTAAGCGAGTAGCTAGCCACACATCAATCAAATGAGACTGAAACCCTAAGCACCATGCTAATCACCCCTAAATTGAGAAAAATAGTTGCACCTTATCAATCAAAAACATTCATACTGAGTAAACCAAAACCATCAATCCCCAAACAATAGATCAGACCTATGAAACATGCAATTTCTACAACCGTATACTAAAATGATCCTCATGACTATATTGGGTTCATGAAAAGTTTGAGACACTGCAATGTACGTAGAAGAGTTAAATGCAAGACGTTAAATGTTTGAGCTCATATATGTTACTTGTTAATCTTTTTTGTGATCTTACTAGTCGTATGGATTTTGAGTTACATAAATGTAACCGGTTGATTTATTTGTTGAAAAAAATAATGCAATTGTTGGGATTGTGAAAGCCCATGTCCAATTTTATCTTTTCTTATTAGTACGATATTGTCCACTTTGGGCCTGATAGACAAATCCGCATGGATTTACTTTTGGTTTCCTTTCCAAAAGGCCTCGTACTATTAGAGTTGGACATCTCTTTATATATTAGACTCTCCTTGTCTAATTCTCCAATGTGGGACTTAGTTTGTTATCTCACAGCAAAATCATGAAAAAAGGATGCATTTGTTGAATTTTTGGTGCTTTGGAATTGTATTATCTGGATCAAAGTCTCTATGCTAATAATCGTTGGCTTCTTTGTTAAGAATGTGCCATTTCATTAATTCACACTTATACCCTTTTCGCTGCGTAAAAAGTTTCCCAACGTGTGGGTCCCCACGCCACGTGTCACATTCCCTCTTTCGCTCCATCGTCATTGGATAATCTAACAAAAAAAAAGTCAACACAGTGGCATAATCGTAAATCCACAGTCCACTCCTTCCTTTTTCCCTCGCCGGCTAAAGTCTCCGTCGTCACTTTTTCTCACTTCCCTTCACCAAATCGAAGAATCTCACAACGAAAACGATGAAGCACATCTTCAAGAAGCTACACAGAGGCGGCAATCAAGATCAGCAGAATCGAACCAACGATGCAGCATCTCCACCGTCGGATCAAAACCGGATACAAACCGCCTCGAATCCTCAATCATCATCCTCATCGGAGACCGTAACCGCTTCTCCGACTCCAATCTCCGCAACTAACCGCTCCGATTACATATCCTCAGAGGAGGAGTACCAAGTCCAGCTAGCCCTAGCGATCAGCGCTTCGAACTCGCAGCCCGGTGACGATCCTGAGAAGCATCAGATCCGAGCCGCGACGCTTCTGAGCTTAGGAAGCCATCATCGGATGGAATCGAGGAGAGATTCGTCGGAGGTTATCGCGCAGAGGCTATCGAGACAGTACTGGGTAAGGTCTTCTCATCTTCTCTCTATTTGCACTGAGTAACGATAACGAATCTGTTATTTAATGCTTATTCATAGGAATATGGTGTGCTTGACTATGAGGAGAAGATCGTAGATGGATTCTACGATGTTTACAGTTTATCAGGGAAGCAGGGAGATATGCCGTCGTTAGAGGATCTTGAGAGTAATCGTGGGACACGTGGATTTGAAGCTGTGGTTGTGAATCGTCCAGTTGATACTTCTCTGGATGAGTTGTTGCAGGTTGCACAGTGCATTGCGCAGGATTGTTGTTCTAATAGTGTTAATGTGTTGGTGGAGAGGCTGGCTGAGCTTGTCACAGGGCATATGGGTGGATCTGCGGAGGATTCGAGTATTGTGTTGGCGAGGTGGACTGAGAAAAGTAGTGAGTATAAGGCTGCGGTGAATACTTGTGTATTCCCTCTTGGATTTGTGAATATTGGTCTCTCTAGGCATCGTGCTCTGCTTTTCAAGGTTATCTTCCAAACGCCTCTTCTTTGGATTTAGTTTGTTTTTTCTTAAGTATGAAGAGAAGCTTATAACATGATTAGATGTATTCATAACATCATTACGCTTAGGTCATGATTAAGCACTCGAGATATAAAGAGATAAATAGTTTCTAAAAGTGTAACTTTTCGAGATGGTTTGTTGTATGTATAGGTACTTTTTACATAGCGAATGCCTTGTGATGTGAATTGAATATCGAAATGGTTTGTTGTACATATAGATATCTTTTTTATTTCATTGAGTTTCACCCTCTTGCATTGGAATCTAGCCTATTAGTGACTGGAGGTATCTGTGCTGCGTTAATCTCAGCTTACTTGTGTTTAGAAAATCTGAGTTAGTTGATTCTCTTCTGCCTTGTTTGAATGAGACATTTACAGCCTCTTTTTTCGCACCTAAGCAGATTCTTTTGCTTCTCATGATGATATATCTTGTTTGATAGAAATTAATTCGTGGGCAGTTTACTTCTCCCAATGTAGGTTTTGGCAGATAGTGTCCAGTTACCTTGTAGGTTGGTAAAAGGTAGCCATTACACGGGGAACGAGGATGATGCTGTGAACACAATAAGACTTGAAGATAATAGGTTCTTTCTTATTCTTCTCACTATGATTCCGGTAGTTCTTTCTTTGTATTTTTTTGCAAAGTTGTAACATATCTTACCTCCTTTCAGAGAGTACTTGGTCGATCTTATGACAGATCCTGGGACGCTTATACCTGCTGATATTGCAATTGAGCCAAATAACTCACATGCAAACAAGCTTCCCACTGCTCAGTTGTCAGATGACTTTCGGCACTCAGCGCCAAAACTGTCAGAAGGTGAAGGCAGTAGTCAGAATTCTATAGCTGAAAATAACTCTTCTATAAATAGAAATCCAGAGTCTGAAATCAGGAATTCAGATTTGAGAGCTTCACCTTCTAGCGTACCTAGTTCGAGTCAGTTGGAGAACATGTCCTTGAATACAGCTGCAAAGGGGAGTCGAGGAGCCATAAATGATAGTTCAAGAACGAATGTGAATATAGTTCCATACAATCAGAACACTGCGGAAGACCCAAAAAACCTTTTCGCAGACCTTAACCCGTTTCAGAATAAGGGAACTGACAAGCTGTTCATGCCCACTAAATCAGGTTTGAATAATGTTGATAATTTTCATCAACCGAAAAATAATCCTCTGGTTGGTAAATCTCCTGCGCCAATGATGTGGAAGAATTATAGTTGCAATGAAGCCCCGAAGCGGAAGGAGAATAGTTATATGGAAAACATTCTCCCGAAACTCCACCGTGACCCTCGTTATGGAAACAATAATTCCTCAAACGCTACCTCAAGCTCCGGTGTAGCGGGTTCGTCAAATATGCCTGGCAGAAACAATTCTACTTTTGTGTCACCAGTTGCTGCACCACCACCCTTCACGTCCAATGGAAATCAGTTCACACCAAGTATGGTGGAGGATGTGAATAGAAACACCAACAATGAACTAGATCTTCAGCCTAATGCTGTTGTTGGGGTACATGGACACCATAAGGATGAACCTAACGCTGACGATCATAGAAAGTACACAAGTGATGACATATCTACTGGGTCTGATCCGAGGCTTAAGGATCATGAAAGTACAAGTTCCTCTCTTGATTCCACATCCTACCGGAATGATCCTCAAGTTCTTGATGATGCTGATGTTGGTGAATGTGAAATCCCTTGGAAGGATCTTGTGATTGGGGAGAGAATAGGATTAGGTAATGAGGCCTTCCAGTTATTTTCTTGAACGTTCGAAATATTAGTCTAGCTTTTTGGGATAGCTATATATTAGGAGAATGTTTTTCCCGCATTCCCCCTTTCTACCATCCACCATTGCTTATTACTAGGGATAGCCATGTCATAATACTTCAGGTAACATATAGCCATGTTCTAATGTTTCTTGTGTTTTGGTTAGGGTCCTATGGGGAGGTTTATAATGCTGACTGGAATGGCACGGTTAGTTTTTGCAGAACCTTATGTTAGACTTCATAAAATTGCTATTGCAGTGACTTGTATTTGTTATTTTTCCCAGAACCTGCTCTAAGTTGGTTCAAATTGGTTATTGTCTGGAAGATTTAAGAATGTGTTAAATGACGTGACTTCAAACTAAATGCAGCGCCTAGATACGTGTGTGGTCTTTTAAACACTCAAAGTACTGATTGTGTTCTTTAAGTAAATAGTGTTTGAAAAGCACTTTTAGATAAGCTTGTTTGATCACCAATTCATCAGGGCTTCCATGGCATCGTCTTGTGCTATCTCATCAGTATTAGCTGTTGAGTTTGTTTGGCTTTGATAATTTTCCTTATTTAAAATAACTCTGTCCGTGCTGTAATATCTCATTTTTTTTATTCGAGAAGTGGAATGCTTCAACTTTGTTTGTTGTGGTTAAATTCAGGAAGTTGCTGTCAAGAAATTTCTGGACCAGGACTTCTCAGGTGCTGCTTTGGCCGAGTTCAGAAGAGAAGTAAGGCATAAGTTCCCTTGCATTTGTTTATTAGTATTCATAACCGCTAGTGCTTACGATACTAAATTATGTAAAAACACCTCATCACAAGAGGACCAATCCAGGAAAGGAATAGCTTACCTTAATTATGATCTCACTTCGTAACCTAAGTATCTGGCGAGAATAATCAAATGACACTAGTAACTTTGTGTGGTCTATTTCATATTTGTTACATAACTCCGCAAATGTTGGCAGAACGGTGTAGAATTCATATTAGTAAGCGAGCCCTTGAATCTTGTTCATAAATTTATCATAGTAAATTGTTGAAGTCAGGGTTTTCTCCCGAAGTAGACTACAACTTTATATTTTTGGTTGAACCTTAGTGGCCTATGCGGCCGGTGCATATATATTTTCCTTTCAGTTCTCACTTTTATTAATGTTTCCTTATCTAAAGGTACGCATTATGCGAAGATTGCGACATCCAAATGTTGTTTTCTTCCTTGGGGCAGTTACTCGTCCTCCGAACCTTTCCATTGTCACAGAGTTTCTGCCAAGGTTTGCCCCATCGTCTTGCTATGAAAATCTGTTGCATCTGAGACTTTTGAGCCTCTATATTTATTTATTTTCTTTACAGAGGAAGTTTGTATCGCATTCTTCATCGTCCGAAGTCTCAGATTGACGAGCGGCGCAGGATTAAAATGGCTCTTGATGTGGTAGAAAATAGATCCATCTATCAATATTACAAGACCCCTTAGCTTATTCCTTGAATATAGTCACTGAATTTCAGACCACTGTTAATTTCCAGGCAATGGGTATGAATTGCTTACACACGAGCACACCAACAATTGTTCATCGTGATTTAAAAACACCAAACCTTTTGGTTGATAATAACTGGAATGTTAAGGTACTTAATTTTTTTTTTCTAAGCTGACCAACTAAAAGGCTTGTTTGCTCTGATGTTGGATTATTGAATATTGTTTTCGTTTATCTCACTAATCTTGCAGGTCGGTGATTTTGGGTTGTCTCGATTAAAGCACAATACTTTCTTGTCCTCAAAATCAACTGCGGGAACGGTGAGATTACAGAAACTCTTTTATCCCACTAAGTTTCCAGCTCCTTTTCTGATGATAAGCGTTTTGAATTTTGGTAGCCCGAATGGATGGCTCCAGAGGTTCTACGCAATGAGCCCTCAAATGAAAAGTGAGTAGCTTAGAAGCTCAGTTTTTGTCATTGGCTCTACCACAAAAGTTATGCTCTTACTTTGATCTTTTCCAAGGAGAATGTAATACAAAAACATGGTGGGCTTCGTTGTTTCGCAGGTGTGATGTGTACAGCTTTGGGGTGATTCTATGGGAACTAGCAACATTGAGATTGCCATGGAGAGGAATGAACCCAATGCAAGTAGTAGGAGCAGTAGGTTTCCAGAATCGAAGGCTGGAGATACCAAAGGAACTTGATCCAGTGGTGGGAAGGATCATCTTGGAATGTTGGCAAACGTAAGTAGTGAAAACCAAACTCAAAAACAGATGTGACAAAAAAGTAACTCATTTGTTTGGTTTGTGTGTGTTGGGGCAGGGATCCGAATCTGAGGCCGTCGTTTGCTCAGCTGACGGAAGTGCTGAAGCCTTTGAACAGGCTCGTACTTCCTTCACCACAGTAGTTTTCCAACTGTGAATATACGAAAGACACGGCTAATCATAATATACAATTGTGCCTCCTCTTATAAAATCATCAGCCTAAATTTTGAGGAATGTAAATGAAATCACTTAACTATATATATATATTGTGTTGGGTGTATTTGTTATAGAAAAAGCCGCGATGCTGTGCTTATTATTTTTTTTGGGTTATATGCTTGGTCTCCTCCTCACAATAAAAAGCTTCTCGCTCAGAAGCCAAAACTTTTCTATCAAGCTCATCAAGACTAATATAATCCGGTTTATTGATCGTAAAATTTAGTTACATTGTTCGATTTTTGTCCGGTTTATAGTGTGTATTTTGATCAAAGACAAGTTCGTGAGTTCTCTTCCACTTATCTTTTTGCCCCACTCGGAAAACCCATTGTCGATCTTCACAAAGATGAATCTTGTTGTACTGTTAGTAATGCTTCTGAACTACACGTTTGGCTTCTTAACTTCTGTTTTGACAATGTAATGACTAGCTCAGATTCAAGGAGCTGATGATAATGGTTGATACTTGCCAAGCTGCCACTCTTTTTAACCAGGTACATCTTAGTGTCACCTTATCTGCAAGCTTGTTCTTAGCAGTTTACTCCAATTTATGTTTTATTATGTATGAAAATTGACATCTAATCTTATCATTTTTGGATTACCCTCTCTTACATTTTTCTTAACAATTGATTTCATAGCTTCAATCTCCTGGTGTTTTGGCAATTGGTAGCAGTCTTAAAGGAGAGAACTCATACTCTCATCACTTGGACTCAGATGTAAGTGCTCTTCATTATTTCATGAATTGGAAAGTACAATACGATATTATGGGGGCAATTATTTAATAGACTCGTCTTCTTCTTTTTATCATTGTTTTTTTGCTTCAGATTGGGGTATCTGTTGTAGATCGGTTTACATATTACACTCTTGCCTTCTTTGAGAGGCTCAACATATATATGACAATGCATCACTTAACAGGTACCATATCTGACCAACGTTTTACTGTGTCTGAGTTGTAAACGGGTTATATGTGTCTACACTTATTTAACATTGCTAAAACTGATACGCCTTTTTAGCCGAACTCTCTGCTCTACAAACATCCAGTTTACCACTTGTTGTGCAGTTTGTTTAGGTCCTATGATCCGAGACAGCTCATGTCTACTGCTTACTACCGAACTGATCTTTACCAGCCAAAACTAACGGAGGTAAGGAGGATACTGATTGTGCAATGCCTCTGTTTAACCAAACCTTAATTTTAGTTGCTTGTTCCATCTTTGATGAACTATCTCTGTCTTGAGATGATTGATGTACTCATTCTTCAACTTCACTTATTATGGGTTTTCATTTAGGTATCGGTCACAAATTTGCTTCGGTTCAGTTATGGAGACCATTCATACTGATTCAGCTTACGAAGCCTTCTCAAGTAGAATCTCAGATAGTAAGATCAAATCAGACATGCTACTCAATAGGCTTAATTTCTGAGCAAGATCTTAAAGAAGATATTCCGAATGCAAACAACCAAAAGGATGTGTTGAAAAATGAGGTTATTGTCTACACTTCATTCCCTATGATTAACATATTCGCTTACTGGCTTTTGTACATCCTTTTTGGTAACGGGATTGAGATCTAATGTTATGTTTGTTGTTGCAGAAGCAAAAATGCCCATATACACAAATGCGAGCAGACCTCCACGAGAAACTTGTGAGGATGGAAAATGTGGATACAGTGGTTAACCTCAGCATAGCGGTGACGGTTCTCGTTGTAATGGTGTCATCATCTTTGTTATGATGATATGTCCCTGCGCAGTTCTTAGTATAAGACGATCATTAACATCATCATCATCTCCAGTCTCCACTTCACTAAAACTCTGTTGTATGATCGTTCATTGTTGCAGCTTCACATCATTGTATTATTACTTTTATCACAAATTTTTTTTTTTTTTTAGTGCTGTCAAGGTTACTACAAATGTTAGTTGACTTTACGTTTTTGACAGAGTTGACTCGTATTTATGTACGTGTAATTCTTAAGTTTCATTAATTTAATACTCCCTCCGTTCCACAATATAGGATGTTTTATCCAAAGCACAAGAATTAAGAAACTTAACTTTTTTAAAAATAACATCATTGATACTCTAAATTTAAAATAAATTAACCAATCATAAATAATAAATTAAAATACTATTGGTCAACCGGTTTTCTATAAAGTTAAAGTACCTTAAAAATATCAAAACATCTTATATTTTGGAACATCAATTTTCTCTAGAACATCTTATATTATGGAACGGAGGGAGTATTATTATAAATTCAGTTGATTTTTAACCAGCAAATTATTCCATTATTACCTGAATGATTGTATTTGGAACATTTACTAGGCTGGATTTATATAATCTGTATCAGCCGAAAGTAGTAAATGAATTAATTTCTGATTCTAACTACTCTCTAATCATACATTTATGGTTAGATATATTTGCTTTACATATTGAATTCCAAAAACTTGGAAAAAAATGTAAAACGAATAAATTTACATATAGAAAAACATTATTCATTTATGGTAAATAAAAGTTTTTATTGACTAAAAGATATTTTACATCCACATAAAGCCACAACAAAGGCCCACAACACATGATTCTTAGCCTATCTTTTTCTGCATCTCTCTGAATCTGACTCTGACCCGTCACTTGCTTCTTTAACTTACGGCTCAATCTTAAAACCAAAGAGAGAGTAATGCTGTGTGTGTACTACAAGACACAATACAACAGTTTAACCAACAAGACACAACAGTGACAAAAAAAAAAAAAAAAAACCAACAAGACACAACACAACGGTATCACATTATTTTCACATTCCTCCTATCTGTACTCTTTCTTTATTATATAGTATTATTTTATTTAATTAATCATTTGTCTCTGTGCTTCTCTGTTCTCTCTCTGAGGCCATGATATTAATGAGTTGTCTCTCTGCCTTTGCAGTTTGTAATCATCTCTGGATTCTCGTTACAACCAATATTACTTCTCTGAGATCTATCTCCTGTGTTTAAGATCCGTCAGTGATGGCGAATCTAGTCCCTGGTGTATTACTCAAGCTTCTCCAGCACATGAACACCGACGTCAAAATCGCTGGAGAACACAGGTCTTCTCTCTTACAAGTCATTAGTATAGTCCCTGCTCTAGCTGGAGGAGAGCTTTTCCATAACCAAGGCTTTTATCTCAAAGTCTCTGATTCATCTCACGCCACTTATGTCTCTCTCCCTGATGAGCAAGATGATTTGATTCTCAGTGATAAGCTCCAGCTAGGTCAGTTTATTCATGTTGATAGAGTTGAGTCTTCTTCCCCTGTACCGATTCTTTGTGGTGTTAGGCCTGTTCCCGGTAGACATCCTTGTCTTGGCACTCCTGAAGATATTGTAGCTACTCATGCACTAGGGTTCCTTAGTGGTAATAATTTGAAACCAAAAGAGAGAGTTAAGGCAACTTCTAAAGGAGGAGTGGTTGCTCCTAATGGGACTGAGAGAGCAGTAGGAAACAGGTTTAAGGATGAGTCTTGTGAGACTAAGAAGCCGTCTGTTCTGTCCAGAGCCAAGTCAGGTTTGAGTTTGGATGTAAGAAAAGATACCTTGGCGAAGTTGAAGACTTCAAAGTCAATCCCTTCCTCTCCCACAAGCTGTTACTCTCTGCCTACTTCTTTTGCAAAGTTTGCAAATGGTATTAAGCAGCAACAAACGGTGAAACCAGAGAAGGGGAGGTTTCTTCTCAAAGTGGAGAGTAGTCCTAGTGTTGGTAAAAAGCTTCCTCTGATTAAGAACTTCGTCCAAGGGATTGAGTTTGGAGCTAAAGCGTTGAGGAAAAGCTGGGAAGGGAATTTAGATATCAGAACTTCAGATAGTTCAAGAGTGAAGCTTACCAAACGTGACACAACTCCTGATGCTAGGAGTTTAACAGTAAGCTCTCTTCTTCTTCTTCTTCTTCTTCAGCTTTTCTTGGCTTTGATACTAACAGAGGGCATTGTTAATCTTGGTTTCTAGGCGCCGCGGAAAAGCACATCTAGTGAGAAGCTGCCAAGTAAACAGGAAAGAGCCAACGCATTTGCAAAATCAACAAAGGAGAATGGTAAGATCCAATCAACCAAGAAGGTGGAGACAGCAGGAATAGTGGAGACCAAAGATAAAACGAGTAAGCCTAAGTCTACATCCATAGACAAGAAAACTACTTCAGAGAATGGATTGCCTGGGAATTTAGTCAAAGTTCCTGTTAATAGTAAAAGATTAGCGTCTGCTTGTATTCGATGGAGTTCACTCCCTTCATCTCTTTCAAGGCTAGGACAGGTGAGGATGTAACATGTGCATCTTATAGAATGTAGCATATACTTTCTTACTGATATGAATATTTGCAGGAAGTCTTGAGGCATAGAGATGCTGCTCAAGCTGTTGCAATAGAGGCTATGCAAGAAGCTTCTGCCTCCGAGAGCCTACTTCAATGCCTCATGTGCGTTAATCTCTAACAACTCATAAATGTTTTTGACTCTGAACTTAGTTTTCGCTGCCTTGTTATCAAACTTTATTTTGCTTCTGTATTATGTAGTATGTACAACGATCTTATGTCAACGGCTAAGGAAGATGATCCGTTACCGGTTGTCGAGCAGTTCTTGAAGCTTCATTCTAGTTTGAAGAACGTTCAGATAGTAACCGAGTCATTGTCTAGATTAGTGTCTTCAACATCTTCTCCAGAACATGAAGAAAATAGATCTGAGGAAGCTATAAAAGCTGCTTTGGAGAAGCAGAAACTTGCAGCCTCTTGGGTCCAAGCTGCGTTAGTCACTAACTTATCTTCCTTCTCTGTCTACTCCAGCAAACCAGCCGTATCCAAGAGCAAACCAGTGATCATAATCGAGAGCCAGGGCAATAACACAGCCAGTAAAACCCGTGGAAGTGTTCAAACTCGGCAAACTGTTGGATCTAAACTTGTGGCACAAGGCATGATACGTAAACACAGAGAGAACAGTAGCAGCCAAAAGACCACCACGTTAGCAGGAGGATCAGAGTCTCCACCTCTAAACTGGGTGAAAGGAAATGGTCTGAACGAGGCAAATGATCTGGTAGAGAAGTTGCAAATGGTGTCTCAAGATTGGTTCTTAGGTTTCGTAGAGAGATTCTTGGACGCAGATGTTGTGGATACATCTTTGAACCTGTCTGATAACGGGCAGATAGCTGGGATGCTGTCTCAACTCAAGAGTGTGAATGATTGGTTAGACGAGATAGGGTCAAAAGAAGATGGAGAAGGGTTACAAGAAGTGTCAAAGGAAACGATTGATGGATTAAGGAAGAAGATATACGAGTATCTTCTGACGCATGTGGAGTCAGCAGCTGCAGCACTTGGAGGTGGTGTTGGCACAGTTGAAACCAAAGCAAAGAGATAGATGATGAAAGCTTCTACTTGTTTGTATATATGAAAATTGGCGGTCAAGAAAGCTTACCTACGTGATATGTTGGTATTATTCTTTTATTCAGATACACTTACAGTAAAGAGAGACGAGCCTCTTGGCTCAAAAGATTTTCAATATATTCTTTCAAACTCAGAATGTGTTTTGTTTCCTTTTGTAATTAAAAGAACTTATAAAGGTCTTAAGAGAATGATAATAACTTGGAACATGCAGGCTCCTTCAGATTAGTAAATGAAAGCATATCATCATCATCATTATTCATTACCATATGTCTATTTGTGTCCAACTAACACCCCAAAGCTATACAGAGTCTATAACAATCGATCTTTAAAGTGCCTGGAGAAAATCATCATCATGCTCTCTCCCACAAAACAAAAACAAAACGAATCCTTATTTTCTGACTGCACACTTGCTAATGAGATATTAAAGATATGGTGTAGAGAGAGAGAGAGAGACCGAGCAGTCAAGTGCGCAGACTATACCCGATCACAATGTTGATGAACGCAACTACGCATACAAACAGCAGAGGGAACCCAATGTGCTTTTCTTTCACTATCTTCTTCGTCTTCATTTCCGCCTGCATCACCAACATATATACAAGATTTTGTAATTGCTGGGTCATAAAAAGAATGAAACAGCTATGTAGTCAAATTGCTACTAGCTACTCTCACCAGCTCCTGTTGCAAGCTTTCTCTATGTTGAGATCCTATAGACCGCTCCTCCATCAGCTTCGAAATCGTTGAATCAGCCTGCACCAGATTATTTAACCCTTTAGCACAGTTAAGAGTCCCATATAAGGTAGCACCCAAGTTTTGGACTTCTAATTTCGATAAACAGACCTGTTTTAACTTCGATTCAAGAGCATTGACTTTCAGCTTCATCTCCTCAATGTCTTTAACCAACTTATATTCATCCGATGCTTTGATCTTCTGACCATCTCTTTTCTCTACCTGGACAACCTCTCTTTCCCTAGGCATCTTTGCTTCATCAGGATAAGTCACACCGTTGGCTGAAGTCATCCCATTAGTAAACCCTTGATCCCCAGGAAATTGCATGGCCATATTTGTGAGAGTATCCAAATTATGTGTTGGCTTTACGTCGTTGGCAGGATTCAAATCTTCAATAAAATCCTTTGCACCATAGGATGCCTTTAGCTCATCATGCCCAACCATTCTAGGCTCCTTTACGATCTCACTCTCCTAGACATATACAGTTTGAGGATAAACAAACAAGAATAAGAAACTGCGTATTGCACCTAGTAAATGTGATTGCAGGCTAATAAAAGGGACTTGGTGGTAAAGAACTACACACGCTGCTTGGCTGATACTCTTCATATATTAACTAAAATCTCAAAAAAAAAACTTGGATGTGAAGAGATCTAAATACTCTTCTTACATATTGTGGAGGAAGAAGGGTGGAATCTTCAAATACTGCTTCCTGATTCGTTGCCCTTTTAACTGGAGATGGTTCAGGTGAGTCAGAGGGCATCACGAGAGTGACTCTCAGTTTGTTTTCCTCTATGTGTCTGCCTTCCGCTTTGGAGAACTGCCAAGAATAAATGTATGAATATATACGTATACTTGACATACCAAATAACTGAATTTCAGGATGGTTAGGCTCAAAGAGTTACCATGCTAGCTGTGATGTCATCATCAGTTGTGTCCGCAGGCACAGCAGTACTCTGGATTAAGAATTTGTCTTTACAAGCCAAGTCTGGAGGTGGTTCTTTGAAAGCTTGCATAATGACTGCAATAACATATAACTCGATTAACTCAAAAGCATTGGCTGAATGTGAATGTGCAAAGAAACTATTCATCATCCAATTTAGACTTTGAATGCTCAACAGCGCAGGTTTCATATAGCAAAGATATAATTTGAACTAAGTAACTCCATCTGGAGAAGATGCGTTTTCCCTTTTGGACCAACAACATTGTGAGCTCTGAAGGCCTAGGATTCTGAAACAATGTCAAAACGCTGTTCAAATTTGAGCGACAGAGGACAAATCTATGAAAATTTAAACATTCCAGTTCATTGCCCCCGCCAATAGACATCGTGCATGCAACAATATACAACAGCCACCAAAGAAATGTAGGTGCAAGAAATTGAAGCATTGTTGGAAAAGATATAAAAAGATTGGGATACCAGAGAATTCACAGGATGAATTTGGTGCAACAACGCCAACATTTGGACGGACACAGTACTTCTTTGGTGATGTAGTTTTGACCTGTAAAAATACCAAAATCACTAGTAATTACGTGTCTTATCCAAAAAAAAACAAACATTTTTTTCTCAGAAAAATTTAAAGATCTTAGACATCCTTAAGCCAGAGAAGAAAAAAAGAGAAGAAGATGGAGAAAACTGCGTGTGATTTAGACCTTAAACGCAACATAACGATCGGTTGTATTGGTTAGCTGTACCATGCAGGTAGTCTGCTTCTTCAGATCAACTACAAAAGAGGAAACACATTAGTCTTACAAGGATAACCATTACAGATGATTTGAAAAGCAAGGCAAATATATATATATTTTTGGAGACTTCCATCTTCACAGAATTACACCACACACAAAAACCAGCAGCAAGAAGTAAATATGAAAGTTCCTCAGCAAAACAGACACCTTAACATTACACCAAACTCAACTTACAAGAGAACAGACCCATCATATAAACCACAGCACCAAAGTGATAGCATTCTAATTATAAGGTTGAGCATTCAGAGAACCGCGTACACTTTGACTAAATAAAAAAGTATCAGATCATTAAGCAAGTGAGAAGAATGAATGAGTGGCTTGACATCGTACCTGGAAACTTCAAAGTTCGTGGTTGAATATCCAACATCGGCATATTCATGATTTACTGTAGCGAAATAATCTGGTTAACCACGCTTGGCTTCAAAACAGCTAAAGCAGAACTCTCTCTTCGCCCCTATGGTCAAACAACAACAACAAAAAAGAGATTAATCTTAGATCAGCTCAGAATCACTGAACCATAAAATCAGATCAATAGTGCCTTTGAGGAACAAACAATCATCAAAAAATATCTTTATCTATGATTGTTGGAATATAATAAAATCAAACCAAGAGCGAAAAAGGTAGCGATTCAAATGAAACGGAAATCGTCTTTCGAGCCACGGCGCAAACTCGTCGACGACGCGAGAACTCGCACGAAGACTGCAAACGATCCGGCTAACACTAGCTTATACGTAACGACGACGATCTAATTATCTATCTATCTATCTATTACAATGGCGAAATAGAACGGCGACGTTTCGGAGGAGGAAACTAATGTACGTGGGGGATCGGGTGGTAACGGATAGTAAAACGGGAGATCACATCGATCTTCTTAAGGAGGGAGGCCTAAGCTAAGATTAGAGAAAGGAGAAACCAACGATGATCAAAGAGGAGGAAGATAAACAAAAATCATACCTCCACGACGAAGAAGAAGAAGAAGCAACGGAACTTGAGATTGGCGGAGAATGAGATTTCCTCTAAAAAAGAAACTAATGTGAGGAATCAGAACGTATACCAAAAAAAAAAAAAAAAAAAAACATAAACAAAAAAAATGGTAGTGAGATTGGAGGAGATGGTAAACATATTTGTTGGTACCTCTAACGGGGAAAATTTGATCAAAACATAGACATTGGCAAAACTAATTTTATGTTTAATGCTCTTATTATTTTATGAACGTGCTATCTCTGTCATATGTAGTGTGGTGGAATCTATAGGATCAAAAGCTCTCTACATTTATCAGCTTTTGATTTGGAATCTTTACGCTAGCTTTTAACTTACAACAACTTATGTGTGTGGTGTGGGATCTATAGGATCAAAAGCTCTCTACATTTTTAACATTTTCATATCCCGGAATAAGTCTAGAGATCCTCTTCCACAACTTATGTATGTGGGATATGTCTCCAGGCCTTTGTATTCATTGTTTTGTGTTATAAATGAAAACTAACACAATATCACGTGCTTCTTTGATTTCATCCCACATACACAACTACAGATTTTCTCAACCAGCACAAAGTTTGATTTGAGAATCTACCAATTTTCTAATCGGCGATAGCCCACAAAGTTTAGAATTCAGAAAGCCCACTATTTCAATATTTAGAAAGCCCATTTCAGGCCCAGAAAGTGATATACGACAGTGAAAGTCAAAGACCTATCTATTTTGGATTATCCAGACCAGACCAGATAGTCCAGAGTCCAGACCGCACCTGCGTGGTTGGTTATTATTAATTAATTAATGAAATAAAATAAAACAAATAGCGAACACCTAACCACATGTCGACCTCGTGCCTATATACAAGTACTCAAAGACAAACCAGCAACCACAAAGCAGCAGCTCATTGAGATTTATTCAGTCATTTGATAGCTTATTCATTTCCAAAGGGGTACCCTGAGGTATATTTTCTTTTCATTTCTCATCATGGATCATGGATGATATATCTTAGATCGGTTCTTTACTTGGATTCTTTAGATCTGTTATTCACATGTTTGCCTGAATCTACGCTTAGATCTTTGAGTAAATGCTTTTGTAATCGGCTGATCTATTCATTCCTTCCTTGTTTTCTTTTGGGTTTTATCACTCTTCTGAAAAAGGCTTCAGCTTTTCAATTTTTTGTTAACAAAGGCTTGAGCTTTTCACTTGAAAACCTTTCTACCAGTTTATCAGTAGAGCATCCTGATGACTGATCCTATGTCCTGTTTTTGTGATTCTTGTGTTTACATAAAGATCTGATTTTTTTTTTTTTTTGGTGTGATTCAAACTTATGTTAAGTTGAAAAGGGGGTTAAGGTAGCTGTGATGTTTTGGTGTTTTCTTCCAGTTTAAAACATGTATTTGAAGATCCATTTGTTGTCTCTGCACTTTTCATGTATGTATATATGTATGTTGACATGATATATTGGTTTTTCAGATCACAGAGGATACAAAATTATGGGCAAGGGAGTTGCAGTGTTGAACAGCAGTGAGGGTGTTAAGGGGACCATCTTCTTCACCCAGGAAGGAAACGGTATCTCTTTTAAAAGCTTTAAGATATTTTAAGCCATCATTTTTAACTTTTAATGAAAAATGATTGAATTCTTGTGTTGGTTTTTGCAGGTACCACCACTGTGACTGGAACTGTTTCTGGACTTAAGCCTGGTCTCCATGGTTTCCATGTCCATGCTCTTGGTGACACCACTAACGGTTGCATGTCTACCGGTACTACTCCTCTCTGAACTAACCTGGTTAAGAAACTTTAGGAGTTGATTGCTTACATTGTTCTGAATAATTTAGTTGAATTTCTTTTGTTTAGTTGAATTTCTTTTGTTTAGTTGAATTATGTTCATAATCCGGAGCTCTAAATATTATCTTCAAACAAATAGAAAACTGTTATTAATCCTTTGGTCAATGTTTTATTCTAGGTCCACATTTCAACCCTGATGGTAAAACCCACGGTGCACCTGAGGATGCTAATCGACATGCTGGAGATCTAGGAAACATCGTTGTTGGGGATGATGGTATTTTTTTTTTAGATCTCAACCTTCTTTAGAGCTGTTTTGTATCTTGGAAAATTCTGCATCATATTTGTTTGCTATTCAATTTCATATGTGCTTTATGCAGTCTTGGTTTTATAGAACGTTTCTCATCTTTTGACAAGTTTTTTAGTTTTTTCATGGGCTTACACAAAATCTTACTCTTTTTTTTTTTTGCTATCTCAGGAACTGCCACCTTCACAATCACTGACAGCCAGGTTCGTATCTGTGTACATATCTTATGTTCTTTATGACAGTGCGATAGAGAACCAATGTTTTGTGTTCGTTTTACAGATCCCTCTTGATGGACCAAACTCTATTGTGGGAAGGGCTGTTGTTGTCCACGCAGACCCTGATGACCTCGGAAAGGGTAAATGACCTTTGTCTATTTAAGTTCCTTTTCTATATGAGGAGATCTCTACTGGAGTCAACATCAATCTTAAGAACACTCTCTAAACTCTCATTGGTTTTTATACATTTTCAGGAGGCCATGAACTCAGCTTGGCTACTGGAAACGCAGGCGGTCGTGTTGCTTGTGGTAAGTTTATAAACCACATTTTTCTCAGCTTCTTTCTGTGGAAATTCATAGTATAAATGGATCAGAAGTTGAACTCCTTGATTCTATAGGCTTGTGAGAATTCAGTCTCTAGCATGATCACTTATCATTCGATCTACTAATAGACTCAGAAAGGATCAACTAACCAACCTTTGGTCTACCATTTTGCAGGTATCATTGGTCTTCAGGGCTAAGCTGTTACTTTTCGAGGAAGAGAGTGATGTAATAAGGAGGTCCTTACCTCTAGACATGGCTAGTTTGTGTATCTTTGGTGTGTGGCTGTATTAATCATTGAGCTTAGTGGCTCAATACATTTGATTCAAGACCAAAAAAAAAACACAGAGAAAATTCAAACTATTTCTATTTCTGATAACAGTGAAGGTGGTTGAAAAACAATAAAGATTTGAATATTGCAGTATGGTCAGTTGTTTTGTCTTCTTATGTCAAAACCAAAAATCAAATTTTCAGTCAAAACCTACATTAATACTAGATTGTGTTCTACACTCTGCATAAACAGACAACTATCTTGATAATGGAACTGGGCAAGTGTTAGATGCCTTCATGATTTCTTTCTTATCAACACCAATACATAAGAATCTCAATCCTTTTGGGCCAAAAAAACCTTAGATACTCCACTCCATTCGAGGCTCTCTTGTGAGCTCTAAGGAGTAATGATTCTAATATATTTACTATCCACTCCATTGTTAACTAGCAAATAATAAGTAGCCACAAAACTGTATTAATAAATACAACTGTCCTAGTTGGCTCCAGAACCTGATGACAAAAACAATGAAGATGCTAATTATATTATTAGTTGACAAAGCACAACACTAAAGCAAGCCAATGGAGTTAAGCAGAAATGTTAGTATAACTAAGGAATTGTATCAATATCTGAAGTGGCGACAAAAAATATATCTCATAGGTTGTCCAGGCCAAGGCTAATTGCATATTCATGCCAATTGCCACCAAGTATCCAGAGTTTTAATGATAATTTTCCTGAAAAATAAGAGATGTTAAAATAATGCAAGTTGACTCAATAAAAACAAATGTAATAGTGAGCCAAAACTTCAAGACTCATAAATAAGACTGAGAACCAAGTCTTTCCCAAAAGCTACCAAAACTTTAAGATCATAAGTGAGAACCAAGTCTTTCCTAAAAGCTACCAAAACTTCAAGACCATAAGTGAGAACCAAATTAAGTCTTGCCACCTCTCAAGTCTATATAAATGCATACAATGAGTCACAATAGATTATCACTTATCAGTAAACTAAGATGAAATCTCCTACTGTCTCTTCCATGCTCCTTGTTCTCTTTCTTGTCCTTATTGTGTTTCCCCATATGGATAATGCTCTTGGTGAACAAATGCATGCTCGCAAACTCAGTAAGTCTTTTTTTTTTTCTTTCTCTTTAGATAAAGTCATTGTTATTTTAATTTATTAGATTGGTATATGTAAAAACGTTTAATATTTGTTTTGCTTTTAATTATTTAAACTTTATTTTTATTTTGAGAAAATACGAAATAACAAACCCACCGTCAATTTTATACATTTTGGAGCTGTGTCTTTAGTTTTTTTATGTGTTTGCCAATGCATTTAGTTTATGATTAGGTGTTTGCTAGCACATGCGAGCATAATCTTGTTACAATATTTATTGATATATTCATTATTAATTCTATATTTAAAATTACAAAATTTGAATTTTTTTACTTAATTTGTATTTATATATCTTTCTGTTTCATATTTAAATTTGTATGACTAATTTTTTCTTTCAGATAACAACATAATATATCCAAGATTTATCTTTTTTATTTTTAAATATATATTTTATTTTTGGCCAATATATATATAAATTAATTTATAAAAATTATCAAATAAAAAATTAATTATGTATTATTTATTAAATACATAAAATACGAAATAACAAACCCACCGCCAATTTTATATATTTTGGAGTTGTGTCTTTAGTTTTTTTTTTTGTGTTTGCCATTGCATTTAGTTTATGACTAGGGGTTTGCTAGCACATACGAGCATAATCATGCTACAATATTTATTAATATATTCATTATCGATTCCATATTTAGAATTATAAAATTTGATATTTTTTTACTTAATTTGTATTTATATATCTTTCTCTTTCATAATTTAAATTTGTATAATATTTTTTCAGATAACAACATAATATATACAAGATTTATCTTTTTATTTTTAAATATATATTTTACTTTTGGCCAATATATATATAACTTAATTTATAAACAATTATCAATAAAAATTTACTTATTTATTATTTATTAAATATATAAAAGATATTAATCACTCTAACTTTTCACATGAGATCTCGAATGCGAAAAATCATTTCATAAATAATAGTATAAATTAATTAAATTATCTTAATTTCTAACACAGAAAGATAAACACACGTAGTGTTGTTCACTGTTCGGTTTGGATCACACTGAAGTTTATTTTTATAGGTGACATAATAAAACAAGTTCAGTGGTACGAGTACAACGATCCATTTGTAGTTTAAAGTTGGGATTATTCGAATTGATAGAAAATGACTACTTAACCGAACTTTGGCACTGTTGTACATGTTTTTAATTAATTCGTTTGGATGGTTTTGGTGCAGAAGAGACAAACCATCCTGATCCACGGACCTCTTTCCAAAAGGGCTCTGGTGCTGTTGGCACGATCACTCGTGGTGCTCGTGCTGCTAAAAAGCTCTTTGGCCATTTTGCACGCTCACCGCCACCCCGCAAGGGCTTTTAGAGGCAAAAACACTTGATGCTACAAATTCCAGATGAAAAAATATTTTCCCAATATGTTACAATGAATGTTACTTTTCAAATTTCCTCGTAAAAGAATAAAATTCTACCACTTGTTATGATGTATGAATGATGTTATGATGTTATAAGTTTTAAGATATTGTGAAAGTGTTCTGGGTTAATACTAAAGGGATTCATAAGTTATACATATTAATTAAGGCAAACTTGCCAAGTAATTTAGAGTGTTAATTGTAGTTTTTAGTATGGTTAGATGCTTGTTGTTGATAGGATTCCAAGTTATGGTGGTTTTATTTCAGATCATTAATTTCTGGATATTATTCAACATATAGTTTATGGATTTGAATATCAAAAAAATGATTGACAACCACCACATGACTATATATCTAAATAAAAATAAAAGAAAATACATCAATTGATAATACACTTTCAGTCCTTTTTGGCAAAAAACGAAGATACTCCATTTCAGATTATCGTGAAAACCAAACAAAATATAACCTAAACGATTTTTCTTTTTTTTTGAATTGAATTTTAAATTTAATTCAAAAGAAAAAACCTTGTTACAACAATGTGTGTCCTTTTATGTGTTTCCTAAAAATTTAAACTCAAATAAAGTGTAAAAATCTTTTTCAAGCCATTCCCAATCTTTTTTCAACATCCAACTTCAATCACCCAACCTAGCTCTCACTCCTACTAAGTATCCAGCACTCACTCCTACTGGGCCCCCACCTCTCACTCCTACTGGGCCCCCACCTCTCACTCCTACTGGGGTATCCAAATCCAGCACTCTTGTCTCAAACCAGTACTGCATCCCTTTATCAAACTTGCTATCTTGATGACTTGTTATGGTCTTAAATCCCCCGGAGAAAGAGTCAAGATACCACACTGCTCATTAACCTTCTTCAGCAGAAGCATCAGAAGTGGAACTTTTGATAATGTTCTTTGTGATCCCACCATTATCAACTTTTTCTGTGCCAAACAAAAACAATGTGTCAACAATTGAAAAAAAAAACATTACTCAACACCACCATATGCTCTTCCTCTCTCTCTCACCTTTGCTCGTGTCAAAGCAACGTTGATCCTATGCCAA